ACAGCTGATGTGCTTATGGCCATCACTGAAACTGTCTACCGAGTTTTTCAAAATAACGTTCGTGCTGTGGCCCTAGACATCTCCAAAGCATTTGATAGGGTTTGGCATGCCGGCCTTCTTCGCAAGCTCCAGGGTTATGGCATTACAGGTCGATTGTTTGACCTAATACAATCATTCCTGTCAAACCGTGAATTGAAGGTCGTTCTCAACGGATTCTCCTCCAGTTCCTATCCCACGAACGCAGGTGTTCCTCAAGGCTCCATCCTAGGCCCCACTCTATTCTTTATCTACATAAATGACCTTCCTGACACCACAATTTATTCCTGCCTCAAAAACAAATCTAGTGTCACTGACAAAACTAACCTGGCCATGCGTCTCGAAAAGGACCTCCAATCGGTTGTGAACTGGGGCAGGAATTGGCTAGTCAACCTTAATGCTTCAAAAACAAAACTGCTCTCTATTAATCACCACAGAGCTCTTCAAAATAACGGGGAAGCTTCCCTGCCCTCCATTAGAATGTCTGACACTCAACTTCTTGAGAGCAACTCTCTGCGGCTGCTCGGTCTCGCGTTGACTGCTGACCTGAGATGGTACAAATACATTGAGTCAATTGCTTCGTCCACCACAAAGAAAGTTGGCTCTCTGTGCTGTGCCAGCAAATTTTTCTCCCTGGAATCGATCCTCCAGATCTACAAATCAACAATTCACCTTTGCATGGAGTATTGCTGCCATATATGGTCTGGAGCCCCTTCTGTTTGCCTCGGGGTTCTTGATAGGCTCCAGAGGTGGATATGCAATATAATTGGCCCTGCTCTGGCATCTCGTCTACAGTCACTTTCTCATAGACGCACCGTCGCCTCTCTCTGTCTGTTTTACAAATACTTTCATGGCAATTGCACCAAGGAGCTGCATTTGCTGGTTCCCAGACTTCATGAGTTCAAGCACCCTACGAGGCTGGCATCCCACTCTCATCTTTTCACTGTCAAAACTCCTAAATGTAGCCGTCTCTTCTACTCCAATAGCTTCATGTCTCGCACCTCTTGCCTGTGGAACTCTCTTCCCAATTCCAGTTTCCCTGAGAGCTATAATCTCCAGCTATTCAAATGTAATGTCAATCGACATCTCCAGTTGCCTTGATCTATCCACTATCCTTCTCCTCATCCTTTCCACTATCATTCCTATCTGATCTTGCTCTAAATTTTCTGTAACCCCTTGCATCCTAGTGGCTTCCCGCCTTGCTTGGGGTGAAATGCTTAAAAAAAAAAAAAAAAAATCATTTCTGGATAAACTTTATGTTGACAATATTAACTTCTTGGCTACAGAAATTGATTGCTTCTGAATCTATAAACATATTGAACTGACAAAATGAAAAGAAATAGGTACTAAAGCATTATTTCTCTAGATAAATTATTTTATAAAAAGAACATAGATTGAAGCTTACAGCCATATCATGTTGAAACTTTGGTTCCTGTATGATCACCAAAGTTAAGCAATGTCAAGCTTGGTTTGTACCTAGATGGGTGACCACTTTGGAATATCCAGTGCCATAAGCTTGGATCTGAGAGTGGTGTAATGGATAACAGCTAGGAATTGGAAATTGGAAAGCCAAGTTCAAATTCCAGTTGGGTTTATTATATTCACTTACATCCAAATACCCTTGTGTCTCTTTCTATGGGTTAATTACTAGGACTTGTATCAGAAAAATTATCTCCCAAGCATTCTGCTAATCTAAAAATATTTTCTGTCTTTTAATAACCTGAAAAAAGTTGATAAACTATAAAAAATAGATTAACCAATTGACAATCAATGACTAAATAAAAGGTGATAAAGATTAACAGCTGGAATTTTGTTACTGAAATTATTTACCTTTTTATTCTCAGGATGCAATTGAAGATGGTATCAGGAGAAACATTGTGCCAGTTGTTCAGGATTACCTGTTGCAACAAAATTTACCTCATCTGGCTCAGCTCTCAGAAGTATTTCGTTTGGGCCTTCTTCGCAGCATAGAATATTTGCAAAGAGGACAATTTGATGATGCTTCTCTATTAATTTCAAATTTGGTAAGATATGAGAAACTATATTTTTTTTTTTTTTTTTTTTTTTTTTAATGATTTCAAGTTATGGTGGTACCACCTGCCATTACCTTTATATACTGTTACCAATTTACTTTTGTTATATTAATGTAAAACAAATAAAAAAAGTGAAACAAATTAAAAAATTCATTGTTGTGATCTTTTTTTTTTCCTCTCTCCTTTCAGAAATATTTAACTTGATAGCACACTTAAAATTTAGAGTAGCAGTAAAGTCAGTTGGCAGTTATAAAAGTTGAAAATGTGCTTATGCATGATTGGTTCAAATGCATTTTGTAAAAATATAACCAAGATTTTTTGATTTTTTTTTTTTGTCTCATCATCAAAATTTGGTGTGTCACTTATATATATATATATATATATATATATATATATATATATATATATATATATATATATATATATATATAAATATTTTTTTTGATCAATCCTACTTGTAATATCAGATTGAAGAAACCACTTGTTACTACAAGAATAACCAAGTGTAACCTTCATGCATAGAATATTTACTTAGATTTTGTTAATTACTATCATTGCTTATTCAAGATTTTCAAAATAGTCATTGTTACTCCTGCCCAATTTGATTATCGTTTGACCTTTGTTGGTTCATTGCCGACCATTTTAAGGCAAAAGGATTTTTTTTTTCAAAATCATTTCACCCCCAAGCAAGACAATAAAGTCCCTAAGATGCAAAGAGTTACTGAGTGTGAAAGAATAGGAGAAAAAGAAAACATTAAGGAGAGAGAACTATAAATGAAAAGGATTTATTTTAAATCACAATAAGATTATAGAAAATATCATGTCTATAATTTTAATTTTTTTTTAATAATTAGTCAAATGAAAAAAAGAAATGTTTCTCCTCTCCATTTTTTTTTTTTTTCTGTCTCTCCTCTCCTTTCCTCCTTCCCTTTCTCTCTCTCTCTCTCGCCCATGTTTTGCAAACTTCATTTGACCTCTTTATTTCTGTTTTAGCTACTGAATTAAATCTGCAAATGTCTGAAAACTTATTTATTTATTTTATTTTATTTTTTTTCCTCCCTTTCCTCAGGGTTTTAGTCCAAATGAAAAGTACTGGTCATTTGCACAGTACACAAACGATCATGCTTTACGTGATTGTATCTTGAATTATTTATCCAAGACTGGTGAAGAGAAAGAAATTGTGACATATTTCTGCAAGCTGCAAGAAGCATATAACTGCGCATCATTTGAAAGGGTTAAAGAAAATCTACTCCCACTTAGGTAAGTGACGTATATGTGTTTTCTTACTAACTTTCAACTCCTACAAGACCCAAGAGCCAATCAAGATAGAGAGTTAATATGTGGTGCTGTATGAGCATAAGAAAAAGCAAGAAATGCAGTTCATGAGGTTATGTAAGAAAGATAATGGTTAACCCTAGATTTGAAGAGATTAAGATTGTAGTGATTGGGAAAATATCTTTCCAGGTATCTGTTCCACAAAGCAGCAGTTGTTAAGAAAAATCCATCAATGGAACTTACTTCATATTAATGGAAAACAAAGAAAATGAGGATGATTCATCCATGTGTACATGACATGGTGGGTCAGAGCTGAAAAGGTCAGCTCTGGTGGAACCAAGGAATGTAGCTTGTTTTGCCAGGATTGTAGATGGTATTTCATGTGAATGAGAAAAGCATTATTTATTATGCTATTTTGATGTTGGCACTAAATATTGTCTTTCAGTGGTTGGAAAGGTTTGGATCCTGTTGCTGCCTGCATGACAATCAGCGCCTCACAATATGACCTCAGGAGCTCCTGTGGGGAAATAAGCCCCGACCAACAGCATATACCTGCTTCTCTCAATAACAACCGCTACTGTGATGTCCTCTTGGACTGGCTACTCTCATGGTCAACTGATGTACAACAGCTGGTTCTCCTTGATGCACAGATGACTTCTCAAAGTAAATCACTTCTTTTTTTTTAAATACACATATATAATATACAATATTGTCCTCTTGAACATTATACAAGGGTGAGTCAAAAAGTAATGCAATTTTTTTATTATATAAGAAATAAAGAGTACAAGCAAACATCTCATAAATCTTGATATTGCTATACATCACAGGTTCACATCCCTACTTAAAATTTCCCTTACATATGAGAGCATGTATCCCATCTTCATAAAACTGAGCTAGTTGCTGATGTAACCAATTCCTTACAGCACTTTTTACTTCTTCATCACCATCTGACTTTGCACCCTCAGACTTCCATCTCTTTGGTTCAATGAAAGAGACAATGAGGGGGCAAACTTTGTTTGGTGAAGAAGTTTTACGAAACTGAGATACCCGTGCTCATTCATAGGTGGAACACTGCCACTGAAAGAGGTGATTACTACGTTGAGAAGTAAGGATGTGAATCTGTGATGTATAACTATACCTTGATGTATGATATCTTTGATTGTGCTCCTTATTTTTTAGATAATAAAACAAATTGCATTACTTTTCAATTGATTTATTTTTAATCTAACATTTTATTACTTCAAATGTTATTTAGTGGATACTCATATTTTCAAATATCAGATATACCATTTTTATTTTTTTATTTTAAACAGTGTGTATTATGTCTATCTGCTTATGCAGTCAAGAAATCTTAAAGAAAATGTATTCTCTGGCAGGTATTGAACCTGCGTACTTTACCACTCACCAACAGTGTCACAGTCAGGAAATAGTGGTTTCTCCTACAAAGGAGGACACAGATTTGATTCCTGCTGAAGAGCAGTTTCTTTATTAAGATCTCTCGAATGCACAGGCTAATAGATAAAATACCTCAATTTAAATCCTTTTGTTATTGTCTGCTGAAATAACTTAATATATCCTTTATTAATATTATTTATTTGTTTTTATAAACAGGTTGTTCAGTTCAGTACCCAGATATTCCCAACCATGTGATGTGGGAGTACCTTGTCAGTCACAATCGGATTGATGCTGCTCTTAATTGGTTATCAGAACACATCGCCTTAAAAAAGGATGAAGACAGTCCTGATGACACTCTATCATATCAACAAATTCTACACACTGTAAAGACATCAGCAACAAGCTACCTCAGAGAACTGATTTACATGCAACTGGCACGGTAAGTAACTTAAGCCTCCCCACCACTCACTTTGCCTCAGGTAATTGCAGAGTTACTGTATGAGCTTCAAGATGTCTGAACTGCTATTAACTAAATATTCAGCATTGCTTGCACATATAGCAGACATTAAACCATTTTGCTAGACAGACGTGTTGAAAACCCTGTCAGCAGTAGCAACCCCTATTTCAGTTTTTGGCCATAAAACAACAAAAAAAAAAAAAAAAAGCAACAACACTGGGAGCATGTATGGTGTGAATCCAAAGATGCTAGCTCACTCTTTTAATTTCATGTGTAGGTAGGATGCTAAAATGAACACTCCCTTAAAAGATGCATATGATATGGCTTAGACAATACACATCACTCACTCACTCTTTAACTCACCAGCAAAGTAAGTTCAACTTTCCCTTTACACATACACACGCATATATGTATATATATATATATATATATATATATATATATATATTACAGAAACTCTAAGAACATTCCTTGAATTTACATTTTCATATAGGGACTATCCTCAAAATTTTCTCTGCACAAAAAGTTCCCAATAGAATCAAGATTTTTATCTCATTTTGTTCCACTCTTTCGTTTGTCTATTTTCTCAATCAATTCAACACTTTGTTTTTTTTGGGTTTTTTTTTCATCAATACACAACACTTCCTCAATTTCGAACAATGACCCTAAACCACAATGGTAAAAATATTAAAAATAGATTTTATATTTTTATACAGTGTATAAGAAGTAATATATGCCCTTTACAAGTAAGAGAAAAGTACTGTCAAAACTAGTAGAAAAGTAACCCAATAATGTTACATTGGGTAATTAGAAAGCCTTTCTTCTTCTACAAGCCATGTACTTTCAGAATGTGGGTGATCATAGCTCTCCACAACCTCCAACCTCTTGTAGCTGTTAGCAACATTTATCCTTTTGTCATTTCTTCCAACCTCCATTCCACCATTCATTTGCACAAGCTCCTCAAGCCCACTGCCTTCTCCTTTCCCTTTTGGTTTTGATATGCCCTATGAGTGCCAATTTCTCCGAATCTTCCTTCCTCATTATGTGTAAAAAATGGGGGCTGTGAATACCAAGAGGCTAGGTCTTTCTCTTTAGGATGCTAAAATTAGTGCTTCATGTAACAGACACACATGGCAACTTAGACAATACACATAACTCAGTTTTTAACTCACCAACAGAATAAGTTCAGCTTTTTCTTCATTTTTTTTTTTTTTTTTTTTTTTTAGAAACTCCTTGAATTTGCATTTTCATTCAGGAACTATCCTTGAAATTTTCTCTACACAAACAGTTCCTGATGAAATAATAATTTCTATCTCATTTTTTTCACCCTCTTTTTTGTCTATTTTCTCAACCAATTCAACACTTAGTTTTTGTTCAACACATGACACTATCTGAAGCTCAAACAACAATCCTCAACCTAATAATGATTAACACAAGAGACTAAAATGATAACATTATGTAAATGGAAAGGTTTGTGTAGATCACTGAAACACCAACAATCACCAAAATCTAAAATACTCACCACTCAGAACTTAAATGTAGCAGTTTATATACAAATGGGAGATGCCAATAATTAATCAGATAAAATTTTGCAACCAGTCTGTTATAAGGACAACTCTGAATTCAAAGCCATATGTAGCCCTGATGAAGCACAAACTATGCATCTAAGGAAAGGATTGTAGAATTTACATTGACTTGATGATCTCTACTACTGTTGACCTCTATCCATCCAAACATGCAACAAAAAAAAAAACCTTGTGAGAAATTTTCCATTTGATTTTTTTTTTTTTTTTTTTTTTTTTGTTCTATTTATAGAAATGGTATTTTGGATAGTAGTGTTCCGACTGGAAAATTTGGCCGTTTCTTGCAGCTGCTTTGTCAGCTGGGTGGAGTTTTAAAGATCCCATCACCTGTTTCCCATATTGACAATATCTACATTGAATTACATCATTTCCATCAAGACTTTATTGCTTACTGCACTGAGAACAGATTTGGGTATTTGCTGTGGAAGTACTGTGAGAAGAATCAGTAAGTATATTTACTCTATGTAGATTTACAAATCACTTGAATATCCAATCTATATATATGTAAAACAGAGGATGTCTGTGTATTTGTGCGATATCTTACCACTCAAAATCCATCCAACCGATTTTAACCAGACTTGGCACATACATTGTACAATGTAAGAGATAGGTTCTTAATGTAAAAAAATCAATAATTGATAAAGTCATTCAAAAATTGATAAATTCAACTTTTTTCTTCCAATTTTATTCACACTCGGTATGTAGGTTACTTACATCATGACGAGCTCAATGATACCTCATTTTTATTTCTACACCACTGTTTAGTGAAAAACTGCGTAAAAATGTAAATATTGAAATAGATACTCCATTTTTATTTTAAACAGTGTACATTACATTTATTGGCCCATGAGAAATCTTAATAAAGAAAATGTGCTCTCTGGTAGGAATTGAACCTGCATTTCCCACTTTGTAGGTGTGCTTTACTTGCTTGGTTATGAAGAGTGTCCCAGGACAGCAGGGTTCTGTTTTCCTTTTCAAAGGAAAGTACACTTCCTCATAAAATATTTTCTCAAATACACAAACTAATAGATGTAATACACAATGTTTAAAGTAAAAATAAAAATGGTTCATCTATTTCAAATATGAGTATCTACTATAATAACATTTGAAGTAGTAAAATATGTCAGATTAAAAAAAATCCATCAATTCTTTAGAAATGCATACATGAATTGGTATCGAATACAAATCAGAATTTTACAGCATAAAATAAAGAACCAATATGAAATATTTATCAATCTAACATGTTTCACTTCTATTAAAGTTTCATCAGAGAATGTGATATAATGAAAAAGAAAGAAATTCTGTTATTTTACTTTTGTGTTGTTCGATTTTCATTGGTTAATAATAGTTGAATGCACCTGAAACATTATTAACCAATGAAAATCAAACAACAGAAAAATAAAAATACCAGTATTTCTTTCTTTTTTTTTCTCTATCTCATTCTCTGATGAAGCTTTAATATAAGTGAAACATGTTAAACGTTTCCTATTTGTTCTTTATCTTATCAGATATGTGTGTATGTATATGTAATCTTGATTGAGTATATTAGAGCTGTCATCAGGTTGTTGACACATCAAATCTATTGCAATATTTTAAATTTCAAGTAAATGATATTTTGTTTCATTATTAATTATACTTTAAAATCAGCTAATATTCCTCAAATAAAATTTCAGAAAAATATATTTTATTTTTGGAAAATTTTTTAATAAATTGAATTACATTGTGATAAAAACAAACAATAAAAATGTGCTGATCAGCTATTTTAGAAAAAAAAACTCCTTCCAATCAATTTAAATTAGTTTTTGAAATACAGCAAAATACAGTGTGTCCATAAAGTCTGGACGCACAGGCAAAAATGCATATTTTCAAGAAATTAAATTTTCAACATTTTATTGACTTAGAATATTAACAGATAAAATCTTCAATATAATTTCCATCATTTGTGATGCAAAGGTTGATGTGCTTTGCAAGATTCACTTGAACTCAATGCAATAACTCCACATTGTTGTTCATTTTAGCACATTTACTTTTTATGCATTCAATCAAAAGTATTGCATCTGTGATTTTCATTGAGTACATCTTCTCCTTTAGCATATCCCCAAAAAAGAAATCAATTCTTTCTCCTTTTAACAAAACCATGTTTAATCTGTGGAGGTGAAAAAAAAAAATAGTTAATGTGATGTCCTATATGTTCAGACTTTAAGGACACCTTGTGTTTTGCTTATTGGAAATATTAAATTTAATCTATTAGCTTGAAACTAAAACAAAAGCTTCAAGAAAGATTTTTCTTTTTGGAAAATTTGTTTTAAACCTTAGGTTTTGTTTTTTGGTGGAACCTACCTACCTATATATATATATATATATATATATATATATATATATATATATCCTATGTCTAGCAGCAAGGCCTCTGATCAGGCTTTTGAGGAGCATGGAACCACCTCTTTATTGCTGGTGTACCTAGGTCCACCCTGACCCAGGGTGGTAGCACCTGTTAGGGTCCCAGTTATCGGCAAATAGTTAACTATTACCAGCAGTACATTTTTCAAGGAAAAATATTACCAGAAACAGATTTTTGACAAAACAAAATATTACTATCAATTTTTTTTTTTTAATTTGTTGGCATTAAATAACCCATTGAGGTTGATATGCTGTAAAGCAAACCAAACCAAACCCTGTTTAGGTGTCTGCCATATTTAGTAACCTTGTGTGAATTCAATACCTAGTTAAGGCAGTAGAGAACTTGGAGAGAGGAATTAACAGGAGATAACTGATAACTGACATCTATTAGACATGGCACATGAAACTAGAACAGTCTACCCCAGTGAATGAAATAAAGGGTTCAGTTCGACATTCCAACCACCTGCAGAAGGCCGTTCCCCTGATGACTGAACTCTCACATGCACATATACACACACACACACACACACACACACACACACACACAAGCACATTCTTAATGGCTTTTCTTTTTCTTGCAACTGTGTACACATTAGTATGATTTCTTTTTCTTACTATATGCATTAATAGTTTGTTGAAATCCATGTTTTATTATTTTTACCCAGACTCGCATGAATCTGCCAAATATAGTCTATGATACAAATGTGCCAGGAGCCATGAGATATTTACTAAAAAAAACATCCACATCTCATAACAAAAATGATTCTCACAACAATGTATAATAATTGTTGTCTATTTGCACATTTGGTTTTTAATGAAATATTGGTATTTTTTAAGAATGAATTAAATAGATTTCCAATTTTCTATAATAAATTTGTCCGGACAAATATATATATTTTTCTTTTAACAAATGTCTATATTGAAAAGACACCTGTTTGACAAACAAATGAATTAAATGTTGTCTTGGCAGTTGAGTTTTCATTTCAGTGATATATATATATATATATATATATATATATATATAATATGATTTTCCTTCTATAAATCAACTACAGCATAAAGTCTATCCTGAAATTGACCAATTCCAATAGATTTCAGAATGTTCAATACCAAGTCCATAGAGCAATAAATATTATCTTAAAAAGATATAACAACCTTATTGTGGTTATGTATATCAGTCATTTTGTAAAGTCAATAACTTTTTAATAATACATGTACATGCATGCTAAACATTTTCTCATTTGATCAAATTTTGGTAAGGTGGCTTGGCTGAAACTTTTTCTGTACTTTTTATTTATGTATTTATTATAAACCTGTATATGGCCTAAGAGCCACTCATAGGGTGATAGAGTAAGAGGCAGCACTCCAAGCAAGGTGATAATACTACAAAGATGTAAGGAGCCACTGGAAGAGAAGGAAAAAACATTAGAAGGAACCAGAAACCCAGTCTTAAGTAGGAAACAAGGGATGCCCCCTTTTTCTGTTCAGGTTCCTGTATGATCACAGAAATTAAGCAACATTGAGCCTGGTCAGTGCTTAGATGGGTGACCATTTGGGAATGCTAGGTGCTGTAGCTTGGATGTGCAGGTGGTGTAATGTATAGTGGCTTGGAATTGTTAATCAAAGTGCCAAGTCTCAATTCTGGTTGGGTTCACTTACATGAAAATACCCTTGTAAAAGGTATGAAATCATCTTTTATCCTCTCAACTGTAATTTGTAAGACATGTATCATCAAACCATTCTTATCTAAAAATATCTCTATAAAAAGGAATAATAAAATAAATGAACAATATAAATTACTTGTATTACATCATCAAATCTCAAATTGATCTCTTAACATTATTAAAGTTATCATTTATAAAACCTTGAGAATCATATTAAAATATGACTTGTTGTTTATTCATTAAATGCTGAGGTTGTTATAGATTCTGTGAAAATCAAGTAAATTGCATTCATTGTCATTACAAAATTCACTTTTCTTCTGCAGTAGACTGGTTGCTGACCAAGGCAATAGGGCTCTGTCTGTCCTGATATTCAACCCATAGCTGGGGGGAGACAGGATGGAATCATACCTTTCCCAAGAATATTTGCATGCAAGTGAATGTAACTAACCCAACTGAAATTAAAATATGGCACTCTCATTCTCATTCCGGTTCATTATCCATTACAGCAAACTGAACATCTTTTTGGTATTTAGTTTGTTTTTTTATCATAAAACAAGTACTATGTTTTAAAGTAATAATTTTGGTGTATATAGTATGACTTGAAAACATTGTATTCTATGAAATTATATTTTTATAATAGTATTTGATAAGAAGTTCCTGTTGATTGGAGTAATGAAAAGGAACTTTTTATTATCATTACCTTTGGATGAAGGCATGAAAATTTTTCATGTATCAGTTTCTGATAAAAGCTAATTAAACATTTTTTAGAGCAGATTCCTTTTGTCTTTCAGAATCACTCCTAAGCAATTGTCCCTGCAACTCTTTGATGATCATCATATCATGTGGATCAAAATGTTCCAAAACTTTTATTCTCTTTCTTTGAATCCTTATGGTAAGTTTATCTTCCTCTAAACATTACCATTACAGCAGGAACTTATCTGTGGTAGATAGGTTCCTTTCAGATAGTAAAATGTGGAAATAATATTGAATCCAGTAAAACTAAATCCAGTATAACTAAAATTTGCTCAATCCCTCTCTGGCTTACCTAAATTGAGGTTGACATGATTAATGGTTACTTAGATTTTATCTAAGTCTGTCAACTTGAATGGTGTTTGCATTTTATGCTATTCAGCTAATTTCACACTGAGAGGATCAAATTCAGAATCTTGGGCCACTTAAAAAAAATTGTTATAATTTGAGTATTTTTTTTTCTTTTCAGACATATCCCCGATGTATGAAGCTAGTTTGGCCAATGCAGGAGTAGTATGGAATCTGCGAGAATCTACAGTTGCTGGCCTGGTCCAGCAAGGCCATGTTTTGGCAGCTCTTGCAACTACCCTATATGGCAATGATCTTCTAACATCTGTAAGGACTCCTTTCTATCTTTACAAATGATAGCTTTCACAACTCTTTATGGTGCCATGGTCTTTTTGTATTTTCATTTAGAATAATTCTATAGTACCTACATGGGGGACCAATTGGAAATACCAGGTTCTGTAAACTTGGATTGGCAATTGGTGTAATAGATAATGGCTTGGAATTGTTAATTGGAAATCTGAGGTCTGATTCTAGTTGTGTTCGTTATATTCATTTACATGCAAATACCCTTAGGAAAGGTATGAATCCACCTTTTCTTCCCTCAGCTATTGCTTAAGATGTATCATTAAACCATTATCTCAAAAAAATTCTTACAATCAGGGTTCTTAAAGGTCCTGGAAACCTTGAAAAATCCTGGAAAATTGACAGGGTCTTTTCCAGGCCTTGAAAAGTCCTGGATAAATTGCAATAGACCAAAAGCTCCTTGAAAAGTCCTGGAATTTTAAAATTGGGCAGCCCACACATCCTTTTTTTACAATTCATGAAAGTTAAAATGCCAAATCCCATAAATCTGGCTTTTTTACAAGCTAAAAATGTTCTTTAAGAAAAATGTTTTTTAGTTGTGAGTAATATTTGGCAAATATTACAAATGATGGTTTGTTTCCTTGATTAAAAAGAGGTCATGACCTCAAAGTTATTTCTGTATTTTCTTGTCTTGATGACAAGAAAGAAAGGGAGAATAGATATGAAGGCATGTCTTCTAGCTGCTACCCTCACTCAACAAGAAAAGAGGAAAAGCAAAGATAAAAGGCATCAGAGACAAGTAAACATCTCCGTCAAAGATAAATTAATTCACACTCATTGAATTTGTAGTTGAAAGGAAAATAAATTTTACACTACAGTAATAAAATACATTTTAGTAGAATCTTGAAAAATTTATCAGTGTTTCTTAAAATTTGAACAATTGAAGAAATTTTATTCACATATCAACTTCCAAAGTAAAATGTCCTTTTGATCTCTAGTCAGTGGTGGATGAGTTCATGCTGAAAAAATTGAAACTTTTTTTATGCATCCCAAGTCAATGTGTATCTGTGTAAGCTATGTTTCTCTAAATTTTTGCCAAAAATAACACTTTTGAGAATCAAATTTAAGTCGAGGGAAATTTATGTAGGGAAGGATGATAAAATAGAAAATGTGCCTTTGATGTATTTTGAGATAGAAAATGTGTCTTTGAAAAAAAAATAATAAGAATGTTATTTTTAAAGTTTGAAGGCTAATAATGACCTGTATCTCTAGCTTTTGTTGTGTGAAAAAGTGATGAAATATAAAACTTATTTGGCTTTTATTGCTTGGCTTTTATTGCTTGGCTTTAAACGTTTATTCTGGCTCTTTGTATTTTTACCATAGATGGCTAGAAAATGCACAAACATATGAATAACTCCAGATTTGGTCAGATGTCATCAAATTTGTGAACTTAATTCAAAAAATGGTGAAATGTCACCAAACCAAGTCCTTTTCTGCGGTGCTGTCAAATGTGAATACTTTATTTTCTGTGAAACAGCAGATTTTTCTGTCTGTTTCGAAAAATATTGAAGTTGAACGGTTTCTGATAAAATATCAAAGCAATAAACTATTGCTTCCTTTCCTTGCAGATGGTCTGTTCAGCATGATCATGAAACTGTTAAGATTTGTAAAGAAAGAGCACATTTTTCAAACTGAAAGAATTTGTAAGAATTTTGTCAAACCCAAACATGCATAAAGATGCTACAAAGATAGCATGTATTTCTGGCAGATAGGGTTATGTAAAATTTATCCAAAAAAGGAAATGTGTCAATGAAAGATCTCTTTGCATGCAGAATTGCAACAAAGACAATGTTCATCACCATCATCAAGAAAATTCTTGCAAAATCTTCCATTAGATACTATCTTGGAAGGTCGCTTTCATGGCTGAACCCTAGATCAATTTGTGAAAATAAATCTGCCACAGAAGACAGTCTAAAAAGATGTTTTTCCCATATAATGGACAGAAAAAAAGTCAGCAACTCTGATTGTGATGACATCATCAGTCAGTACAAAAATTTTGAGGAGGAAGCTGCTTGAAATATTGCTTTCAAGAATTTCAGCAAGCATGAAGACCATTTTGTTCTTTGTTCTACTCTTCTTTGTCTAGCAACAAAGAACATCAAAAACTGTGGAATGTTGTTCGCAGATTGGTGGTACTCTCTCATGGACGGGGCCTCAGTAGAGAGAGGTTTCTCAATCAATACGGAAATTTCTACTGACAATAGGAAACATCAGACTGGTCACACAGTGCATTATCATTGACTATATGGCTACAGTTGGATGTGCTGGGAATGTTCCTATGACTAAAGCTCTTCTCTGCAGTGCTTCCAATGCCAGAACAGCATACAACCAATACCTTGAGGCTGAGAGGAAAAAAAAAAAAGGCAGGAAGAAGCTGTTGGACAAAAATGGAAATCCATACATATGGAAATAGAATAGAAGATCAAAAATCGTTAGCTTGAAAGTTACACACAAGATTTGTTCAAGTAAGCTGACTGCTCAGCTTTCTCTGCATAGCTGACTCAGAACTTCATGCTTATCACAAAGTCTGGATCTGCAAAGGACAAGTCCATAGAGATATCAAAATTGAATGAGGAGCTGAATACTAAACTAGATGAACTGAATGAATGTGAGCATCGTTGTGTTCTGTGTAACTTTTATTGCCATGAGTAGTAGGAGTAGCTAAAATGTGTAGTCCTTTTGTGAAAATTTCTATTTGTAGATGAGGATTGCAAATTCAAATATTGTCATAGGCATAGATAGTGTTTCTAATCCATTCTGCATATAGAACCATCACAGAATATAAAAATGACCCCTTCCTTCTTCCTTAGGTGTCATGCATGATGCACAGTTTGGAGATCATGTCTTATTAATTTATGATTGATTTGACAGAAGAATTCCTGCACTAGGTTGCCATTACTTTCTGCAGTAGACTGGTTGCCAAAAGAGGTTATAGAACTCTATCAGTTCTACTACATAACCCATAGCTGGGGGAGAAGAGATGAAATCATACCTTCCTTAAGGATATTTGTGCTTAGGTGAATATAACAAATTCAACTAGAATTGAACATTCTGATTTCTCATCTCAACATCCAAACTTACAACACCAGTATTCCCAAGTGGTCATCCATCTAGGTACTGACCTGGCTCAATATTGCTTAACTTTGGTAATCAGATAAGAACCAGTGTTTTAACATGATACAGTAGTGTTTAAAAAAAAAAAAAAAAGTCATCGGTTAAAACTTTAGACTATTATCTTTACTATTCAAATAATGGAAAGAAAATGAAAGAAAATTTAGTCAAAATTTAATAATGACACTGCTTCATTTAAGAAATTCAACAACTGAAGAATTAAATTTATTTGATAAAATTACATGTCATTTCTAATGTTTATTGTAAAGAAGACACTACACAAAAAAAAGCAATTATTATATTAGCTTTTTATTTAATTGCCAATTCCAGATGACCTCAAGCCTTGGTGTTCCTGACCCTTTTCAAGGAATAGACATGGACACTCTTGAAGACAGTTTACTCCAATTTCCTCGTCTACATGATGCTTTGTTTCCAACATCTATTAAGAAAGCTTCTCAATATGATATCACAGTTTATCAATTGCTCAGGGTAAGCCTTAAGTATATGTATGATGCCTAAAAATAATAAATAAATTCATTTCCATGATATTTTCATGTAAATTTAAAAAGATAATTTGCTCATATATTTATGATTCTTAAATATGTTATAATACATTTTGGTGTGTATATAATTACTTAATAATTCACTTGTTTGTACTAAAATATATTTTCTTCATTTTCCTTAACTCATTGATTACTGTTACTACTCTTCTTTCAAATCCAGGGACTTCTCACTCCTGTTGGAGGAACCCCTTCCTAGTTGATCTCCACCACTTTGTATCTCTGGCCATACTGGGCCATTTGGGCTTAGGTATCAGATCATCTTTGACTGCACTCTAGTCTTTTTCCACTGCCTTGGTATCCACACTGTTACTTTAATAGTTCACCTGTTGTTTCTGAGACATTATTTATCATTTAAACAAATTATGTTAATAGTAATAAATAGTACATTTGTCAACAAATTGTTTAATCTGACATCCAGTGTAAAATATAAGTGTTATATACATACATACACACGCATTGGGCTTCTGACTGCTATTGCTACTATGTAACCCAGTACAGCCTGCTTCATGTTTCCATGGTCAGTAACAAAAACGGCTCCCCACCAGACCCCGATTTGGTGAATACTGTAAATGGAACCCCAGCAGTATGAAAAAAAAAAAAAAATGAGCAGTTAAAGGCCAGATGAACTCCTCAGAATCAACAGCCATCCTCCCAACTATGGGTTGAATAGCCTCACCAAATCCCAATTTACCAAGTATGCAAAGCGATCCTTATACTGTATAAGAATTGCCTGACATGCATTGTAACTATGGTTATACAACTGCAGACCTGGCCATACACTTTACAGAGCAATTAATGATTTATTGAGATAGCAACAGCATTTGTTATTCAATATCAATGAGTCCAGCTTATATTTTTAACTCCTTAAGATTGAAATATGATTGGAATCAATATTTATTAGTTGTGTGCAAAAGTTTCCAGGAAAAAAAAATCTTCCTTTTTCCATTTCATATTCTCCCCAGTTTCCACTTGGCGTTCATTGCGCCGTCCCCAGTTTCCACTTGGCGTTCATTGCGCCGTCCCAGTTTCCACTTGGCGTTCATTGCGCCGCCCCAGTTTCCACTTGGCGTTCATTGCGCGTCCCCAGTTCCATTGCGTTTCACTTGGCGTTCATTGCGCCGTCCCCAGTTTCCACTTGGCGTTCATTGCGCCGTCCCCAGTTTCCACTTGGCGTTCATTGCGCCGTCCCCAGTTTCCACTTGGCGTTCATTGCGCCGTCCCCAGTTTCCACTTGGCGTTCATTGCGCCGTCCCCAGTTTCCATTTCATATTTGGTCTTTCACGCCATTAAATTTTGCAAACTCCTACTAAATACAAACATAGCGCGTATCAAAAATGGCTGTATTATTTATATATGGATAGACACTTATGCTTAGAATCAGTGTAGTATCTTTTCATTATGTGAAAAAGGCTACACCACCAGCCAAAAGATTAAAAGAAAAAAGATACATTGATTTATATACTAAACTTTGATTACATTTTCTAGCTATATCTTTGCAAGATGTTAGAATTAAAGTCAGGGTCATGCAAATATGACTAACAAATCTCTCATTCATTCCCCATGTTTCCAAATTGGTTTGTTTTTTGGAGTAATTTTTTTTTATTCACTCCAGGCTTGATTTTATTATAGTTTGCTAAAGAACTGTAGTTTGTGTTTTAATCATAAACACTAGTTTGTTGTAATAATAATAATAATAATAAAAATCTTTAAACCAACTGTTTTACATCTATATTTGCAATGAAATGACTCATTAAGTTCCAATTCTCTTGAACCTTTTTTTTTTTTTTTACATAGTCTTTTTCAATCTATGTTCAGTTGTGATGATATATAAGGACTGTCCAGGAAACATCTAGCCACTTAATATTGACAAGAACAAATATATCTTAGTCCTCTTCATAGTACTCTCCTTGAGATCTTTCAGCATCCCTTACTCTTTTTATAAGAGTTAGCTGTGTCCTCTTTTGGGATAACCATCAGCTGTCCCTATTGTATTGTCCTTAATCTCTTCCATGGTTTGGAATCTTTCAAAAAAAAATTATTTCTTAGAAAAAAAAGATTGCAATGAACCAAATCTGGAGTATAAAGAAGCAGACATATCTGGATGATATATTTTACCCAAAAAAACACGGCACCCAAAGAATGGGGAGGTACATTGTCTTGATGAATGCATCTGTCATGCAGTACACAAGTTCACGCAATGGTATCTTACTGCTGACCAAGTAACCCCACAGGATAGCACATGTTACCACATGCACAATAATACTCATTTTTGATTGGTTGTCAAACTGTACAATTGGCCCTCAAGATATTCTATGTTCTTAACAAACTTTGTATATTTTCTATACTATTGATCAGAGTGCATGAAAATCTTGCCTCATTCTAAGACAAGTTCTATTGTTCAACAATGATAATGCTCATTTCTTTTCTTTATATTAATATTTTTACATTTTCTTTTTCTATAGGGAAACAGTCCATTTGATCCCGCACGCCTCTTTGGCTGGCACAGCACAAATACAGTTGCTGGGGAAGGTAAAAAATGTCTTGTGTATTGTGAGAGGAGGATTTTGCAAATCGGCATTGCCAATTATGTAGTCATTAATGTTGGATCACCATATGTTGAGAATAAGAAAGCTTTTCTTTCTTCATTGTGCAATATTCACACTGTCGGAAGTTGCCAAGCTTGATAGCGACATGGAGCTGTCTTTGGTATTTAATGCACAGCTCATGGAAATATACTCAATGAGCTCTTTCTTTGTTTTTTCCTTTTTGTCTCTTTGTTTTTTCACTTTCTCTCTCTCTTCCCCCCTCTCTCCCCCCTCTCCTTTGGTTTCCCTTTTTTGGTTGAGGGGGGAAAGTCTTTTTTCTGTTTTTTTGGTTTCTCTTTAATCCAATAAAGTGCTTTTAGAATAAAAACTGCAATACACAGAACTTTTCTACTTTGTCACACATATATATATATATATATATATATATATATACACACACAGTCAGGCTGTTTCACTGTATCACAACTCATCAGTGTGGCTAGACATTCATTTGTTTCAAGCCAGAATCAAAACCTGATCGATTTGGCATCAGTCAGAGATTCTAACACCTAGGCTATCGGCACCCGGCAGAAAGAAAGGCAAATTTTTTTTGCGTATTTATTTTTTCATAAACATGCCGGTGACCTAGAGGACTTAATCCGTTGGTAGAGTCTTGCATTATTAGCAGTAATAATGATTGTTTACAAATACACACTTATATAAGAATAATAACAAGTAAATGAATGACAACAGTGAAAAATTGTGTAGTGGTATCTTTTACTTATGAGAACTAACTTCAGTTTTTGATGGAATCAATCGTATGGAAAAATGGAGGGAAGTGAGAGGAGAATTACAACAAATGTTAGTTACAGTTTACATTGTAATGTTAAAGATTACAGAAATGCTCCACATTTAAAATTTGATGCCCAATGTATCTAGATGTTAAACTTAGCCTTTTATAACCTTTTTATTTTTTATTATTGTTTTTATCCCACTTTTATTTATTGAAATTTTATGAAGAAAAGATGTATTATATAGCCTTGGATAAAAATTTACTGATTTTGAAATTAGTGCCCATTCAATACATTTTCACCTTAAATTTTTCTTTTTTAATCAGAACTGATTTTAAAATTACAATGAATTAGTAATGTTTTGTAACTGATCCCTCTTATGTTCAGATAAGCTTTTATTTAAATTTCTAAATGTTTCACTAATGTATTTCATTGGGCATGCAAACTATTTTGTATATTTGTGCTTCAGGTTCAATGTTTTGTTTTATGCTGATTTAAATCCCATATTGTCTTTTTAAGCAATTGTAACAAATTAAAAATATATTTTTCCAACTATGGTTGCTGTACACTACTCTTTTACAGAATTGGTATTTTCATATCCCAGTTTTGTAAACTTCTCATTCTGCCATTGCGCTTGCAAGGGAGATAACTCAAAAATAATTTTTACTATTTCTCTTTATCTAAACAAATCGTTAGACAAAAATTACACAGCCCATATTAAATGTTTCAATGATGTGTGATCAATTTAAGGCCAAAAACTTGATATGTCCAGTTTTATTATAGGTGCTGCTCCTAAAATTTACAGCAGTTTTGTGAACTGCTGGGAAATCCTTATTCACTTCTGTATGGAAACTTGATAGAACATTTAAACAACTATTACTATACATTACCTTCTTTTATATGCCATGTCACTTTAGGATGTAGGTGATCATGGCTCTCCACTTACTCCTATCCCTTGTAGTACTTAATAAGTTTTGTCTTTTTGGTACTTCCCTCAGACCCTGTTCTGCCATTCGCTTGCTTATGTCCGCTAAGTATGTCACACATCACTGTGAGTATCAGATTTTCCAAGCCTTCCTTTCTCATTACATGTCCCAGAAATTCCAGCTGACTCTTCATGGTGTTAAGTATAAGTTTCCTCTTTGTTTGTATCCTCTCCAAAACTTCATCGTTGCTCACATGTTCGGCCAATGGTATCCATAGCATCCTTCTGTAGAACCATTGATTTTGATTGGATCATTGTTAGATCATTTTCAGCATATAAACCTTCAATCTGTTCATTTATAAAATTCCATAAGTAATTCACTAGTGCAACTATATTAACATATAAATGTCAACTCTTTCTGCTGCTAGTCCTGTGTATGATGGTAAACTACATCTGGCAGCAAGGCTTCTGATCAGGAGATTGGAGTCTTTGAGGAGTATAGAACTATCTCTTAATTGTTGTTGTTCCCAGGTCCACCCTGACCTGGTGTGGTAGCACATGTTAGGGTACCAGATAGGGGGAAACAGTGAACCCCCAAACAAAAAAGAAAAACAAACTATGAAAGTATAAAAATGCAATACTTTTTATATAAAAATAAATTGGCAACAATACCTATTTATAGTAAATTATAGTAAAATTACCAACAATACGTATTATCTGTAGTTGAAGGCATACAAATGTTCAAATTATATTGAAGTAATAAAATTGTGTTCAAAATATTTAGATTTCATCATGGAGGTTGATATGCCGCTAAACAAAATTAACCTACCAACTTTCTGATTAATTCTCTTTTACCTTTAAAATCATCTGCCACAGAGCAATATTTTGCATGCAAGTTTCCCATGGCATAGTGAGTTCTACTTTCATTGGATGATCTTTGAATCTGGGAAAGATCAACTCCATATTTATAAACATCTATACAAAAGATGTAATGACGATTTTGAACACCCACTGTAGTGTAATGATTAGCTGACCATTTTTCTTTTTTTAATTATTTCACCCCAAGCAAAACAATAATGCGACTCGGACACAAGGGGTTACTGAGAGTGAAAGAGAATGAGAAGACTTTAGTGAGGAGTCAGGACAATAAAAGAACAGGATTCAGGAAGGCAATAGATGACAATTAGCATTGCATTTTAATTTTTGAAGATTGCAGATGGCAGGAAAGCAAGAAATTGGAAGGGATTTCCACAGGTGAGAAGTACAAGAAGAGAAACTATTAGAATAGAATATACAGTTACATTTAGTAAGTTCAACAATAAAATGGTGAGATATAGTTTCCAATATATCTAAATTCATGCAGTTGAGTCACCAAGAAGGAAAGCTTATCAGGACAATCGCCATGAAAATATTTGTAGAAAAGATAAAAGGAAGCCATATCATGTTGGTGAGAAAGTAACTAGAGTTGAGATGCTAGGTTTGGATCGATAACATTACAGACCTTTTATTTGGATTTTTGTCAAGAATCTCTAGATATATAGTACGAGCTTGAGACCAGATATGTCAGCGGTATTCAATGCAGAGATGAGTGGTAGATTTATAAATTTGCAAGATGGATTCTGACAAGAAAAATCGTCTGGCGCGACACAGTGAACCAGCTTTCCTAGCAGTAGACCTAGCAATTGATTCTATATAATCACTTCATGATAGCCAAAAACATGAGCCCAGGAATGTGCAAAGAATTGCTCTCCTACTAGCAGGCAGAAAAGGTTCTGTAGGGTGATTAAATGAAAGCAGTTTTGTTTTTGAGGCATTAAAATTTACAAGGCATTTGTTGCTCCAGTTGAACACTGATTGGAAGTCCATTTTGAGTGTAGTTGTCAGTTTTACTTTATCAGATTTGCTACTAAGACAGAAGTAAATAGTTGTGTGCTAGCATAAGGAACTTGATTCTTACCAGAGATCTCATAAGGAACTTATGCCAAATTAAGTTTAGTAAATGACTATAATGACGAACAGTAACTACTGTATATACTCACATATCATGCAACCTTTGAAGACCTAATTTTGAGGCTAATTTGACTACAGTTAATGGATATATAGTTTGATCAACGGCATAGCCAGGCCAGGAGTACATACACAAATTTTATATCTTATGTATGATGAGACCCCCTTAAAATTAGCTTCAAAATTAGGTCTTCAAAAGTTGCATTATACATGAGTATATACAGTGTTTTAATTTCATCCATTCCTTTACAACTTTTTTTTTTTTCTTTTAGTTCTCATTTTTCTGTCAGAATACCTAAAAAAAACAAAAAAAAAACATCATTATTACTAATCTATGATAAAATGAATTTACTAGTCAATAAAGTAATACTTTTTCTGTACAACCTACCTGCATGAATTGAATTCTTTTCTTTTACAGACAGCCTTAAAGTGATGCCTCATTTCTCTCTACCGGAGCTTATGTCCAAATATGCACAACCAGAAGGCATCCAGTTTACTTATTACCTACGGCAGGGCAGACCCACATTTGCTTTTTGTTCTTTTGTATCAGAAGAGTTCACCCATGGAACTGTCCTGGCTTCACACAGGTAAAGCACTTTTTTTTTTCATTTCAAAATTTCCCAATTTACTCTACAATGCCTTAACACTGCTTCTCTTAGAATCCTTTCCAAAGTTCCACTTATCCAAATTTTACTTTGAGGTTTGAATTACCCTAGATCAACCCTAATAAACACATAAATTCATAATTTTTACTTAATGGTCTGAATGTGCAAGAGTAATAATGATGGTTATTTGGATATGCCAAAGTGAATGTTCTTGACTTAATGAGAAAAGAAAAAAAAATGGTTTGCTAAGATCTATAGTAAGAAATAATCTTATCACATAATTTTCATTTCAGTGTATTGTTATAACTATTCTATTTTATTAATTATCGTTGTTAATCTATTATTGTGATTGTTGTTGGAAACCTACCACCCCTCTTGAAGATGAACTTGTCTGCGAACAAAGACTTTAAATAGTGGCATGTCAGTTGAAGAGGAAGACAGATAGACAGAGTTCTTAGCTGAGCTAGTTATTGACTACTCAGGCGATTTCTGTACCTTTTTACCAACCTATTAAAACCCTTTTTATTGTTACGTGTTATTTGGTGTTTGTCTCTACTAACCCCAAATCAACATCATAAGAGTGATTGATTTGTAAAGCTTTATCATCGGTATATATGTATGTATGAACAGGAAAATACTAATAGAAATAGCTTAAGTATTTTAAATAGAAAGTTGAAATAAGTAAAGAAAAGATTTTATGCTGAAGTTACTAAGATGATGCAATAATGTTTTTGACTTGTTTTTTTTTTTTTTATTCCCTGTCCAAAACAATTTTTCTCCAAGCAAATAAAAAAAATAAGAATAAAAAATCATATTCATACACACCACCTAATTCATTTTTGAATAACTTTTTTAAAAGTTTTACTTATTTTTTTTAATGTTTATTTGGTTGGAAGGAAAGTTCTCACCATCTGTAAAACATTAACTTATTTAGAAACTACAAGAACTTTCTTTCCAACCAGACTAAATTCCTGATTTAGAAAAAAAATCAAAATATGTTTATCTTTTTGTGTATTCCAGAATCCAAGCTGCTTGCTGGATAGCAACCAAGATAGGTGTGAAGTCTTTCTATCAACCACAAATTGCAGCATCTTGTTCTGCATTTATTGAGATGTTGGGAGGTAACAGCATACTTTTAAGACTCCTTGTTGATGTTGGCAACAAGGTTGTGACCCACAAAAATGCCAAGCTGATGTCATGGGGTGGAGGCATCCAGTGGAGAAAGGATTATTGCAAGCAGCATGAAGAAGAAACAGGTAAAAAATGTCTCTGCACTTACACACACTCACACACCTGTGTAACTCGGCACTATCTTGTTTTATTTAGAGAAGTTATTGAGTAGCAAGTAACTTCCACCACAGCACTCCATTTCCCTGATAAATAACTCAAATTAATGAAGGAAAGTGGCCCTGGGCTAATTTGATCTGATATTTTTTTTATTGTGTGTGTATTTTTATATATATATATATATATATATATATATAGTGATTTTCTAAGCCCGGCTTAGATGTGGCACAAGGCTGAAATTATGGGGTACCCAGTGAGGATCAAACACACTACTCAGTCATAATTGATCTAGCAAGACAAGCTTTCTAACCATTACACCACTTTGAGGTGCCCTGGTGATTTTCCAAGCGTAGCTTAGATGTGGCACAAGGCCGAAAATATGGGGGTACCCAGTGAGGATCGAACTCACGACTCAGTTGTAGTTGTTCTAGCGAGACTAGCTTGCTAACCATTACACTGCCTCGAGGTACCCATATATATATATATATATATATATATAGAGAGAGAGAGAGAAATGGATTAAATCCAACAGATTATTTAATTTATTTGTTTAAATATTGTTTTTGAAATGAATAGATGGTCTGTTTTTATTTATTTATTAAAACAGTATATTTATTTGAAAAATCTTGTTAGAAAATGTGTCCTTTGGCAGGATTAAAACCTGCATCCCCTAGAGGAACCCATCATTAGATCTGACGTGCCTTAGATCAACTCGGCCATGTAGAACCTCTTGATCAAACAAAGCTTGAATAGTGTTATTGAATACACACCTTAGTGATTATATATATATATATATATATATATATATATATATATACACACACACACACACATCTCTGCTATCCTAATGTAAACAAAGACAATTTTTTATATAAAATCGATTAAATCAGACAGATTATTTTAATTTTTTTGTTTAAGCATGACTTTTTCAAATGGATTCTTGTATTTGAGTAGATGCTCTATTTTTTTATTAATTTCTTAAAGAGTATATTTATTTATTTACATCTTAGCAAGAAATCTCATTAGAAAATATGCTTCCTCTGGCAGGATTCAAAAGCACTATTTGTTCTTTGTTTGACCAGGAGGTCCTATGTAGCTGAGTTAGTCTAAAGCATGTCAAATCTAATGACGGTTCCCCTACAGGACACAGGTTCAGATCATGCTTGAGGATGCATATTTTCTAACAAGATTTTTCAAATATTCAGGCCAGTAAGATCTAGATAAATAAATATACTGTTTAATAAATAAATAAAAACAAAGCATCTACTCAAATATGATTATCCATTTAAAAAATAACGTTTAAACAAACATACATACATACATACCGTGTGTACACACACATACACTCAAAAAGAGTGAAAATTCTGGCCGCTACTTGAATTTCACAATGTTTCCAAAATCTTTTGGTTGCCTGATGATCACAGTAGTGTGAAACTTAAGTAGTTGTACAAACTTTGACTCTTTTTGAGTTGTGATGCTTTGAAGTGTATTTGTTCTGTCTTAGTAATTTAGACATAAAGCACTGTATATTACCTGTGTAACTCAACACCACCCGTCTTGTGTTACTTAGAGGAGTTCAGTATTGAGTCACCTCCACCACAGCACTCCATTTCCCTGAGAAATAATTTGAATTAATGAAGGAAAGTGGCCCTGGGATAATTTGATTTGAAAGTTTTGGGGTGTAATATATATATATATATATATATATATATATATATATATATATATATATATATAATTTTCTAATCTAAAAGAAAAATTCCATAATGGATAACTTTTTATGTTTTAATGAATGCTAAAGCTGCCAGCCATAGAATTTAAACACAAAAGAAAAATTCAGTAATGGATAGCTACACATATTTTTTCCTTACCAATTGCACCCCTGATAGTGATCTCAGAAAGAGATGAAAAATACTTGGGTAATAAAACTGATTCTCACTGTTACAGTGCATTTCTTGCCTTATTTAATTATAATATATGGAAAAATATTTGTGAATATGATCAAAATAAGCAGATATAACATTTGTAGCTTATTCAATCAGAGATATATATATATATATGTGTGTGTGTGTGTGTGTGTGTATATATATATATATATATATATATATATATATATATATATATATATATATATATCAGAATAGAGTTGCTACTAATCTTTTCTCATGCATGAATTCCAACCTATAGAAGCAGTTATTAACAAATAAGTCCTCTGAATTTTTAATCTTAAAATTTGTGGTTGAAATTCTACTGAGACATGATTACATATGCTAATTGTGTGTAAAGACCTAGTTTTAGTGACATGGTTTATTTATGTCAAATTTTTACTCTGTCTTCTGTTGTAATTGCAGGTCGTCTCTTGATGGCATGCTTTAAGCAGAGAGGGGACTGCGCTTCTGAACTTTTACACCAATTAGAAGATGCTATTATGTTAAAGCTAGAGGAAGAAGATGTATCTCCGTAAGTACGGTATTTCTTGTCAATTCAAAGAAAAAATGCTTTTAGCAACTGAATATATTTGTTTAAAAGCTTTAAGATGCCAATCCAAAAAAATCTGTTAAACTATATTAAAAATTAATTCAGATTATATTATTCAGCTTGTTTTAAAGCAAGACATTTATTTTTACTAGTTTAACTCAAGGTCATTATTGTTGCTTTTCTAATCTTTTCAATAATCTTCAACACTTTGGGTTAATGCTTTTTAAACTCCAGTTATTACTATTGTTGTGACTCGTAAATTTTATTGCAATTTTGATGTAGTTTTTGTTAAAACATTCCAAATATTACAGAAAGAGTTTTCAAATTTTCTAATCAAGAACTTTTTTTAAAACAAGTTTGTTGATTGTGTAAGTTATTTGCACAACACATTTGAGTTTTAAAAAAGAATCACAAAATTTAATTCAGATAAAAATTCACAGGAGGCATTTGTCTGCAACTACATCATGTGCTCATTATATAATGATTTTCTAAGCCTGGCTTAGATGTGGCACAAGGCCGAAAGTATGGAGCACTCAGTGAGGATTGACCTCACTACTCAGTTGTAATTGATCTAGCAAGACAAGCTTTCTAACCATTATACCACGTCGAGGTACCCATGTGCTCATTATATAAGGTAGTCATGCACTTTTTCTGTGAAAGAATAATGTTTTGAAACTGCACTTTTACTATGTAAAAACTTTGTGCAGTCATAAGTTTGGACTATGAACACTTCATTACGCCATCTGTTAGGAATAATTGGATTAAGCCAAATATTCATCCAGAGACACCATAACCCTTGAGCTTGTGAAGAAGGTCAGCATGTCAAACTCTGCTGAATACCTGTGAGATATCAAGAGCCACAGCCTGATCTTTGCCATTCTTATCTGAAGCATGTTAGGCAAATTCAGTGATAGCCATTAACACAGACATGGAGAAATGGAAGCCATATTGTTTATCCAATTGTTTGATTGGTTGTCAAACTATAACAAGGCTATGCTACCATTTCTTGAGATATTCAAAAAAGCTGAATATGTTAAAGACAAACCTGGAATAAAGAATTATTAAAATGTGGAATATTTATAAAGTGATATTGATGAAAAATGTCACCAGTGACAAAGTTTATAACAGCCGTAGCGTCTGCCTTTGAATCGGTAACATTTGAATGTATTTTGAATTTTACTTTAATTCTTCCAGTTTCAGCTTTGAAGCAGGCCACATGTGGACCCTGTCAGTTTTGTTGTGTATTCAACTACATTTGCCCTATCCTACAAAATACTTGGAGATATGTGCCAGCACCAACAACTGGTTACCCTTTCTCTGGTTTGCCCAGCTTCACCAATATCCTAAGGAGCAGGTAAAATATATATATATATATATATATATATATATATAATATTATCTTTATATTTATTTAGGCAGAATATCTTCATTCAAGCATAATATTATATCTATATTATGTCTATTTTTATTTTAATCCTCTTGAGTTCATAGATTAATTTTTTAGTGTCAGTACAGAACTGAGTAAGAAAAAGACCGTAATTATTCTCATAGTTTTGATTTTTCCCAAGTACTTTCAATCTCATCCAAGAACATCTTCAGGGATGAATTGCTAAGAATTAATGTAAGTTATGAATATGTGTGAGCATGAACACTGTAAAATTTTTAAAATTTACCACAATGTACTTAATTTATGTAAATTCTTATTAAAAATTGTAATTATGTGTTTTAAAATTTAATAATTTATCTTAATATATCCAATGCATTTCTATATGAAAAAATATTGGAATGTTAGTATCATTAGAATCAAACCACAGCAATGTTGAAATGTTATCATTATCAATGCTCTCTTCATCATCAGAATGTTTTTGATACTACTTTCATTCTTGTTGTAGTATACCTATGGACAATAATGTGTATGTCCCCATTCACATAAATACAGTAGTAAATACTGTATGTTGGTCTGCAGTTGGAGATTCATTGTGGAATTCACTTGACTCACTTCTAGCAGTTGACTACTTCTTCTATGTGCTGCTAGCAAATCTTATATGTGTTGTTCTTGTCCTAAGTATTTCCATTCATTGCCAACCTTTGACTATTCTATTCAGTAACCTTTACTATGTTACAACAATTCTCCTCCAAACTTTTTCTTTCCCCCTCTTTCTCTCTGAATCATTGCTATCACTTGACAAATCAGTATCCAATTCATTGATGAAAATCCAATACTCTGCCTCTGCTATTGCATCATCATATAATCCCATGTCAGCCATTTCATCTGCCCTGTCAGACATTGTTGGGGGAAGAAAAGATTTAATTTAATTATAAAACATTTATTGAAATTTTCAGATTACAATAACCTGTCTTTAGGACTCCATTTTGCTTACTGATATACTTTCCAGAATTTTAATAAAGTTTTGGGGTGCTTGATGGTAAAAGGTTAAATATGTTGTTACCATTAACTTTTTACCGCCCATTGTTCCACTAGTGGAACATACTTTCAGACCAAATTTGTTATACCAGATGAGAATTAATTTGAATTATTTTATTGATAATATACATGGTGGCTTACAGTCACATCACATTGAAATACTAGTTTCCATACGATCACTGAAGTTGAGCAATTTCAAGCCTGGTCAGTAAATAAATGGGTGACCGCTTGGTAATACCAGGTGATGTATGATTGGAGGCACAGGTGGTGTAATGGATAATGACTCAGAATTGTTAATTGGAGAACAAGTTCCAATTCCAGTTGGGTTCATTATATTCACTTACACACAAATACCCTTGGGAAAGGTATGAATCAACCTCTTCTCGCCATGCTATGAGTTAATTAGTAAGACTTGTATCACTAAATAATTATCTCAAAAAAGAAATTCTTACAATCTAAAAACAAAATATTTTCTGGCTTTAAATAACCTGCAGAAGAAATCAATCAATCAAATATACACAGCAAAGACTACAATATGTGCTTATAAATCATGTTAAAATATAATTCTTGTTTGATATAAAAAATGTCTTAAAATATGTTCTAGTGGAATAATGGGCATCAAGTTAATAAATTTTTTTTAAGATAATGAAAAAGTTCAAGAAATCAACTAAATTTAATGAGAGCCTAGTTTCAACATTTGAATATTACAACTAGAAAACATTTCTAGTAAACTCTGAAATTTTTCATTTTTTTTTTTTTTTTCCCAAGGACAATTGATGTTGATATGACAAATTTAAAATGAAATTCACTATGAAAAGAAATGAAGAAAAAGAAACTCAAGGGAATTGGTTTCAAATTTTAATCGGAGATTTATGACCAAAATAAATTTCCAAAATTCCTTGTCTTCAGAATCCTAAGATTACAAAAACTAAAACACAAAGTGCCATCCAAATGTTTGTACTTGAGGGACAAAATGTCTTTCTCAAAGAGAGGGTGGGGAGGTGTGTATGTTTATTTATTTATATATATATATATATATATATATATATATATATACACACACACACACAGTCCACTAAAAAATTGTCTACACACTTCAGGAAAGGAAAAACTTGTATAGATATTGTAATACTAAATTTATTCCGACATCATGAGATTAATACAAGTTACCTTTGAATTCTACAATCATATAAAATGCTTAAAATGGTGACCTTTTAGCTTTCAAACATTTATTAGTACAACAAACTGTGTGTGTGTTTTTTATATATATATAAACGTATATTTGGGCAACAACCTTTCTTTTAAACATCTTTCATTAAATATGGCAGACAAAGGAAATTTAATTAACTTTTTATTTATTTTTTCCAGCATTGTTATATTTTTTTTGTTTGGTGGGAGTAAGCGGAGTACAGAAAATTTTATACTCCCTTAAAGCATAAGAATGCTGGTAAAACTAAATAAAAAAATTAATTAAATTTTCCTTGTCTGCCATATTCAACGAAAGATCTCTCTCTCTCTCTGTATATATATATATATATATATATATATATATATATATATATATAATCTGACAAAATAGAAAAATTTTTTGTGACACATTTCTTCCTTTAGGACTTCATTGGATTAAAGTGATGTTTAAGTTGCTGTGACTGTACCTGCACATGAGACGATGCTGAGAATTTTGAATTTTAATTAAAAAAAAGATTTTTTCTGTTTGTTTTGAGTATATAATCAAGCCAATTTCATATAGTTTCTTTTTGTTTGTTTTTATCACTTTTGTTATATTAAATATCGTCCCACATTGTGATAATAGAAGATCTGCCAAGAAATGTCAATTGTTATAAGAACCTGGACATGAATTTACTGTGGATGATCTAATGATTAAAGCACTTTATACATTTTTGTCATAGTAAATTGTTTCCTCTTTTAATTAGAGCATCATTATTTTTTATAGTCAAACTAATGACGAACAACTAATGTACTTAGTGTGTCATTTTGTATTTTAATACTGTATGAACTAAATGAGAAATGGATATGAAATGCTCGCCAAAATTTCAAAGATTTTAAAAATATCTTTCTCAAAGTAAAAGATTAAAAGGAAAAAAAGATTCCCCCTTTCGTAAAGTGATTTCAAGGTGTGAAATGTCCAGCAAGATAATAGAAATGATGGATTACTAGGTATATAAATCAATTTGTTCAAATTCCTTGAACTTTGGAGAGCATTTTATTTAAAATCCTATGAAACTTAACTTTTCATGTATTGTGAATTCTGAAAATATATGAAATATATTGAAAATTTTTTTAACATGTTTTTATCTTATTTCAGCTTAGATTTTTTTTTTTTTACTTCAACAAGTAAATGTCAATATAAATATTAGAGAATATTAATAACCATCTTTTGATGTAATTATTTATTATATATTGCCTTTAATAAGATAGGATATGATATATATCCTATCTCTGTATTATAGTCTGTGTAAAATGCTTGTCTTAAGTCAACATTTTGAATAACCAGTAATGACTAATTCCATAAGGTCCACTTGATCCTTTTTAATTATGAATTATCATAAAAGAGCCACACCATCAGTGGAGAGCACTATGCCAACTTGTTGAGGCAGTTATGAAAATCTCTCAAGACCAAATGCCTAGGAAAACTGATAAAAGGTGTTTTGTTTTCAAGTCCTTGGTTTCAATGGCTTCTGTGCATGACTGTGCTTTAAACTGGTTGATCACCCTCCTTATTCTCCTATCATCTGTTCCCCAATATGAAAAAATACTTGGCTTGAAACCAGTATCATAGTGATGATGACATCATATCTGTTGTTGATAACCTTTTGGCTAACAGGATGGATAGTCTTCTTTGAACAGTCTGATGTAAGTTTCAAAATGCAGTTACTAATAGTTAAAATTTATACATGCAAGATTTCACAGTTCTAGCATCACTCCTTCATAGTCAGCTTTGAACTTTTTCAGTCCACCCTTGTAACTTGCTTTAAACACTATTTTGACTATGGTTGAATTTTTAATACATAATCCTTTCTCCAAAGTGTTTATTTTTTTCTGAGACTAAGCTAAAACTGAGTTGAATTTATAACTTTTTGATAACAATTTTTGTTTCTGCTACAGTTACACCAGATGGTTTCCTGGTTCCCGAATTCCCATTTGAGAGACCATATATTTTATGTATTAAATAATGCTCAGAACCGATTCCTGGCAGAGCTTGCTATGCCTCCCACAGGAGATGACACCAAACGTCCCAGATCCTTCCGCAGTGGTTTTTACTCTAGGCTAGGGATGTCTAAGAGCCTTGATACAAGTAAGTTTAGTTGCTCTTCTGCCTTCATTGTCCTAAATAAATTTTTTTTTCTTTTTCTCTCTCCTCTTTCACTTTGTCTAATATCGACCTTTGATTTTTCTCTATGCTTTTAGCACAGAGCAGCTCAGATGAGGAAGAAGATACGTTGTCACTTGCTTCTTTCAAAAATGAAAATAAGGACACGGATCTGGGTGAGAAATTTGCTTTTTTTATATTTTTTAATTTTTTGGAATAATCTCCTCCAGGGCATGGATTTGGGAGGTGGGGGGTTCCTTCTGCTTTCATACAATTTCAGTCAATTATTTATTGGAACATCTTACAGTGACTTTGGGAAATAGATGAAAGAAAAGACTGCATATTTCCTGTTAGCAACAAAAGGAGAATCTTTTTGGCAGTAAATTCTTTATTTGAATATCATTGTTAGTTTTTCATATTCCTTTCTCTCTATTTATCTATGTGTGCGCATATATATATATATATATATATATATATATAATAAAGGTAATAAATCCATTGGTATATAATCCAAGTGGATCCTAGTAATGTAAAATATTAAAACTGATCCACAAAAAGAGCTCAATGTATTTATTATAACAGAGCATATAAATAGTATTACACAACAAAATCTAAAATTACCTCATCCCCCCCATATGAGGTAATTTTGTTATGTAATACTAATTGTGTGTGTATTATATATATTTAAGTTTGTCAGTCTGAACTTGGAGGTGTTAAACAATATGCACTCTGACCAGAAAAGATTTTTTTTTTTCAAAATCTTTTTCATATTACTATTGATTAAGTACTCCATATCACAAATATCTGTTTTTCTATTATTAAATTTTATAAAAGTTAATAGGGGATCCAGTTTGCTATATAAATTCATTGTAAATTGATCCCTCTATGGAAACTTTTTGATTGGTTTTCTATGGCTTACCAGCCCTTTGCCAGTCATTTAAAGCCAGAAAATATTTTTAGATTGTAAGATATATATATTTTTTTTTTTTTTTAAGTTAATAATGGTTTAGTGATATGAGTCTTACCAATTAACCCATAGCTTGGGGAGAAGTAGATTCATACATTTCCCAAGGGTATTTGTGCATAAATGAATATAACAAATTCAATGGTAATTAGAACTTGGCTCTCCGATTAACAATTAGGAGCCATTACCCATTACACCACCCACTCATTCAAGCTTATAGCATCTGGCATTCCCAAGCAGTTACCCATCTAAGTACTGACCAGGCTTGAAATTGCTTAACTTTGGTGATTGTACAGGAACCAATGTTTCAATGTGAAGTAGCCATAAGTCCCTCAGGAAGCCAAAACAAATATGTTCATAAGTTATGATTTTTTAAAATTTAAATATTTTTAAAATTCCTTATCAGAAGTGCTTAATATATGAAAAAAAACTCCATTCTAGAAATTTCAACATTTTTTTTTTGTTTTACAAAATAACATGTTATGAGCATATTTTGTTTTGGCTTCTCTAAGGGACCCATTTACAATGAATTTACACAGCAAACTGGACCCTCATATTAAATTTTATAAAATTTGAATAATACATATATGTGTGTGTGTGTGTGATCTGGAGTGCTTAATAAAAAGTAATATAAAAAAAATTATCTCTTGTCACAGTGTTTATTGTGCAACTACATTTTGGTTTCCTAACCATTTAGGTATATTTTTTTCCATGTTGTGTGTGTGGCCAAGTGGTTAGAATGTTAGTGACATCGGTTTGAATCTCACCATAGGCAATTAGCTTTATGGGTAAGTTCACTGCCATCGACACAAGGATGCTTCACAGCATAATTAATAATTTTAGAAATATATATTAGTAAAGGTAATAAATTCATTGGTATATAATCCAAGTGGATCCTAGTAATATTAAAACTGATCGACAAAAAGAGCTCAGTGTATTTCTTACAGAGCAAATAATTAGTACACAATAAAATCCCAAATTACCTCATATGGGAAATAGAGCTATTTCAACTGACGAAAACTTTGTCAGTCTTATTCAACTTTGGTATATAGACTGAGGTCAAGTTGGAATTATAAATTTAACTGTGACAGCTGTCAAAAAATTAATACAGAATTTATCTATTTCAATGTTTCAGTCAGACGAAAGGCACAAGACAGTGGTCAGGGGAAGGTGGAAGGTGGTCTGAAAGGGAAGAGGTTTTATAAAATTAAACCCAGATATTAACCTTATGACATTAAATTGGGGCTATATGAAGAATGAAGTGTTAATTTGAAATTGAGAGAGGAACAAAAAGGATTTGTTTTTTCTTCTTTTAATAAAAAAATTTAAATAAGGTTACGTTTAAAAATACTCTTCCAAAGAACAGTTATATTTAAAAATAAGATATATTTAAATAAATTAAAAATAAGTTAATTTATATTAAAATTATATTTTTTTATAAAAAAATTATTATTAAATAAAAACAATAGGTTATAATAAAGAATAAAAAAATTTTAAAAATATAAGATAAATTATACATTAGAAGAAAAAAAATTACCTTTAAAAGATAAGGTAAATCAAAAAGTTATTAAAAAAATATAAAATTATACTTCAAAAATGCATAAAACTACAAAATTATAAAAAACCTATATATATATATATATATATATATATATATATATATAAATATAGGTATAAAAGTGATAAAATAAAAGGAAAGAGTCCTTAACAGAGGATAATTATAATATATATTTAATATGGTGATTAGTTATGCATTTGACATTTGAAAAGTTAAAGGAATATAGTAGCTAATAAAGTAAAATCTATATTTATGGAAATTTGAATTTGTTTTTATGTTGATATTTTAAAACTAATTCATTCCTTTAATCATGCCTATATGTATAAAATCTGTTTCCATTCCCTCACGGAAATTCCAATGTAAACTTAATTTTCCATATTTTCTTTGGGGGGAAATGGTTGCTTGATATATAACCCTAGTTGATCTGCATTTGCCCTCTATTGGACAACTTTGTTTATATCTAAAATTACAAGAGGGTTCAATACCAGGTTTGTTGCTTATCCCATAGAAATTACTTAAAATATATTTATTATGCGAGTTGATAATTTTGTACATCTTATTGGTATAGGAGTAGCTAATTTTAATTGTTTTCCTATTGAAGATCTTACTTAGGGGGTTGTTTTTATGAAAATGTTTATTTATTAAAAGATATATTTATATATATACTGTCTGATATTAATATTTGACAGTTTGCAGGAGTGGGGTGGTGAACTATATAATTTTTCCTTTCTGTCTACATTTCACTTTAGATATTTCAATGTTACTTATGGAGGTTAGATAAGATAATTTATTTTTAAAACCACTTTTATGGAGAGCATTTTCATACAATTCTTTATTTTTATTAAAGATGTTTATGTTGGATGATAATCAACTAATCCTAGTGCGCTGACAGTGGTGGGTATCTCTCTCACAATGGCATTGGTGTGATTAGAGTTAACATTAATATAGATGGGGGATTCATTGTCTTTATGGTACGCTTTAAATGTTTTATTATTGAGGTTAAGGGTGATGTCTAGATAATCAACTATTCTAAGATTAGAAGAGATCTTAATCTTAAACTCTACTAATTTAAAGGTCCTAATGATTTTCTTTTGTAACTTCGCTGTTAATGGACCCTTTACTATTAGGGATGAAAATGAGTCCATCATCTCTATATAGACCTATTAATTTAGGATTTAGAATTCTACTAAGTTTATCTAAAATATAAAAACATACTAAGTCAGCAACCTGGGCTGAATCATATGCCCCCATAGGGACATCAAAATCATCATTAAAGCACTTAATCCAGGTAGAATTGTTAAGAGCTAACAGTGATTTCCTAGCTGTTAAGATATTAGTCTCCTCATCCATGATTTTGGATTTTTTTATGTACTAAGATATACACATCAATTTACATCAAACCATAACCTCCCAAATATGCCCTTTAAAGTAATGCGAATTAACAGCGTCTGAGAATTTGAATGAAACCTGCCCTCGTGGAATGTAATTTATTAGGGTTGTTGTAGCTTCTTCCCTTAATGTCGGTCTTCTCACTCACCCCTTACCCATCTATATCTAGAGACAATACGCCTTAAGTTTTAAGCGACGTCTAGCCGACACACAGTGGGGTTAAGAATAAGGAATTGAAATGATACATCTAACCCACTCATATCTTATCTCCCACCTCACTTCCTCAATTTTACATTGCTTGATGCGGTCCGTCAAAAACGTGTGAATTTCTTTCCATTTTTCATTTCAACATTTGGAAGTAAAGTCTGATGATCCAGAGCCCTTTAAAAGAGTTGTGGTGAAATAACTTATTACAGGGAACCTTAAAGTGGTCTGTTTTTATTCAAACATATCTGCTCTGAATTTTACATTGAGTTCTCCGGATATCATCCTCCTTGGGTCTACCCATGGGATTACCTAGTTTTGCATAAACTATATATATATATATATATATATATATATATATATATATATATATATATATATATAATTTTTAAAATAGGATACAGAATCCTGACAAAGCTAATTAATATTTATTCTGTATCTTTTCTTTATAATTCTTTGTTCATGCTGAAAGTTGTTAATATATTTTCCCAGCTATTTTTGTATTGAATTAAAGGTAAATCCTCATCTCATTTTCAGAATGGCTTGAAAGCAAGAAATTAATTTTCCTTTTTTCGTTAATCATGAAAAACACCAGCTTAGGGAAAAAGTACTATGATTCCTTAAGTATACACGCAAACTTTCAGCATGAATTAAAAATTATGAAGAAAAGATGCAGAATAAATATTAACAGATTTTTTTTAAGTCACTTATTTTTTTTTTTCTTTAATCATGAGAAATGCCAGCTTAAGGAAAAAGTTCTATCACTCATTTTTTTAAGCATACACACAAATACACATTTTTCTTTTGTTTTTGGATCTGATGAAGCCTTGAATGGTGAAACATTATCAAATCTATTTTCAATGAAACTTTCCATTTGTCAAATTCCTATATATATATATATATATATATATATATATATATATATATGTGTGTGTGTGTGTGAAAATGTATAGAAAATAGGAAAGAACTGGTTAGGTAAATAATCCAAAGTTCCTTAGTATTTTAGTTATTATTTTTAAAAAATAGTGCTCGATACAAAAGTAGACCATAAATATAATTATTTATTTAAAAATATGATTTCAACTCTTATGTCGCAAGTTGGAATCATATTTTTAAATAAATATATATATATATATATATATATATATAAAAGGGTGTCTATAAATTCTCTTTACAATTTAAAAAAATATTACAAAGGCAATTGATGGAACATCTTGTTCAGATTTGTTCTATATACTCAGTAGTTATCAAAGTTTTAAATTGTATTGTGTATTTCAGGCATTCTGTTGATGAAAGAGGTACTGATAAATAAACCCCTAACATTTCCAGACTGGATTAGAAAGGATGGTCCAATTCTCTGGCAACCTTATTCACCAGATATTACTCCCCTGGACTTCTTTCTATGGGGTTATGTTATATTGTGTATTGAACAAAGATATGGGACATCACTGATCAATAACGGCAATGGCATCAGCAAAAGATTGCTGATGCCATTGCCGTTATTGATGAGGCTATGCTACAGTGAACATGCCAAAACATCGAGTACCAACTTGATATGCAACTAATGGTGCACATATAAAGGTGTATTAAATTAATTAAAAAAAACTTCAATATCTATTCCTTATTTTGTAACAATTTTCACATATTTGTCTGTTCATTTGCTTTTGTAATAATTTTTTTTAAATTGTAAAGAGACATTATGGACACCCTGTGTGTGTGTGTGTGTGCTTGTGTTGTAATAGTCTTCTATATTTAGTGTCACATTTTTTAGGAACATATCTTGAGCCTTACTCTGGTATTAATTTTTCTGTTTTATTTTTCTGGTTACCTTGTTCTTGACAATCAGTCTATTATTTCTGGATTTAAAAAAAATATATTCATTTTTAATTCTTTAATTTCAGAATTTGAATTGAAATCTGAATCTGCTGCTGATGATGTTTTCCGAGTGATATTCTCTGCTCAAGCAACAAAATCCGTTTGGAAATCTCTTCTTGCTCATGGCATTGCATTACGCAATCCTTTGTTCACCGAACTGGCAGCATGTCAGAAGGTGAGTTACAAATACTTAAAATACTGTATTCATTTATTTATTAGTATTTCTTTCATTTTAATTTCACTTGCCTTTATACTGTAAGTATTAATAACCAATGCAAATAAAAAATAAAAATAAGCCTTCAGTGAGATTCAAACCTATATATTCTTCCCTGGTAAGCTTGTCTTAACATGACAGCTGCCATATTGGTTAGGTCATGGAACCATGTGGATGATGGTCATTAGCCATAGATCTTTATCTTCTCTGGCACATAACTATCTTTATTTACATAGCCAAATATTAAATTATTTTTTTATTTTTTTTTTTTTTTTAAATATTAAACACACACACATTAATTCATGAAGTTTTGAGAAATTAAATTTTCTTTTCAAAACTTTTTTATTAGTTAAAAGTAGGACTCCTTGGAGAATGTAAATCATCATTTTTTTTTTTTTTTTTTATATAAATTACTGCTCTTTTCCCAAAAATCTGCTCCGAATTTTAAAATAAAAAATGCAATAAGACTATGACATTATTTAATTAGAAATGCTTTTAATTGCTTTTATAAATAATATTTATTTAGGACACTATTGTCTTAAAAAAAAAAAGTTGATGAATAATGAATTTTTACAAGAATTGTTTTCATTTTTTTTAATTTTAATTATAATAATTTATAATAATTTAAATTGTTTAAAATTCTGCTTTACTTCCTTCTGGTTAGTTGATATTGTAATTAATTGGAACCTATATTTACAAATCAAAATAATTGGAGTGACAACCCTTCACTATTAGTCAACATCAATACACTTTGATTGATTTAGATTCAGTTTTCCTTTTCTTAAACTGGCTACCATCCAATGTTATATGCCCCCTTCTTTCTTGTTTAATCCATATATGGGTATGGTGTTGAGAAGGGATGAGCTTATTCCTTTCTCATTAAAATGTGATGAATATAACAGACTTGTCCAGAACATAAATGCAGCTTGCCAATTCAACTTTACACTGTGCACCCATCTCCATTTTAAATAATAATAACTGCTCTATTTTTTTGTTTTTGTTTTTTTTTTTTTAAGGATGCTAATATTCTGAGTTGTCTGTGTGGCTGGCTTCTGTCTGTAATGGATCCACCAAGACATACACAGTTTTTGAACCAACATTCCCACATTGTCACCAAGTGGAACTTGGATCATCTCAGAGAACTCTTGGAAATATTTCTTAACAACAACTGGATATCAAATCTTGCCACTGGCTTTGCCATTTTCCAAATGGTTTGTTTGTTTTTTTTTAATTCATTATTTTATTCACAAGATCAATTGGTATTAAAGTCTGAATAGCATTGAGCATCATTTATTTATTTTTTATTTCTTATCAGTTGTAATGAGGTTAGTTTGTGCTGTTATTAATCACATTTACTTGTTTACTATTAGTAACTCACTCTGATCTATGATAGAGATTTGTGTACCAATAGAAATTTTCATCATTTCTACATGCAAAGTTAAAATAACATTGAGCATCATTTAATTATTTTTTATTTCTTATCAATTTTAATGATGTTGGTTTGTGCCATTATTAGTCATATTTATTTGTTCATTATTAGTCAAATTTATTTGTTTAAGTAGTTGCACTTATTTCTATCAATATGAGAGATTTGTCCACTAATAGAAAATTTTGCCATTTCTACATGCAGAGTTAAAATAGTTTTCAAAATCATTAACTATTGTTTTTATTTGCTGCTAATTACTAATTTTGACTCGTACCATATATACTCGTCTTTAAGCCTACTTCATGTACAGTGAATTTTTTTTATGTAAAACCTGATTTTTTTATTTTTTTTTCATATATCTCTTGTATAATGTGACCCCATCTTCTGAACAATACTGGTAGGCATACTGTATTCAAATATTGTAGTAATGGATATCATCCTGGATATTTTATAGCAAATAAATTGTCTTCATTTGTTTTTGTACAAAGTTACTCCAAAATAGTGAAAAAAAATAAACATTTTTTGAGCAAGTTCACCCCAAGCAAGGCAATAAAGCCTCTAAGACACAAGGGGTTACTGGATGTAGAAAAATTAGAAAACAGAAACATTACTAAGGGGTGGAAAGAAAGGAAGAGTAATCAAAAAGAGGACAGATATTTATTGACATTGTATTTAAATTCTTGAACGTTAAAGTTCTGTCAAATATCTGATATGAAGATTTAGATAACATGGTTTTGTTTATGTTCATGCCTGATGTTTAAACTTTTAAAAAAAATGACCTGTGTATTGTGCAACTGCCATTTTTTTTTTTTTTTTTTTTTTTTTTTTGTGTGTAAAAATGATCATAAAAACTTGCACTATACTTGAGTATATACAGTATTTTTTTTCATCTTAATTTTTAGCTGCTTTTATATTGCTTGCAATTGTTCAAAATTCTCCTTCCTATTGTCACTTTGATTTATTGCAATTGATATTAAAAATAAAGAAGCTATTTTGTTACATTTTTATTACTTTGGTTCAAATGTTAAGTTAAATGAAGTGTACAAATGAGAGAGAGCAGTTAAACAGTATTTAACATGATCATATGTCAAAATAACAGTATATAAAATACTATTTTAAATTTGCCTTCTATAAAACTTGATAAGAATTAAAGGTGTTTTTTGTGTAAAATTTCAACTTGGATATTAAAATGAGAGTGCATAAAATATGCAACAAGCAGTGAGTCTTTATTTATGCAGATAATTTAAATTTAGAAAATATCTATTGTTATTCAAGCAGATAATTTTAATTCCTGAAATATGTTATTTATGCAGATGATAATTTTAATTTGTGAAATGTTATTCATGCAGATAATTTAAATTTGGGAAATTCAAGCAATTTTAATTTCTGAAATATCTGTTATTCAAGCAAATAATTTTAATTTCTGAAATATCTATTATTCAAGCAAATAATTTTAATTTCTGAAATATCTGTTACTTATGAAATTATTTGCATAAATAACAATGGATGTTTCCCCAAATTTAAATTATCTACATATCAACTCAAGCAAAACTGCAAATTTTCACACTTGTATTCTCAAACTCTACTGACTACAGAATTGTACCTATTAACTCATTAATCCCTACTGTAAAATCTGGTATTGATCATGAAAAAATAATTAAAATCCTGTATTTGTTATAGACTTCTTTTTAAAAAAAAAAACACTATATAATTATAGCTATATGCGGATGAGTTCATGATTTGTGAAATATCTATTGTTTAAAACATAATGTAAACTTCTTGGAAATAAATAAATTTTGTCCTAAATTTCTTGAAGTGCATATATGGAAAGATGCTGAAAATTCTTCAACCCAAGTAAGAAGACTTCCAAAAAAATTCTGATCTTTAGCTTTTGGCAGAAGGTTCGACCAAGACAGTAGTGGGCTAATAGGGTTTAGGGAAGTGGGTGAAACGATCCTGAACATCTAATCAAAGTGTGAAATAAAAAATTTTGTCTATATATGAGATCAGGTATTATGTACACTATTTACATTATTCGGACTATTGTCCTCATCTTTGTTGCCATATTTATTACGTTTAGGACACATGGCAAAGTGGATATAGACGTTGGTTAGATTCAGTGACAGGACCCAAAGAGTGTGAGTTCAATACCCAGTTAAGGCAGTGGAGAACTTGCAGGGGAGAATTAACAGAAGATAACTGATATCCATTAAACATGGCACGTGGAACTAGAACTGTCTACCCCAGTGAGCGAAATAAAGTGTTTAGTTCGACATTCTAACCACCTAAAGAAGACCGGAGTGTACAACAGCCGAAACGTTGTAATAAATATGGCGACAAAGATGAAGACAATAGTCTAAATAATATCAAAAATTTTTGTTTTTGAAATTGTCTCTGTTAACTTCGTTGTTCAAGCACCCTACAATTCCACAAGCTGGTGTGAATGTGGATCAGTGTTTTGACACACAAGACCAGAGCAAGCCCTGTTATAAGTCTAAGGGACATAGAATCAAGGAGTTTGCTCTAGACATCACCAAACTTCTGTGTGTCACTGTATCAAGAAATCTTTAATACTCTTTTTCTAAATACTGTTCTTATTTTCTACTTTTTATTGCAAGCTTAAATTTGACTTTACATTAAGCAGAGGCTACTGAAAGTAACTTATTTACAGAAGATATTTAAATTTGGAAAATTCAAGCAATTTTAATTTCTGAAATATCTGTTACTTATGTAGATAATTTAAATTTGGGGAAACATTCATTGTTATTTATGCAAATACTAATTATCACTGTTTAATCATTACTAATAATTATCAAAGTATTGTTACTGAGACACTGTCTGATGGAAAAAAAATCAAGGGAAACAACTTTAATTAACAATTTACTTAGAGTTATCGTCCTTAAATTATATAGAAATATTGGTGCATTCCCACCACAAGAATCTCACGGTCAGTTTAAGTAAGCAACTTAATGATGTCATTGCCCTGAGGGCAGAGAGTCCTGAAAACCAAACACACAAGACGACTTGGGTTGTTCCAAGCCTTGTGTATATGCTACTTGGCTACCTCCAAAGATTCACTAAAAAATGAGAATTCATGATGAAAAAAATGTCCCAAACTTAAAAACAGTTTTATCGTCAAAATCTTTATTATTAAGAGGAAAGACCAAAGTATTTTTAGTTATTAAATTATTTTTTAATTCTTTTTAGAACCTTTGACATTTTTGTTAAAATTATTTTTTTCCTTGTGTCGGTGGGGGGAGCATAAATTAGTATAGGAAATTTTAGTCTTTTTCTGCTGAAAAATACATTGATTTAAAACTGCATAATGTCGTTTATTATTCAATTTTGCGCTACTTTTAAAATGTTTTAGATATGTTGATCCATTAAATTAGAATTCATTAAAAAAATTGTTTAATTTTTATCCTTTTGTGGCGAATTTTCCTCAGTGATTTGATAACAGTGAACTTGCCAGACAAAAGATAAATAAAATCACTGATTTTTTAGCCATATTTACAATTCTCTGGGCAAAACATGATCCTCTTTATTAAGAAATCTTTCAAAAATAAAATATACTTTTCTGAAACTTTATTTGAGGAAGATTAGATGATTTAATGTTTAATTAATTTGATTTGAAACAAATATTACTTTTATTTTAAAATATTGCAAACAAAAACATTTTTTTTCAATTTTTATTTTTTTTTTATGAGACCTAGCGGAGAATGTAGTACTATGCTTTTGATGAAGCTAAGGTATCAAAGAGGAAGCAAAATTACTGTGATGGGAAATAACTGAAGCAGAGACCCTTTATTTCATAATATTGATTTTCAATTTTCTGTTTCTTAATCCTTTTTTTTTTCTTCTCTTCAGGATACCCCATTAGCACTTTTCCTCAAGTTTTTATCCTGCTGTCTTGAGAAACACAATTATTCTGAATGCCACAGTCTTCTGGAACAGTTTAAGCATTCCCTTCTTTCCAAGGTGAGAAAACCACAAGTTTACTCTATCCATCATCAATGCTATAAACTACATCTGGCAACAAGCCCTCTGATCAGGAGATTGGAGGTTTTGAGGAGTGTGGAATCACCTCTTAACTGCTGCTGTTCTCAGGTTCACCATGAACCAGGGTGGTAGCACCTGTTAGGGTCCTAGATATGGGCAAACAGTGAACTTCCTAAACAAAAATGAACATTACATTTTTATAATTTTTATAATAAAATGACCTACAATTCATTTGTATAGCAAAATGACCAGCAATACATTTTTTCATTTCATCCCAAGCAAGGCAATAAAGCCACTAGTACGCAAGGGTTTACTGAGTATTAGAGAATATGAGAAAAACTACTATGAAGGAGAGAGAACAATAAAAGAATTAAGACAAAATAATGATTGACATTACAATTATATTTTTGCAGATCAAAATTGATTGGAGAAACGAGAAGCCAGAAAATTCCCACAAACAAGAAGGGTGATAGAAGAAACTGTTAGCATGGAACTTAGTTATATCCTTCCATTTCAACTATAAATTGATAAGATCTTACCGCCAATTTAGTACTGCACTTAAATTCATAAAATCTAGGTACCATAGAGGGACGTTCATTAGAATAATTATCATGAAAGTATTTATAGAAAAGGCACAGGGAATCTGTTACTGTTGTGGGAAAGAGACCAAAGCTGAGATGCTAGGTCAGGACCAATAACATTGCAGATTCTTCTTTGGGTTTTATCAAGAATTTCTAAATATATAACAGGAGCCAGATCAGATGTGGCAGCAATATTCAAAGTAAGGATGAATGGTAGACTTATAAATATGTAAGATTGTGGCAATAAATTTTTTTTTATAAAAATTACCAGCAATAAATTTAAAATAAAAACAGTTACCAACAATACATTTTATGATCCACAAACTATATATCTAAAAATAAATGTTTACCCTGAAAGTATAAAATTATATATAAAATATATGTATATAAGCCATAAATATAATATAATACGATATAAAATATAATATGTATAATATAATATGTAAATATGTATATAAATATAATATGTATAATATAATATGTATATAAAATATAATATGTATAATATAATATGTATAATATAATATGTATATAAAATATAATATGTATAATATAATATGTATATAAAATATAATATATAAATATAATATGTATATAAATATAATATGTATAATATAATATATATAATATAATATAATATGTATATAAATATAATATGTATATATAATATGTATAATATATATAATATAATATAATATAATATGTATAATATATAATATGTATAATATAATATATATAATATATGTATAATATAATATGTATAATATATATAATATGTATAATATAATATATATATATAATATATATATATAATATAATATGTATAATATAATATATATGTATATATATATATATATATAATATATATATATAATATATAATATAACATAATATATATATAATATATAATATATATATATGTATAATATAATATATATAATATAATATATGTATAATATAATATATATAATATAATATAATATGTATAATATAATATATATATATAATATATATATAATATATATATATATATAATATATAATATAATATATATAATATAATATAATATAATATATAATATATATAATATATATATAATATATATAATATAATATAATATAATATAATATAATATATATATATAATATAATATGTATAATATAATATATATAATATAATATAATATGTATAATATAATAGAATATATATAATATAATATGTATAATATAATAGAATATGATATGTATATAAAATATATGTATATAAGCCATAAAATTGCTTACAAAATATCTAGATTTCAGCATTAAATAACCCATAGGGGTTGATATGCCACTAAACAAAATCAACCAACTACGACTATGCACTTCTCTTTGAACAATACTATTTGAAAATTTTTCAACAATTATCATAATCTCATTTTTTTCATTAAACATAATTATACTAATATGGGAGCAGACTGGGGCAAAAAGGCACACACCCACGCCTAAAATCCTATCATTTTATTTTCATAATGAATAGATAAAATTTGTTTAAAAAAAATGGATACAATTAAAATTTTTGTGGAAAAATATGTATTTAGTAATTAGTGTACATGTACTGTACATAATACTGACAGTAGATACCAAATGTAAGTATAGAATGTTATAATTTAATTTTTTAATTTATTTTTTTAATTTTAATTAATTTGTTGGTATTTTTTAATAGTTTACTGCAGAATTTACACATTAACAGATAGTTCAAAAGCACAATAAAGCATTGCATGCAGTTCACTCTCTTAAGGGCAATCATTTGTATTCACTAGATGATTGTGCAAAGCTACCAATAATTGTTTCTGCATCCAATTCATCTAACAATTTCTTTTCTATAGATAGCAACATATGTAAGCAAATATGTGAATATAGATCTGACAGTATGAAGAAAAATATATGGAAAAACAAAAATCCGAATATGCAAGTATGCTGTTTTAATGTTTCAATGTGGACATCGGACGTTTCGATCTAGTAGACCTTCTTCAGGACATAGTTATTAAAACATAATTAACATTAGACGATATTCAAGTCAACATGAAAAGACGATAGACATAAGACTAATCAAAACAGAATAACTGAAATTTTGATTAGTCTTATGTCTATCGTCCTTTCATGTTGACTTGAATATCGTCTAATGTTAATTATGTTTTAATAACTGTCCTGAAGAAGGTCTACAAGACCAAAACGTCTGACATCAACATTGAAACAACATTAAAACAGCATACTTGCATATTCAGATTTTTGTTTTTCCATATATAGCAACATATACACGTCCAAATTCTTGTCAGACAATGAATTTCTTAACATTATGCTTATGATCTTTAGCTTTGAAAATGTCCTCTGACATTGGACATGAGTAACTGATAGTGTGCAAATGACAGTTTTTGTTTCTTTTTATTTCTAAAGTTACTATATAGTTGTGTGTTTGTTTATTGCATTTTTATTTGATATAGGTAGCCTGTTCCATTAGGGATGTACTTGCCATCTGGGCATGCTATTTTTTAAATTCTTTGAATTTCTTAGATATTTTCATTATTAATTTTTATGTTTTTTTTTTTTTTTTTTTTTATTAAAATACTTATCTTGCCTTACTTGTATGTGTATGTATACACTGTCTGGTACCTTTTCACTGTAATTTAAAACTTGTGTTTAAATATGTACACTAAACAGAAATATTCTCTGTAAAGAAATACACACTATTTCTGTCTGAATTTCTGGGATGAGGAGTTATCATTACTTTCTTGTGCTTTCTCCCCCCTCCTCCACTTCATTAGGATATTGTACCATCTAGCCTTCTTCAGGTACATGTAGTAACATTTTCAGAATTTAAAACCAAACCCATTATTGAGCCCATGAGGGTGGGTGGGGGTCATATTGTCTTCATTAACTCTTTTTATCCATATTAAATTGTTCTTAGGGGGCTGCTTCTGTTTATTCTTCTGGATGAAAATTTATGGATTCTACTACATGACACAGGATTTGAACTCACAAACACCAGGTAAATTGCAACATTTAACCTGAACCAGACATCAGGCCATTACTCATTATTTTTTACTGAGGACACCAGTTTGACTAAATCAGTATGAAATAAAAATAACATCTCATCCAGAAATTCAAATAAAAATTTATTATTCTTATTCTTACATAACTTGATTTTCAATTTTGTAGCCTAAGGGAGAAAGAACTTCGGTCAGCCAGATGCCACCAAGCTTCTGCATGATTGGAGATCTCCACTGGCAAGAGCACACATGTCAGTGTCTGGTACGCCACCTGCTGGCCAGTCTTCTTAACATTTATGACATCCTACAACTTCTCAAATACTTACATCATTGTAACATTGCATCTGTGTTCACATCACTGCCAGGTATAAAACCTTTTTTCTTTTTTTTTTTTCTTTTTTACTGCCATTTGCTGTAAATTGTTGTAAGTTGTAAATATAGTTTTACTCTTTGTAGACTGAGTTTATTTAAAAAATTTTACCAAATGATTCAAATATTAAGTCAGTTTGAAACTAAGTCAAAGAATTCTAAACTCAACAACTTTTATGTTTATTTTAACATAAAACTGAACATGTAATTTTTTTCTGAATCTTCTAAATTATTTTAAATACAATAAATTATAAAGTATAAAACAAACAATTTTCATTTATTATAATTTATTTTATATAAATCAAGTTAAAAATACTTTCATTTTTCATGTGATTCTGTCCTCTGGTAATTTTATGTGATCCTACAATGACCAAGTCCTTGGTTCTTAGATTAATGAAGTACAAATGTGTTTGTACTGTTGATTTATACAAGACAGTGTTGAAAATTCGACATACCAACAAAGAAATGATTCTCCACCAACACTAATTCCTATGTTTGGTCAGATTTTATTAAGTGGCTTGGGTCGAGAACTTCTCAACATCACCTCATGTGTAACACACACACACAATCTTAACAACCTGGTGATGGAAATCTCACTGGTATTTAAACTGCTTTGCCCCTTAACATTCATTCTCACTTACGTGTAGCAGGAAGATGGATTCAAAAGCTTTCTACTTGGTCCTTTTATTTATTTATTATATATATTGTAGCGTCTGTTCTAACGTAATTTCAACAAAGAAATAAATTGAATAACATATGTATTTTTTCTTTTCTCCTCAGTAATTTTATAGTTTTTAAACTTAATAGTGATTAAATTTGGATTTTAAAATTAGCAGTTTTTAATTTTAATATCAAATTTTATCATATAATTTAATAATTATTGGTTAGAATGAATTCTTTTTTAATATTAACCATATTTTAAAAATCTGAATAGCTATTATAACATGATTTTGTTGTCAAGCTTTTGAATCTTCCTATACTTGGGTTTTGATTGGTCATTCTAGCTCTTGTAACAATGTTTTCTCCTTGCAAAGGATCGTTAATTAATTTGAAACTTTTAAAACCATTTATTGTACATTCAACATCATCACTTGATAAGACACTGATGGTGTTGAAACAAAATGGCTATTTTTGTAGTGATTTTATAACATTTATGTTATAATTTTTAAAAACAAAATAATTATATCTGCTCTACCTTGTATTGAGCTCTTTTTAAGAATAGTAATTGTTGGTTATTGGAATTCATTCCGTACACCAATTATATACCTGTGTGTGTATATATATATATATATATATATATATATATATATATATATATATATGATAAGAATATAGTTTTTAAGGTATGCTGTATTTATAGGTAAAAATACTCAATATCAGTGATAGTTTGTGTAAATATAAAAGTGAATACCAAGGGGCAACAATGCTTGAATACAATGTCCAGGCAATGAAGATTGCATTCAAGCAAACTGTCGCCACTCTGTGTTGACCTCAGTGTCTATTTATATATAATATAGACAATAATAAAAAGTAATATTGAATATTATAATAATATTTAATATTCCATAAATGGCAAATAATTAGAACAATCAACTATATTTAGTTGATGTCAAATTAATGATTTTTCATGTAACATATTCTAAACTAGATAGATCAATTGAATTTATTAACAGATATATCTTACTGTAACAGTGTAATTTCTACAAAGTCATGAGTTAAGACTTTTTATTTTATTTAAAATATATACATGGTGTGGCAAAAATCCTCCCCCTGCATATACCCTGCCAGAAGTATCACCCACATAATGGTATGACATTAGCTAAATGAAGACACCCTTGCCACTAATGTCTTACTGCTGTACACTGCGTAACAAATTTTCTGCTGCAATCTTACTCTTTCGTCCCTGTTGTAGGTTTAAATTATGGTCAGTTATTAAAAGTGGCTCAAATCCTGCATGAGAACCAATTATCAATTTCCTTCCATCTGTTCCTGGTCAGTGATCAGAAGCTCCTCACTTCACAGCTTGAACCACTGGTTACAAACATTGTAAGCAAGAAACTTTATGATCATGCTCGGATGCTGTGTGAATTTGCCAAAATTAGTCATGAGGATGTAACCATGAAAGAGGTAAGAGAAAACCTGTCGGGATTTCAATATTATTTACTATTTTACTTAAATTTTTTTTAATGAAAACACTAATTGGCAATGTTTAACATATATGCTTGCAAAATAAAAATAAAAAAAAAATAGGTGTCAAAAGAATGGTTATTCCCTTGACACCAATTATTGTAAATTCTCCTCACTCGTTGTTCAAAATAATTTGACATATGGCCTTTTGGGGAAAAATCACAGTTGATACCATGTAACCAGAAATGTGGCATTAACATTGGTCCTGCTATCTGTATGCAGGTCAGACAATTTATCTGAAAAGAAAGTCTCATCCCTTCTTCAGCTTTTGGCAATGTTTATGGCGGAAAAAAAAAAATGGTAAGCCAAAAGAAGTTATTCCTTTGACACTGCTATTACAATAGAAACTCTTGACTCCTTTGGCAATATTTATTGTTTTAAAAAGTGATGATTAGAATTTTAATAAAACCCAAACATGAAAGTGGATTTATACATTTTCCCTATTTTTGAGAACTGACAAAGATATTAAGTAAATGGATCAGCCACTTGAATCTGAGGATGCCAGTCTACTAAAACGGCTATCTAATCCCTATTGCAGACACATGTTCAGGGACATTTGTGTTTGTTCAACACCCACAGAGATCACCTGTAGTTTATACTGCAGTTATGTTGAGTGAACCTTAGTTACAGTATCTGGAAGAGAGCGCGTTATCTAGCATGATCAACAGTATAAACAAGGTCAGCATGCCTAAACCCTCAGTCATGATGACTTGTAACTTTGCTAGCATGATATTAAGCACTATATATTAGATTGCTTATTTACAAGGTTATAAAGAAATAAATAAAAGAATTTTCTTATTCATAAAGTGTTGGAACAAGAAAATTTTAATTAACATATAACAATGAATAATTGTAATTATAAATTTTGAAATAAATGCATTTTCCAGGTATTTCTTTCATTTGCACTCACCGCATAAATTCACAGAAATAGTTTACATAATTATTTATGAAATGGTAAATAATAAATATTGCATTGAACTTTCACATATTTTGTATAATCATGTAAACATTGCAGAGGGAGTTAACTGTATACAGTAATAGTGGTGTCAAAGGAATAACCATCCTTTTGACACTGTTTTTATTTTTGCAGACACAAGGTTAAACATTGCCCACTAATTTCTGCTTTATTTATATTTCAAGTGTTTATTGCTTTATAATATGCATCTCATTAATTCTTGACTAGTTTTCATTTCATGCTTTTTTATTAGCAGATAAAAGGATATGAATTGCTGTATAAAATAATGGTTGCCATGAAATAATACCTTTTATCATTATTTTATACAAAAAAAAAATTCTTTTCATTTCCATCACAACTCTTGCTGATTGATGGGTCGTTAAGTTTTAAACAAACAAACAAACAAAAAAAATTTCCATCACAAACATTACCACACTTTATTAGAAAAACTATTTTTCATAATTTTTGAACATTTCAAAAATCCTTTAGCACAAAACTTCTGCCGATTAGTTGCATAAGTAAAGATACTTTTAAATGTAATTGGAATTTGGCTAATTACAGGGTAGTTCCCATTTTTTTTATTTGTAAATAGTCTAGCATAAATTAGAAATTGAATTCAAGCTTAACAGCCATCTTTGAAAACCTTTAAGCAAACAGTTTCAATGTGAAAACTTGTTCTATAATTAAAATGTAAACCAGTTTTTTCTGAAATTCTAAAAAATTTTGCTTGTTATGTAAATATTTTATTTTCTTCATTTTTTAACCATTTCATATCTATTTCTAAGATCAATGCATTGTGATAGATTTTATTTATTTTTTTTTTTTTAAATCTCAGAGCCTGAGTTTGACATTTTTTATTTCTTCTCTTGAAAAGGTTGTTAATGAAAAAGAAGAACTACAAAAGAGTCATGCCTGGCTTTCAGAATTGGTTCGCATCAATTTTTGGAAAGAATGCCTCAATAAATTTACTGAACATGGAGTGTCACCCATGAAAATTGTTCAGTTTTATCTGGTTCGTTCCTTTTCTTTTTTTTGTTTTCTGGTTTCATTATTGCCTTTTTATGTATTGTAAATCAGTTCATAAGCAGATGCAAAGTAATTGTGTAATATATATAGAACATATATTGAACATTGTCACTTGACCTTATAATATATGTATCACTTTCATGACATTGAAAAGTGAATCAGGCTAATAACTTTTCAGCACCTCCACATAAATGTACTTCAATGCAAAGAAACAGTGATCAGGACATGTGAATTTACTTCTCAGATTATGAAGGTTCTTTGTTCAACACAGGCCCTCTCCAGATTCATTGGGAGGAATGGGCCATTACCCCACTGTGCTGGTCTAATGCAGGTTGGTAGGGGGCAGATGTGACATGAGTAATCATGTATTTTTTTTTTGATTCGTGATTACCTAAGAGTATTTGCATAATTGAATGTAACGAACCTGACTGGAATTTGAACTCTGCTCTGATTTTTCATCCTGAACTGTTATCAATCCTTCAACCTGTGCATACAAGCTTACAGCACTTGGTATTCCAAAACAGTGACCTATCCAGATACTAATCAAGCTCAATGTTGCTTAACTTTGGAGATAAAGACAAGAACTGATATTTCAATGGGATATGGCTGTAAGCCTCATGTGAATTTAAATATATTTAATTAAGTGAATTTGAAGATGAGTGCATCTAAGAGGCTAGCCAACCCTGTGGATTTTGAGAAATTGTTCAAAATAATTTGACATTTGGGAAGCTTGACAGAGCAGTCAGAACTGGTTGATTCCAGGTTGATACCATATAACCAGAAATGTGGCATTGACATTGTTCCTGCTAGCTGGTCAGACAATTTATCTGAAAAGAAAAAAACCCATACCTTATTCAGCCTTTTATTTTCTCTCTAATCAACATTCCAAATAACTGTTTAAGAGCTGTTTAAGCTGCATTTCAGTAGTCCTACCACTGATATGATGATCACTGGACTATGTAGAAGAAAGCTGCAGCAGTTTATTTCATTGATACTTTAAGAAGTTAAGAAAAAGCAGTTTATGAATTGATGTTCCAAAATGTATATTAATGTCCATTAAAATTGTTTTCTGATAGTATATGAATTTTTTTTAAATTTTTTTTACATACATGTATTCTTTTATATTGATACCATTTAATATTTTGGTATTGGGACACAAAATAGCAAGTGGAAAGATAAAAGAACAGATTAAAGTTATAAAATAAACAGAATATATCACTTTGATTCAAACTTAATAAAATTCAGTATAACAGACATCTGAGACTTCAAGGTTTTTCGAAGTTGATTGATAAATACAACGGAAGTAGGACATCTAGTTTACCTAAAAGCTTATTTTGAATTGAGCCAAACAGGGAACATTGATGAAATTCTTATATTAGATGTACCATCTAACAATTTTAATATCCCTTACTGAAATTGGGTAGAGATACAAATGCCATCATTATTTTCCAAATAGATTAAGTAAACATTCTGAAAATTTTAAGTTTATTTTGGAGAAAAAAAAGCTATCTGGTTAGTCTGGCATTTGTGTATAGTTTTTTTTTTTTATTATATATATATATATATATATATATATATAAAAACAAAAATTTCAGAGTCTATATGTGGACAGGAAAATCCAAATTTTAACTTTTTGATAGCAATAGGAGAAAATAGACTGAAAAATAAAAAGTGAAATTTTATCTTAAAAAAAAAAATATCACATTTTAAGGTGTTTATTAAAGAAATGCAAGGTGATACTAAACTTTACTTGTGTAGTGTACAATAACCAGGATTTTGGTGAGTTTCCAAAAGAATTAGATGAGGACATAGATTGATAAATAGGACATTTTTGCTAATCAACCTGCTACCCAATTATCATGTGCATGTCAGCAGCTAAACCAGTAATGAAGATAATGACATTTGCAGGTATTCCCTGTCAAAGCAAGTTACAATAAAAATTTGTCACTCATCAAAAATAAATATAAACAAAGACCAATAGTCATCAGCACATCATATCAGGATGAGTTTTTTTTTTTTTATATAAAATCAATTCTCAACTTTTGCACTATTGTCCTGTCTTGCTTTTACCAAGTACCATTTGCTCAAGTATCATACCTCCCTACAGAGATTACTTGACCAGATAGTAAATTCTGCAGTTAATACCAAACTTTGTATCAAAGGAATTTGTGGAGATATTCCCTTCACAGCATTATCTGGGAATATAGATAAATATAGATAAATACCTATTTAAGTTGTAATTGTTGTTGGTAATCTGGGTGAGATATTGTAGTTATAGAAAAATAAATAACAAGGACATCAAAATTTAACTATCTCTAAAAATGGATGTATATTCAGAATCGCCAAGCCACAAAGGCCATATTTCAACTAACCAATCAGAAAGCTTCCACAACCAGGATATAAGGTTGTGAGCCAATCACAAGTAGAGTGGCACTTTCAAAGTAGATCTCTGGATATGTAACTTTTTTTTCTTTTTTTTTTTTTTTTTTTTTTTTTTTTTTTTAATTGAATTCACAAGGTGTTACTGGGTGTGAAAAAAATTAGAAAACAAACATCATTAAGGAGTGAGAACAATAGAAGAGTAATCCAATAGATAGTAGATACCAATTGATACTGGATTTAAATTTTTGAAGATCAAAATTGACCAAAAAGCATTGAGCCAGAAGAGTGTTCCACAAGTGAGAAGCATGAGAAAAGACACTGTTTGCATACAACTTAGTTACATTTAGCCAATTCAATTGTAAATTGATGACACCTTGTTGCCAATCTAGTACTGCGCTTAAATTCATAAAGTCTAGGTACCATAGCAAAGAGCTCATTCAAACAATTACTATGAAAGTACTTATAAAAAAGGCAAACAACTTTACAGTAGTGGAAAAGTTACTGAAACCATGATGCCAGGTCAGGACCAATAATATTGCTGGTTCTTCTTTGGATTTTATCAAGAATCTCTAAATATATAGCAGGAGCATTGGATCATATGTGGCAGCAATATTGTAAGTATGGGTGAATGGTAGACATAAATATGTAAGATAGATGCTGGAGAAAAAAATTGTCTAGCATGACACAGTGAACCAAATTTCTTAGCAGCAGACCTAGCAATGGATTATGTCAGCTGAGAATGTTAGCCCAAAAAGGTGCAATGAGTCACTCTCCCGGAGGTTAGCATCAGCCATGCTGTTGGAATGCAGAAAGGGGTCTCTCAGATGAGATGTTTTGGAGGCGTTAAAATTAACAAGCCATTCTTTGTCCCAGTTAACAACATGTTGTAGATTGTTTTTGCAATCAGTTGCCAAATTGATCTCATCTAACTGATCAAACTTACTATTGAGACAGGAGTAAATGATTGTATCATCAGCATAGATAACAAGTTGAGAGCTGATGCCATCAGGAAGGTCATTGGTGAAAATTAAGAACAAAGTAGTACCACAGATAGAGCTTTGGTGGACACCTACATTAGTACAAAAGGATCTAGAAGAGTGGACATGTAGGATAACTTTCATTTTGCAATTTGATAAAGACTGAATCTGTTCAAAAATTCGTCTAATGACACCATAACTTTTCAACTTAGGAGATTGAAAACAGAATTGATGAATTAATTTTATCCATTTTCTTATGTTGCGGTCATCATAGCATAACCAGAAACAAAATGTGATACTTGCATTACCAGCTGGTGTCCTGAGACATCTACACAGTCCTACTACATTCACCAGTCCTTTCACCATCTTTTAAGTAGATTGCTGTAACATTTGACAATACACATGCTTTCTTTTGCCCACCAGGTGGCTACTCTATTTAGATACATACATATTTACTTTCTCCCAAACTCTTTCTTGTACATACCAAAACTATTACATCTGAATTCTTCAAACTTCAACTTTCACCTTTTCCCTCTGTATTATTATATTGTGATATAAAGGTTTATTTTGTATTTATCAATACTGTGTATCTTCTTTTAATCATTACATAAGGCTAATATCCATCTAAACCAAATATAGTGATATATGGTGGGAATGAACATTGTCATATGATAACCTCCACAGAGCCACCATAATATAATTACATTTTGATTTAATTTAATTTCATTTTTCATTGTATTTCTTTTTTTCAGAATGAGATCAAAAAATGTCAGAATGGCAGTAGTAATATGAATGAACAAGCCATCATGTATGAGTTGTGTGTGAAGAGTTTGCTTGATGCTCCGGACCCATCGGGAAATCTTTATGCAAATACAGTTAATGAACTCACTCACAAGATGTGGTACTGTCGCATTATGGCCAGGGTACCAAAGATTGAGGTATGCTAATGCACATTTAAAAAATCCCTTTGATTGTACTTGTTTCTTTTTTTTCCTTCTCTTTTATTAGGTCATCTATTTAAGAGACTGAAATATTCTTTTTCATCTTGTTAACAATAAACAATGAAATAATATATAAGACTTGTTTTAATTACTGTAACAAGCAAACTGCAACTTAGTCTATATAACTCAGTACAAACTCTTACATTTCAACAGAAATATTTTTTGCAGAAAATCCAAAGGTTATTCAGTGCTACTATTTCTTTTAAAAATATTCAATGTTTGTTGCATTATAAAATTAATATTACAAATTTGGGTTTTCAGCGAATCCCTTCACTGGTAGCTCCTATAGATGAAATGTTTGTTGGACTTGAAGAAATTCCACCAAGCCATTTGAAGACTTCAGCCCTCAAGACGGAACTTCTACAACACGGGAAGATGCCTAATATATCCCAAAAGCCCAGTGAGTTTTCTGACAGCGTAAGTAGTTTTTATGTTGATCTAATATTGCTTTCCTAATGTCATCATATGTGTTGTGGTGTAATGGATATTGGCTCGGAATGAGAAATAGGAGAATCAAGTTCAAATCTAGTCAAATTTTTTATATTCACTTACACATAAATAACCCTTGAGAAAGGTATGACTCTGTCTCTTCTCCATGCAGTTATGTGTTGAATAGCAGCACAGACTGGGTTCTTTAGCCTTGGTTGGCAAATGGTCTACTGCAGAAAGAAATGGCAACCTATTGAGGGAAAATCTTCTAAGTCATGAATCAAGAGACATGATCACCCAAGCATGTATTACGTATGGCACTTAACTGACTGAATGTTATCAGCTTTCACCCAAGGGAAACAATTTGCTGTTTGGACTGAACTATAAGAAAATTTGTCTGTTCCCACGATACTGAAGATTTAACAAGTTAAAAAATCTTTTGATAATTCAAGGCTACAGCCTGAAATTTTTTTGCTCATCTAACACTTTTGAGATTTAATAACTTCTTATAAGACAAATATATTTAAAATATATGGTTAAAACAAAAGAGAAGAAAAATAAAGACTTACATTTAATATGAAAGACCAGAAAAATAAAAATGTTGGATACTTACTAGTTGTTGCTATGCAACTGTCAGAATTCAATTGAGGAATAAAATAGTAAATGTAAGTACCAACTAAAACATAAAGGAAAAAATATTACATTGTTATATACTAAACATAAAATACCTACAAACAGGTGATATTAAGTCCTAGCAGCCATCTCTTCTGTTTACACAGGGGAGGTTGCTTGGACTCAAGGACTTTAAGATGGAACTCAGAATATAATGCTATTCAGTAAAACTTGCATTAATTCATGACAATCCTTTTTTATCTATTTTTTTCACTGCATTTCTCAGATAAAATTATTTACAATAACTTTATATTGTACATATTAATAGTCCTCAATAATGTTTGCCTTAATTCCAGACTACTGATGATTTCATTTTTTTTTTTTTCTGATTTTTAATGTATAGCATGTAAATTTAATGCTGAAACTTGGTAAAATTTTAGATTAAAATTTGCAATGCTCAATATTTAATCAATTATTTTTTTCTATCACCAAAAATAATTAGTTTATCAGCAAGAGATCGCTAAAGCTACACCAGGGGAGTGATTTTATTCATTGTTTATTTTGTTACAATCAGATCATGGTGTGTTTACAAAGGGGCTCTAAAATATCTTCAGCTCAATCCACTTCCCAAAATCAGTATGCTGGTTTCTGCTCATTTAAATACAGATTCTACAAAGTAGGACAGACCTGAGAGTTAACAAGTTTGTGTGTTTGTTTGTATTTATGTTCAATATGTAAACAAATATGATAAAAGCATATAGAAAATCTTGAATTTCTTCTATGGACATTTATTTCTTTTATAGTGACAGTGGTGAAACAATGTTGCCAATGTCTCTTGTGTATGTCCATTTTCTTTAGGACAACAAAGGCTAAAATGGTTGAGCTCAAGTCAGCCTTGTGCTGAGTTAGAATAACCAAATCACTTACTTCTAAAGTAGCGCTGGCAAAACATCTGAACAATGTCATAGAAAAGAGAAAGATTCTGTCCTTTCCTGCAATGGCATCATAAAATTGCATATGTGTCCAAAAACCCTCTCTAGTTTGTTTGGTTTTTTTTTTTTTTTTTTTTTTTTTTTAATAAATTGCATCGTAGGAAAATGGATTTTTTTTTCATAGGTTTTATTTCATTTTCCTATAGACCAAACACATTTTCAGCATCCCTCATGATTGCAGACAAGACATAGTGTTCAACAGAATAAGAATTGGACACGTACACACTTCAGTGTATCCACTGCAATCAATTTCTCAGAGTCAAGTATCTCTTGATAGAATGTAAGAAGTACAAAAGTATGTGTAGCAATTATAAACAAAATCTTAATATGTTCTTCAAAAATGTACCTACTTCCCAAATAATAGAAGAAAATAAAATACTTCCAACTTTTAATAGAAAATAGAGCTAGGATTTTGAACCATACAACTTATGTTTTGAAATACTCCTGAACCATGCAGCTTGAGACGTTTTAAAATATCTGGAACTATACAACTTGTGATGTTTTGGAAACACTTTTCAAATATTGCAACCAATTGAAATGTTTTGAAACATTGCTGAATAAAAATCCAGTTTCAGCATTAAATGACCCACAGGGATTTTGATATGTAGTCATTAAACTGAATGAAAATTTTTATATTTGTTTTATAAATTCTGTACTATTTGGGGGTTCTATGAACTTTTCTGGTAATAAAGTATTTTGCATGGGTGAAAGAATGAAAATGTTTGAAATTTTTAACAATCTAGAATTAAAAATTTTTGTTACAGGAGCAGCGTGCACTGAGCCTTCTTATTGGAGAGCTGCTAGATGAGGCTCGTCTCTCTGATTGCTGTCGAATTGCTGCTGAGTTCTACTTTTACAGCCAGGACCTTGCCATTATACTGGTTAGTATTCTATTTTGAGATTTCTTTCAAAACTTTGTTTCATTGATCCTTGGTGTGTATGCATTAAATAATCCATGTAAAAGGTTTGTGTTAAAATTAGATTATTTTAACAACAATTTCAGTAAGAAATATAGATACTGAATAGCAAAACAGCTGAAGTAAAATCGACAATAATAAAATTTATTTAATATAAAAGGAATATAATTTATTTACACTAGTTAAGAATGTTCTATTGCATAAAAAAAATAACTAACTTTTTTTCTTTTACAATAAAGTTCTCTCTGTACAAGGCCCAAGAGCCACTCGTGGTAGAAAGTTACAGAGTAACAGGCACAGTTCATGGGGAAGATAATGTTTAATCCTAGAACTGAACAGATTGTAGTTATTAGAGAAGCATTCTTTTGGAAGTAATTTCTATGAAGCAGCAGTTCTTGGGAAGAAGCTACTCAAGTGGAATTTACACCTCACAAATGAAATATAAATGGAAGGAGGGTGGTTAGCTGCAAGGTGCGTAGCATGGCAACTCTTAACCATGAAGGTTAGAACTGGTAGAACTAAGGAATGTAGTTCATCTGAACACTTTCCATAGGAATAATGATAGAGCAGTGGAATGCTTGTAATGTTTCATCTGTGGAAAATAATTCATCACCCACAAGGACGTGGAGATCTTTTGAACTCTATTGCAACTGGAAAGAAAAGGCTGGCCAGCACCTGCCCATATATATGGCAGCAGTACTCCATTTTTATCTTGAACTGGCACTAGGATAGCAGAAAGAGTCAAGTAGTTACTGGACTGGTACAGGGGACTGATCATTTTTCCAGTATCTTTAACAATGAATTCTATGTACATGTTCCATTTGAGGTCTAGGTTGAGTGTGTCTCAAAAGGCACTCAAGGCACTGGGCTTCCCTGAGAGAACACCTATTAATCATGCCAAGGGGATTATCATGTACTTCTTGTCCATATTTCTTCCTGTCCAAGGCAATCCTTTCAAGTGTCATAAGTGGCATTCCGGTGTCCTATCTGATTTGATCTTCCAATCTAGTCTTTTGCCAGGGATGTTGTTTTTTGTAGGATCTATAAACAGTTTCATTGTCCTCTTCTGATTACAGGGCCAAAGTAATTTACCTTCCTTTTTCTAATCAGAGTAATAATATCAGTTTTCACATCTAGCTTTTTCCTTATGACAGCCATTTTGATTCTGTCTCCAATATTTTCCCAGCCAGTTGTTTTCAAAAGGTGAGAGCCTTTGTATGTTCTCTTTTCTCAGTCCAGTCTTCACAAGCATAAATTATTAGGGGAATGATCAGAGCATAGAAAATACCGGTCTTGATATAGTATGGAATGTCTTTTTTCTCCCAGATCTTTCCTTTAGTCTTTCAAAACTGTCCTGGGTATGACGATAAACTACATCCAACAGCAAGGCCTCTGATCAAGAGATTTTGAGGAGCATGGAACCACCTCTTAATTGCTGGTGTTCCCAGGTCCACCCTGACCTGGGATGGTAGCACCTGTTAGGGTCCCAGCTATGGGCAAATAGTTAACACCCAAACTTGTGTAAAAATAGGTTTTAATACCAGAAATACATTGTAATAAAAAAAAAATTATTATCAGCAATACTTTAAAAAGAAAAATACCAGCAATACAAACAGCTATACATTCTTTGGAAAAAATATGACCAGCTATAGATTTCTTCAAGGAAAAACATTACCAGCATTAAAAATTTTGTTGCCATTAAATAACCCACTGAGGTTGATATGCCATGAAACAAACCAAACCAAAATTAGTCTTTCAAAAGCTGTAGAGTAATTGACTCAACAAAGAGAATTAACGTTTGCAATAAATGAGAAAGAGAAAGGGTAAAAATAATATTAAGCAATATATATGCAAAACAATATTAAACAATATATGTAAAACAAAAGTAAGCACAGCAAAAGTAATAAAGCAAAAAGTTAACAAATTAAGAAAGGTGTTAATACACAAGAGATACACACAAGCGATTGCAGCATTCTGACTTTAAGAGAAGAAACTACAGAACTAAGTCAGATGAAGCCATTTCTCAGTCTCTTCTTACTGACTAGGAATAAATCCCAGCATGCATCTGTATGTTGTCTATAAATTTGGGGAAGGGGGATGTTTTTACAGACATTCCACTCCCAATTGGAACCAAGTTGAGACAAGTATAGAATAAAATGTATTAAATGGTTGTTTTGCATCACAAAACATTATCTCTTATATTTGTGTATGTGATGAATTTTAAGTGATAGAAACAACAGATAAGTAGCCTGTAACACAACAACAGTAAGTGTAATAATATTAAATGCTGATTATCTGTCAGAAAGACATACTTGAAAAGACTGATTCAATGTGTTTAACTGAATTATTCATTTTAAGATTTAAAACCCCCAAAATTAAGTATTGGCTAAGTTATTTTAAATGGAAAGGTATGAATCCACCTTTTCTGCTTCCAGCTATGGGTTAATTAGTAGGTCTTGTATCAGAAAAATCATTATCTCCAAAAACTTCTTACAATCCAAAAATATGTTTCAGCTTTAAATAACCTTGAAAAGATTGATAAGCTGTAAAAAAGAAAAAAAGATCGATCCCAATCACTACAATCATAACCTCTTCAAGTCTGGTTAACCGTTATCTTTCCAACATATCCTCATGAACTGCACTTCTTACCTCCTCCTCTTACTACTCATACAACCTCGTTCAGTAACCCTCTACCTTGAGTGGCTCCTGAGTTTTTTATTCAGTGAACATTAGTTAAAAAAAAAAAAAACATGGCAAAGTATAAATATCTCATTGTTAGAAAAACTGTTCTGTTGCTAGATTTTAATGGTCCAATTTTTCTGTTATTTTTCAACACTTTTGGTAGACTTGCATCCGACTGAGCATTGGATCAATTTCTGTAGATGAGATTGTTCCAGAAATAAAGCAATTGCTGAGTCAATCTGCTGATATCAATATGAACACGACCACAGGTTTTTCCCGACAACTCAGCAATGGGGCATCTTTATTCCGGTTATCCAATGGTAAGACAATATCTCCTTTTATTCTCTATTCTCCTGACCAATAAAACATACATAGTTCATTGTTCACCATATTTTCTATAACGAGAATCTATAAAACACTCTGCTATACAATATTTAAAAAATGTTTCGTTTTTTTTTTTTTTTTAATCTCTTGACTGTTTTACTTTATGACCTTCTTCATGAGTCTAATGCCTTCATAGAATAGTAACACTACCTTTTTATAAATTCAGATAAAAATTATTAATATTGTTTCTACATTTAGAATAACTTATTGAAACTTTTTCAGACAATATAAAACTCATTAATTCATTCAGGATTCAAGTCTAAATGATTAATTAGCAATTCTAGTATTCATGAAGGTACTATTTACTAGGAATCATGAGGTTACATAATTGCCTGCAAATAAAACTGGAAGAACAAGCCAAAGTCAGTTCTGAGTTTGCATGCATACTTTTCAAAAAATGCACAATTCCATTGGAATGCTTCAAGGATTAAATTAAATATTAAATTTAGGAACTGAACATTTTCCCCTCTCTCTCTATCTGTTTTCCCTCCCCCTCTCTCCCTCTCTCTATCTGTTTTCCCCTCCCTCTCTCTCCCCCTCTCTATCTGTTTTTCCCCTCTCTCTCTGTCTGTTTTTCCCCTCTCTCCCCTCTATCTCTGTTTTCCCCTCTCTCTCTCTGTTCTGTTTTTCCCCATCTTTTTTTCCCTCTCTCTCTGTTTTTCCCCTCTCTCTGTTTTCCCCTCTTTCCTGTTTTTCCCCCTCTCTCTCCCCCCCTCTCTCTGTTTCCCCTCTCTGTTTTTCCCCCCTCTCTCTCTGTTTTTCCCCTCTCTATCTGTTTTCCCCTCTCTCTCCTTTCTGTTTTTATCTGTTTTTCCCCCTCTCTCTCTGTTTTTCCCCTCCTCTCTATCTGTTTTTCCCCCTCTCTCTCTATCTGTTTTTCCCCCTCTCTCTCTATCTGTTTTTCCCCCTCTCTCTATCTGTTTTCCCCTCTCTCTCTATCTGTTTTTTTCCCCTCTCTCTATCTGTTTTTCCCCTCTCTCTATCTGTTTTCCCCTCTCTCTCTGTTTTTTCCCCTCTCTCTCTATCTGTTTTTCCCTCTCTCTATCTGTTTTCCCCTCTCTCTCCTGTTTTTCCCCTCTCTCTATCTGTTTTCCCCTCTCTCTCTATCTGTTTTCCCCCTCTCTCTCTATCTGTTTTTCCCCCCTCTCTCTCTATCTGTTTTTCCCTCTCTCTCTATCTGTTTTTCCCCCCTCTCTCTATCTCTTTCTTTTTCCCCCTCTCTCTCTATCTGTTTTTCCCCCTCTCTCTCTATCTGTTTTTCCCCCTCTCTCTCTATCTGTTTTTCCCCCTCTCTCTATCTGTTTTCCCCTCTATCTGTTTTCCCCCCTCTCTATCCCTTTTTCCCCTCTCTCTTTTTTTCCCCTCTCTCTCTATCTTGTTTTCCCCCTTTCTCCCTCTGTTTTCCCCCTTCTCTCTATCTGTTTTCCCCCTCTCTCTCTATCTAAGCTCTCTCCCCTCTCTCTCCCTCTCTCTCTCTCTCCTTCTCTCTCTCTCCCCTCTCTCTCCTTATCTCTCTCAAATTCTCTCTCCTTATCTCTCCTCCTTCTCTCTCTTAGCTCTTCTCCCCTCTCTCTTTCTCTCTCTCTCCTTCTCTCTCTCTCCTTCTGTCTCTCTGTCTCTTTCTCTCTCTCTCTTTCTCTCTCTCTCTCCCCTGTCTCTCTTTTTTGTTCTCTCTCTCCTTCTCTTCTCTCTCTTTTCATCTCTCTCTCTCTCCTTTCTCCTTTCTCCTTCTCTCTCCTTTCTCCTTCTCTCTCCTTTGTTCTTCATCTCTCCTTTATATATATATATATATCTCTCTCTCTCTCTCCTTTCTCCTTCTCTCTCTCTCCTTTCTTTTTCATATAAAACCTAAAATGACACACAATGCAACAAATAATTGTGTATAATATTAATGTTTGTCTACTTTCAGCCAGTTTAGGTAGCTTAACAGGAGTTGGCAATTTAACTTTGACTCCAGAACAGGAACAAAAGATCACCATAATGGAACAACTGTATGGCCTCTGTGTGCAGGGCAAGCAGTGTTGTCGCAGGGTCCTCACTGCTAAGAAGATTGCACTAGTAAGTGAATATTTATAGTGTATGTGTGCGAGATACATATGAAAGGATTTTTTTTTTATCCAACATTTCTTATTACTATAAACATTATTTTTATTGGGTACATGTTGTTTAAGTTATTTTTAATTTTTTTAAACTGTGAAATTAATAGAAGCCAGCCTAAATTGAAAAGTCCTACAAAAGAAAAAATTTGCCTCCAACAGGATTCAAATGTGCATCACTTTTGTTTAATAAAAAAAAAAAAATTCTGGATAAAAAATCATTTAAAAAAAATAGTGTTGTTTACATTTTGGGTACAGAACCGAAGCTAACAGATATAAATTCATAACAGTCACAATGAGAAAAACATTGACAAGACATAATAATCCGTTAGTCTGGGTCTGTGTTGGGACTGGTAGGGGGATACTTTGGCATAAGAAGTGGTTTCCCTGAGGTAAAAAAGGGATGCAGGTTTGATTCTTTTGTAGGTATAATTTTTTCTTTCATAGAACATCTCAATTTAGGTTAGTGTTTAATGAAATTAAAAAAAAATATAGTAACACCTGATACATGTCTACCCACTAAAAATGACGTTTATTCCTTATGATAAGAAATATATTTGTTTTCCTTAGTTTTTCAACTATGTTGCCTGAATTTTTTTAGATGTAACAGGCTGATTGTTCCAAAGAGAGGTGTTAAAATTTTTATGGCGTTTCCCAGTTTGTGGGGAGCACTGTCAATATCTGAAATAATGAGGTAAGCTGGGATGCCTGTTTTGTGGGTTTTAGGGAGACTGGTTTCTTAATAGCCTTATTAAATTTTTGTCTTTCAGTAATTATTTTCTGTTCATTTAGTTGTTTTATATGTTGTTACTGTTGAGTAGTAAATTAATTTTTTTCGTTGTATGTGTTTTTATTCATAATGGCAATCCCACCTACCTTGTCCAAGGAGGTAATGTGGATTTCCTTATTTTTTGCTAGGTTCCTTAATATATTTAAATGTATTCAGGCAACCTCGTTGAAAAACTAAAGGAAACAAATAGGACTGACAAAATCATAGCCAGTCTAGATATAAAATCTCTTTACGCCAACATCCCAGTTGAAAAATGCTTAAATCTTTTAAAAAGGCATCTAACACAATCAACGATAAAAACTCTTCCTATCAATAATGAAATTAATAAAAATCTGCTGTCTTATAACCAATCAATGCTATTTCACATTTAACAATTTTTATAAATAAGTGGAGTGATGGCATGTATTTTGTTAGAATTTCTTGAATCTGATGCTTTCCAATATATTTCATGTAAACAATCAACATACTTCTGATATATTGATGATGCTCTATTAATATATCTTTGTGATGCTGATTTACCTGATCTTTTAAATAAACTAAACAAAGTCAAATATACCATAGAATTTACATATGAAATGGGGGAAAAAAAAACAATACCTTTCCTAGATATCATGCTACAGTAGCTTAAAACTTAGTGTCCACTGGAAATCGACTAATAAAAATGATCTCATAAATTTTTATTCTCATCATAACATCAAAATAAAATCCAGAATATTCATTGGATTCTATTTTAGTGCACTCAGAATTTGCAGCCCTCACTATTTACATGAAAAGGAGAAATACATTAAAAATACTTTCAAGCTTCTCCAATAGTCTTTCAGATTCAATGCAAAACAAAAGTCTCCTAAAATATTTAAAAAAAAAAAAAAAAAAAAAAAAGGCCCTACCTGACAAACCCAAGGAATCAAAACAATATATTGTTCTACCCACTAAGTTTTAACTACAATTGAAAAGAATTTATCTAAACTCAACATAAAAATTGTCACAGCCACATCTAAAACAATAAAAAAACAAACTAATAAGCTAAAACTTTAAGGGGAATTTACCCTGTAATAATTGCCACAAGGAATACATTGGAGAAAACTCAAGGAATTTAAATAAAAGATTATATGAACACAAAAGGGATCTTTTACAAAACAACACATTAAATACATTAGTTGCACACCATGAAAAGACTGACCACAATTTTAATATAAAAAATGCTACTCTAATTAAAAGAGAAAATTCACTAAGATGAAAATGTTTATAAAGTGCTTTAATTGCTAGATAACCACAATAAATTCACATTTGGTACGACAGAGATTAACATCAATTTAGCATTTTTTTTTCTTTACCAGGTTTTGGGCCGGAAGTATGAATTTGTCATTACAAGTGATGAGTTTACAATACTTGAAATGCTTTTAAAGGTTGAGAATAGTGTCCGTTTTCATTTAGCTAAGGAGTTTTTAGCTACAAGCACAGTTACTGATACTCAGGTAAGTAATATTGCTTTATTAAACTTTGAATTACCTGTAGAAATACAAAAGCATCTTTTAAATAGTATTACTGAACTTAAGTAAAATGGGATTTTATGGTGATGCAAATACAATGGGTCATTTTAGTTTCAGTCCCTTTTCCACAACTGTAGCTTAACTTCTCTCTGCCTTTTCTATAAATATTTTCATGGTAATTGTTGCGATGAGCTTTCTTCTGTGGTATGTAGACTTTATGAATGTAAGCACATTGGTAGATTGGTGCACAAGGTCTCATCATTTTACATTTGAAATGGCTAAATGTAACTGTAGGTTCTATGTTAACAGTTTCTTCTCTCTCACTTATTTCTTCTGGCTTCTTGCTTTCCAATCAACTTCAAAAAATTTAAATTCAATGTCAATTGTTATCTTCTATTTTCTTAATTTCTATTCTTTTATTGTTCTCTCTCCTTAATAATGTTTATTTTATTTTATTTTATTATTTTTTTTTTTTTCTTATAAGGGGTTACTGAGTCTGAGAGAACATGTCTTAGTGACTACATTGTCTTGCTTGGTGTGAAATGATTTAAAAAAAAAAAAAAATTGTAAATCTTTTGATTTCACTATTTCACTAAGGTGTTTATAGAATTATTTAATAAAATAAATAAGTAATGAATGGCCTTTTCACCATGTTTAGTTTAAATGTATTTTACTATATTTGTTTTTTAATTTGTTTTATTTTAGGAATACTGAAAATATAAAAAGTAATATCACTTAAGCAATAATAAGTCCATTTTGAACTTCATTAGTTTTAACCACTTTGGACATAAAATAATATGTATGCACATTAAATGCCATGAGGATATGAAAGCCTAAGTATATATTGAAATCTTGGCTGACATCATGAGAAAGTAGTAGGTACTTATAAGGATATTCCATCTCCACTAGCGTTCACAAGTTTGTTCCTTATGCCTTCAATTCTGTAATAAATTACAGTGAAGGATTTTAGAAAGTTACACATAGAAACTTCCAGACAAATAAGCACCATTGAAAGACAAAAGAAATATTGGAAACATCTGAAGAGGCTACAAGAGAACTCATACAAATTAAATCTACAATCAGGATTTTTTTTTTTACTTAAATCTGTCAGTTTTCTTTTTATGATCAAATGATTTTTGATCTACATTAGACAATGTTATGTTTTTAGGCAGGCTCTGTACAATAAGTTCCAAACAGAATTTATTTTTTTAATTTTTAATCCATGATATTAGCTTGCAATTCAAATGCACTCTGTTTTTATCAATGAGAAGCCTGACATGCTAAAGATTAAACAAAATTTTAATTCTGTTAATTTTAAATCATTTAAATATTACAGATTTTTTTAATTTATTTTTGTTTTTTAATCTGAATCATCATTTAATGTCATTAAAACACAAGGGGTTATAAGATATGGAAGAATTAGGAACAGAAACATTAGTAATGAGCAGAAAGAGAAAAAGAGTAATCAGGTGGACAGTAGATAGTGATTGACATTGCATTTAAATTTTTGCAGATTAAAGTTGGCTGGAAAGCATGAAGCTCAAAGGGAGTTCCTCATGTGAGAAAAGAAACTGTTAGCATAGAATTTACAGCTACATCTAGCCAGCTCAACTGAATTAATGAGATCTTGATGCCAGTCTAGTGCTGTGCTTAAATTCAAAAACTCATAGTGAAGAGCTCATTCAAACAATTACCATGAAAGTATTTATAGAGAGTATTTATGGTGGTGGGAAAGTGACTGGAGCTGAGCTGCCAGATTAGGAACAATAATATTGCAGATTCTTCTTTGGATCTTATCAAAGAGCTCAAGGTAAATAGCAGGGGAACCAGATCATATGTGGCAGCAATATTCTAAGCATGAACAAATGGTAGACTTATAGATATGCAAGATAGATTCTGGAGAGAAAAATTATCTTGCCCTACATGGTGAACTGACTTTCTTAGTAGCTGACCTAGCAATGGATTCAATATAGTCTTTCCACTCAGCTGAGAACATGAGCCTGAGAAGGTGCAACAAGCCATTTTCCTGAAGGATAGCATCAGCCATGCTGATGGAAGACAGCAAGAGTCTCTCAGATGATTAATGAAGAGAAGTTTAGTTTTAGATGCATTAAAATTAACAAGCCATCTTTTTCCCCAGTTAACTAAGGACTTGAGGTTTTGGACATCAGCTGCCATTTTGACTTTATCAAACTGCTAAATCTTATTACTGAGGCAGGAGGACATTATTGTCATCGTCGGTGTAGATACCAAGTTGAGAGCTGATGTCATCAGAAGGGTCATTAATGAAAATTACAAATGGTGTAGGACCAAGAATGGAGCCCTGGGGGACACCTGTATTAGTACAAATATATATATATATATATATATATATATATATATATATATATATATGATAGAATGTTTTCAGTATATATTCAAAGGCAGGCAAGGCTGTCAACTACTTCGCAAATATGCATTCTGGCAATTGATATAGAGTCACATTTTTTCATTAAAATGTTTTTCCTATCACCAATAAGAAGTTGGTTAAGATGAATTTCTAACAGCTGTCAAATAATTGAAGCCTAATAATACTATTTAAAAACACACTGGCTTGCAATCATTGAAAGAGGGCTTACAGCCATATTACATTGAAACACCAATTCTCGTATGATCATTGAAGTTAAGCAACACTGAGCTTGGTCAGTACTTAGATGGGAATATCAGGTGCTGTAAGCTTGGATGTGCATTAGCGTAATGGATAACAACTTGGAATTGGAAATTGGAGAGCAGAGTTCCAATTCCAGTTGGGTTTGTTATATTTACTTACGCACAAATACCCTTGGGAAAGGTCTGAATCCACATCTTCTCCCCCAGCTATGGATTAATTAGAATTAAATCATGATTCTCAAAAAAATTTTCTTACAATCTAAAAAATATTTTCTGGCTTTAAATAGCCTGCAAAGGGTTGATAAGCCATAAGAAACAAATCCATCAAAAATCAATCATTGAAAGAATAGCAAAAGTAAATAATATGAAATAGTTATTTATTACTTCCAGCCAACTCTAATGATATGAATTGGCTATAAAGGAGTATATACTATGGAATCAGCTTGAGAAATAACACCCTTTTATCTTTCGGAATTACTTTCATCTTGGGAGTTTGAGAGAAAACTAGGAATTAAGAAGTTAGAAAAAGTTCCTTTATTTGTTAACGGGCATTAAAATTTAGATACTAACCCTGCTGCATTTACAGCTGAGCTCTACCATTCAGCAAATATACCTTTTTCTTTCTTTCTTGCAGCTGGCTGGATTTCTTGCAGATGCCATATTAAAATCTTTAAAAATCTGTGCTGCAGAATTGAGAAGCCCAGGTCTGTAAAATAAATTATTTTTTATAAAACTAGTCTTTTGGAAAATTTTATCTATATTTGTTTATTAAAAGAATTTTAAAATTTTCACTATTTCTTTACTGGAAAAACAAACTGCACTTTAAGCTTCGTCTAAGAAATTGATGGCAAAGGGATTAAAACATTTTTAATAATTTAAAATCTTTTCTGTACTTGTGTGATGAAGGCAACCGTAGTTGTCTCCCCCTTGAACTACTCGCCCATAAAAGTAATGTTCAAACCTCATATATGAACAGTAGTCTGCATGGAATAATTTGTAAAGAAAAATAGACAAATGATTAAGAATGTAATGAAACTTTATTCAGTGCAATTTGACTGCTGCTCATATATGAAGTTCAACCAATACTTTTAAAAGTAGAGTAGTTCAAAGGGGAGATAACTATAGTTGCTTTCCCCACAATATCCTTGCAGTGTTAATGATGTTACAATAGATAATTTTTTTTTCCTGATTATCAATGCTTATCAGTGATGAGGAATTGAGGCATGATATAAGGCAAGACCAATTTACAAATACAGGGGGCCCCCGACTTTGATGTGCCATAATGCAATTTTCTGTATAAGTTGGAACCTGCCTGTCATTTCACATCCATGGTGTTGGCTTTGACCTCTTCTTCAAAGCACTGACATCAGAAGAGGTTACACTATACTTGGAAGCCATAATGAAGGACAATAAGTTTCTACAAACACAACACAAATGAAGGAGCAAATGCACAACATTCCAATATGGTGTACGACCAGGAAACAAGATTAAGAGGTTGCATTGTAACCACAAATTGTCATAGATTGGAACTGTTGAAACTTGGTGACTTACTGTCAGTTTCAACCTATTAGTATCAAAATATCTGCCATTTCTGAAAGCATTCCAAACGTCACAAACTACCCAATGGTTGGTAACATTCAATTGTTTGAAGACAAAGCTAGTTATTAGGTTGGTGCAAAAATAATGACGTAATAATGTCGTTTTTTGACGTATTTTTTAACGTCAAAAAAAATGACATTATTTTTGCACCAACCTATTACATTCCATCATCGATCTAACCAAATTACCAACAGTCAAATGAACAAAGATTCTCTCAAGGAAGCACTGTATCTTGAAAAACTGCTGAGCCTCAAACTCACCCCCAACCTCAAGTGGAACTCGTACATACAATCCATTGCTAAGGATACATGTAAAATGGTTGGCTCTCTGTACCACTCCAATAAGAACCTGACTCCTCCTGCTATCCTTTTACAAGAGCCAGATCAGGCTAAAAATGGAGTACTGTTATCATATTTACACAAACCAGACCTCACTCTCCGGCTTTGACAGTGTTTGAAAGTGTCTCTAAGCCTTTGTGGGTGACAAATTACTCTCCACTGTTCAACCTCCCTCCCATAGGCAGGATGTGGCAAGTCTCTTACTTCTCTACTGCTACTTCCACAGAAAGTGCTCAGACAAGGAAAACTTTCTCAGTAAGAACACACTATGCTACTTACATGGTAGAAAACCACCCACATTGCCTCCATATTCCACGGGTGAGAAGTAGGTTCCGCTCAAGCAGCTTTTCCCCCATGAACCACTGCCCTGCAGAACCAGTTCCCAACTGAGTGTTTCCCCAATCACTACAATCTTAACCTGTTCAAGGCTAAGGTTAACTATTATCTTTCACTCCTATACACACAAATGGCCTGCACATGTAATCTTCTAAATCGAGTGACCCCCATGCCTTGTAAAGGGTGAACCTTGCTGTTAAAAAAAGTACGCTCTTAAGTACTGTGGTGAACCATGGTTGTCTTCCCTTTCGGACTACTCGTCTATAAAAGTTATGGTCAAATCTCACATATGAGCAGTAGTCAGCATTGAATAAATTGCAAAGTAAAATAGATGAACGTTTAAGAGTGTATTGAGGCTTTATTCAATGTAATTTGACTACTCATCTGTGAAGTTTGACCATTATTTTTATAACCAAGTATTTTGTAGGGGGAGACAACTATGTTTGCCTTCACCACAATATGCCTGTCTAAATTCTTCACCACTCTTGTCTTTTGTTCCTGATTTCTCTATAGTAAAATCATTAAGACTGCATTTACATTGCTACCTTAAAGAACAGTAAAAAAAAAAAAAAAAAAAAAAACTGGTTCTATAAAAATTGATTTCCAGTATTTGTGACATGGATTTTTTTTTTTTTTTTAATTATTGCAGACTCTAATTCTCCAACTGCAGTTGAACATGACTTAATCTTTAATCCCATTGGCCCAGCCGGTGGGGACAGTCAACAATTCTTACAGCTGTGTCAGGATCCTAGTCGTCTTGGTGACCGTCTCTTGGATGCTGTTGCATCCTTAGCATCAGACACAAACCCAGATGGTAAGTGAAATTTCCTTTTTGATTTAAATAACTAAACATGAATTTTATTTTATTTTTTTGTTTTCACGTTTATCAATAAATATACAATGCATCCACTGTCTCGTGACTTGCCTCACACATGTGCATGCCTCAAACAGATAAACGCCTCACAGGAATCAGAACAAAGTTCTGTTCATGAGCAGGTTTATTGAAAGCCAAAAGGGGTGAAGCTAGAAGAAATGAATCTAAACCTGAGACTAGTTTAGTCAGAATAACAAAATAAATAAGAGATAAATACAAGGAGATGATGTAAATAACTTTCCATTGGGTAAAACAAGGCTGGTTATATTCAATGCCTTGAAAATCAAACTGGTTACATTCCATCACCACAGATCAGCCTTCAAATCTATAAATCAATTATTTGTCCTTGCATGGAATATTGCGCTCATATATGGCCTTATGCTGTACGTCTCAAGGTCCTTGACAAAATCCAGACAAATATGCAAGATGATAGGTTCTGATCTGGCATCTAGTCTACAATCGCTATCCCACAAACATGCCATGGCCTCCCTCTGTCTCTTCTACAAGTATTTTAATGGCAACTGTTCTGGCAAGCTACTTTCACTGGTTCCAGACTACATGAATTTGAGCGAGTTACCAGGCTGGCATCTCGGTCCCACCGTTTCACTGTCAAAATGGTTAAATGTAACCGTCTCTTCTACTCAAACAGCTTCTTCTCCCGGACTTCTCATCTGTGGAACTCCCTTCCCCTTACTTGCTTCCTCAATGTCCATAATCTTCAAATATTCAACAGCATTGAGAGAATATTGGTCCTCAAGCTTGCACCTGATCTCAAGTGGTACTCTTGTATACAAAAAGACATAGGTAAAGTGATCAGCTTGCTATACTGCAACACTAAGTACCTGACTCCTCATGCTATCCTCTACTTTCATAAGAACCAGACTAGGCCGAAAATGGAGTACTGTTGATATATTTGGGTGGAAGTTACTCAGTCTTCACTTTCCAGGCTTGATAGAGTTCAAAAGCAATGTGAGCCTTGTTGAAGAATAATTATTTTCCACCCACCAACCTCTCTCTTATGGGCAGGATGTAGCAAGTCTCTTCCTGCTGTATCACTACTACTATAGAAAGTGCTCAGACAAACTAGATTCCTTGATTCTGCTAGGTCTAACCTTCACAACTAGGACCCACCATGCCACTTACATAGTAGCAAGCCACCCACATTCCCTCTGTATTCCATTGGCAAGATGTAAGTTCCACTCAAACAGCTTCTTCCTATGAATCCTTTGGAACAGACGCCCAAGAGGACATTTCCCCAATTACTACTATTTTAACCTGTTCAAGTCTAGAGTTAACCATTATGTTACCCTTTTATCCATATAAACTACCCCTTAATGTAACCCTCTACCCCAAGTGGCCCCAGGGCCCTTTTACAGAGTGAACCTTACTGTTAAAAGAAAAAATAAGAGGCCAGAGGAATAACATAATGCAAACCAAGACTCTAAATGGGGTGTGGGGGGAGTAGTAAGTTGTTTGCTGGCAAAAATTATTTTAAAGTTTACAAGAATTTAGTTGACTGAAAAGAAAGTTATATGAAGTTACTGTATTGGTAAAATATGACACAGTGAGAAAAGTTAACACATGGTAAAAATTTTTGATTTTTTTTTTTTTTTTTTTTTTTTTTTTTTTATAGCTTATCAACCCTTTGCAGGCTATTTAAAGCCAGAATATATTTTTAGATAATAATGGTTTAGTCTTACATAGCTGGAGGGAGAAGTGGAGTCATACCTAATCAGAATTTGATAAACGAGAAATTATAATGTGGATATAAAGTGTGGGATCAATTCTATATTACAATCGATATATAAACTGATCCCTCACATTGTGGCCACGATAATCTATCCATTTATATTCCAAAGAATGTAAATAAATCTAAAAACCTGCCTGTGAAGCTAATCAGTATTTCATTGATTAATTTGTTTTTTATGGCTATCAACCCTTTGCAGGTTATTTAAAACCAGGAAAAAATTTAAGTTTGTAAGAATTTTGGGGGATATAAGGTTTTAGTGTTAAGATGTCTTACTAATTAACCCATAGTTGAGGGAGAGAAGAGTTGGATTCATACCTCCCCCAAGAGTATTTGTGTGTAAGTGTATATAACGAACCAAACTGAAATTAGAACTCTGCTCTTTGATTATTTATTACATCCCCCACACATCCAAGCTTACAGCACTTGGTATTCCCAAGTGGTCACCCATCTAGGTACTGACCAGGATCTATGTTGCTTAACTTCACTGATTGTATGGGAACCAGTGTTTCAACATGATAAAAAAGGATTCACATGACAAAGTACAGCTAGCAAAAATAAATTGACAAAACATGGTTATATTAAACAAATGTTCAAATAATGAGATATTAAGAGAGTTCAATACTTATAGAAAACTAGCTTAAAAGCCGCCATATCAGGCAGCATTTAAGCTAGCTCCTGCAGAGTGTTCTTGATTGGGCCTTCATCACAATAGGTAGGGAGGAGTAGATGTGATAGGTAACAATAAAATACAGAACAACTCAAAATTCATTGCTGCATTTAATATTGCATTAATATTTAAGATTACATTTTAAAAGTTCAATGATAATTCTTCTGTTGCCACATTTTGATGTACATAGGTCCTTATTTTCTGTACAAACAATTATTTTTATTTCATGAGTGACTTTTGCTGGAATTTGTAATTAATTTCAGTTATTCCCAAATTTATTTCCAAATTATGAAAATTATCATACAAAATTTTGTTGCAAAAAATCACATAAAAAAAATTGCTGAAAATAATTGCAGTAATGAAAACTTGGGAATGTTTTTTTAATTTGCTCACAGAGTTGGCTTAATTCCAAACTGGTATATGTTTGGCTATGGCCTCTAGAAGTAAAGTGAAAAAAGTGTGACACATTGACATTCGCATTTATTATATAGGAGCTGAGCTATTGAGTTGTGTCCCTTTAATTGAAAAAGTGTGACACACTGACATTGGAATTTATTATATAGAAGGACAAGGCATTACATGCTGCTGATACTATCATTTGGGGTGTAGAATTTGAAGGATAGAAAAGGTAAGAAGCTGTACTTTAAGCTTATCATTTATTCTGTCAGGAAATATTTGGCACTCATTGACTGAGCAGCCAGTACTATTTTCGGTTAAAATTTATAAAATCTTTCTCTTAGAACACTTTTTAAGAAAACAGGTTTCTCAAGTCAAATAGCTTTTATTGTTCTTTCCAGTATTGATAGGGGTTTCCTCCCAAACCTTTTATTTGAAGTGGTGTAGAATGTTAAATTTCTTATGTCATTATTTTCTCTTCAAGTTAATGTGCTATCCATTTTAGTTGTTGCCGCTGTTGGTAGTCCTGAAGTGACATGACATGGTTTCTGTTATTTGGTACAATTCTTTGTTTGTTGACTAGCACTACAGAACCACAGGCCATGGTTGAGACCAATGGTGATTTTATTGAAAAAAAAATTTACTCTTTAGTATTTCAAGATATTTTTGTGTAATTTTGGTAAATATATTTGTTAAAATGAGATGTCAGTTTTATTTTCATTTTTGTGTAATTTAGATGACAATGTATCCATGGCACCTTGTATATGTTTATCAAAAGAAACAACATGAAAATTATAAATTGGAGATACTAAGATTAATCTTGTGCAAAAATTCAAATATCTAGGAAGAGGACAAAAAAAATGTGACACATTGGGATAGCAAAAGTGCATTCTAAAATCTAAGCAAAGTATTAAGCAACAGAAAAATGTTGTTAGAAACAAAGAGTACTGAACTGTTATGTAATATCAGTCCTATATAGTAGTGGATATTGGAGAATCTCATTACAGATAGAGAAGACGTAAGACAACAGAAATGTGGTTCTACAGAAGGATGCTGAGAATATCATGGATTGAACTTGTGAGCAATGACAAAGTTTTAGAGAAAATAGAAACAAAGGACTTATACTTAACATCAGAAAGAAATAATTGAAATTTTTTTGGCTCATAATGAGGAAAGAAGGCTTAGGAAATTTGACATTGAGTGTAAGATTGACAAAAAAACGGTGCCATAACCTACCTAATGAACTTCAATAAATGGTCGGTAGAACAGGGATTAGGAGAAATAGCAAAATGACTAACAAAAAGCTACAAAGGACAGGAAATTGTGGAAAGCTATGATCACCCATAGACTTGGCAGAGAAGAATCAAGTGAGTTTATAGTCTCACAAATTACTTTATCTTTGGAATAGTCATTTTATAAATATGAATAAAAGTACAGGTCTTTCAATTAAAAAAAAAAGCTTGTTTTTAATAAAAGTTTAACTAATTGTTGTACTCCTTTTTTTCTGCAAACTAAATCCATGTTTTTTTCTTTCTTTTTCTTACCAGTATTGACTGTTCAAACTCAACTGCTTATCTTAGCACATCGGTGTCACACAGCTGCTTGTAACATGGAAGGCATCTCTAATGTCTTGAGGGCTGCTCGGGTTCTCAACCAGTGCCTCTCACAAGCTGAAGAGTTCCCTCTCATGGTGAGTTTCTTTGTGTATGCTATGAAGATCTGAGTTTTCGTTATAAAAGTTTTAATTACTAGAGTAAATAGGGGTGTATTGGAACTGAATGTAGTATGGATTTTTGCTACTACATTTTCTGACCAGTGAAAATCATTTGAGCCACTGTGAAAATGTGAACTAATTTTAGTGTGCAAATTTATACTTGCATCCCCTTGACTTAAAAACCAGTCTTTCTAATCTGGCAGTGGTTCTGAGTTAAAGTAAAAAAAACAAGTGTTCATATGCTTAACATGAATTATGTTTCTTGGCTGTGACATATAACTACTTGCAAAAAATAATAATCACTCTTTGCATCAACAGTAATACAATAAAATTTCATGCCATCAAATAAGTTATAATAAATATTTCTTAAAAAAAGATGTAAGCTGAAATTCGTTTGGTATATTTAACATAAATATTAGGTTGTCACACATGAAATGACACACTTTATAGAAAATTAATAAAACACTTCAGAAATAAGTAATTTATTTAGGTAAAATAGGTACCAAGTTGATGAATGACTGTACCTCTAAATTCTTGATGCCATCTTTTAAAAAAATTCTTATCCCTTGATGTGATAAACAGTTCAAATGCTTTGATTTACCTCTTCCTTATTGGAGGATGTTTTATTTCATATGAAAAGCTCAAAATGCTTAAATAAGTGATAATCAGTATGAGAGATATCAGGTGAATATGGAGGAGGAGGGGGAGGCAGCAAAATTTCATAATTCAGGTTATGCAGTTTTTGGATAGTTGAGAAGTGTGAGGCCATGCATTGTCATGCAGCAAAATTGAGCCATTCCTATTCACAAGTCTTGGATGTTTTTTTTATCAATTTTTCATGCATACACCCAATTTCTCCACAATATGAGGTTACTGTTATTGTTTTACTTTGAGGCAAGAATGAATAATGAATAACCCCTTTGAAAGACCACCATATAATAACCATTAACTTTTTAGGGTGCAGTAGAGATTTTGGGTATTGTTTTGTTGATTCACTTACATCTAACCACTATTATCAAAGAGTATCTATTTCTCATTGCATGTAATGATTCAATGCAAAAATTATTCTTTTTCCCAGTTTGTACTCATACAGTAAGATTACTTGGCATTGGTCAATTGTGATCATTTTGATTGAGCTTATGAGTAACAATATATGGGAAGAAAAAGAATCAGGAATAAGTCGAGATTTTTCATATACTAAGGAAGTTACTTTGTTAGACAATCAAATAAACAACCAACAAAAATACGCATCTTTTCATGTGTGACAACCTAATATATATACATGGGTAAGTTAAAAATTATCTGCACTTTCACAGTATTTGGAATTTTTGATAAGAGTGCAGATAATTTTTGACTTACCTTCATATATCCTGCAAATTTTACCAATTTCTGTTCCTTAATACAAATTTTACTGTGAAAACCTTGACTTATATGAGGGTGGGCTGAAAAGTTCATAGGTTGACTATGAATAAGTGATGCTAGAATTCTGAAATCTTGCATGCATTAAGTTTAAATCTTATTATTAATAACTGTATTGTTTCTTTTCAGGTAAACTGACACCTGACTGTTCAAAGAAGACTTCAAAAGTAACTAGTAGCTGTTTCTCTTGAAAATAGATAAAATTTGTCATCATAGTGTTATCAAGTACCTATAGAAAAATGGTTTCACACCAAGGACATTCTTGTTGACATGGTTACTACATTAGGGGATGATGCTCCAGCTTTAACAACAGTGTAAAAGTGGGCAGCTGAATTTAAGTGGGGAAGGGAGTCTTGATGGCCCAAGGTCATGACGTCCTACAACTGTCACCACCAAGGAAAACATTGTGTTTACTACATGGTGATGGATGTAAAGTGATTGACTATAAATCAAATAGCAAATGTCATTAACATATCCCATGAGATAGTTGAGAATATTGTGCACAATTAACTTAGCATGAAGGTTTCTGCTTGGTGAGTGCTACCTCTGGCACCTGATCAAAAACGCAACAGACTGATCACATCACAGGAAAATCTGACATTGTTTGAGGCAGATCCAGCTGGTTTCCTTGAATGTTTCCTAACCCAAGATGAACGTTGGGTTCATCACTTTGAACCAGAGACAATACCCCTCCATACATGCACCAAAGAAAGTCAAGGTCCTTTCGTCTGCAGGAAAGGTGATGGCCTCAAATTTTGGGGATGCAAAAGGCATTGTATTTATTGACTATCTTCAAAAGGGCCATACCATCAATGGAGAATCTTATGTCAACTTGCTGAGGCAGTTAAGAAAGGTTATCAAGACCAAATGCTCATGAAAACAGACCAAAGGAGTTTTCTTTCATCTGGACAATGCTTCAGTACAGTCCTTGGTTTCAATGGTTGCTGTACATGACTATGGCTTTGAACTTGGTTTATCACCCTTCCTATTCTCCTGATTTGGCCCCATATGACTATCATCTGTTCCCCAACATGAAAAATAAACACTTGGCTGGTAAACAGCATTGCAGTGATGACATATCTGCTGTTGATGACTTTTTTAATGAACAGGATAAAAGCTTCTTCACCAATGGAAAAAGTGTGTGGACCGCAAGAGGGACTGTTGAAAAATAAACCTCATTTAATCACATTCTATGAGAGTATCTTGGTCAGCCTATGAACTTTTTAAATGACCCTCATAGTGTTTATATTTTGTTTACATTGCTAAATTAAACCTCATTTGATCACATTCCATGAGAGCATCTTGGTCAGCCTATGAACTTTCCAGGCAACCTTCATATAATAAAATCAAACACACTGTAAATATTAGTATTATTTAGTTATTTATAGTAACTTCATTGAAATTATTTATAAAGGTTTAAATATACAAATTTCAGAATATGTTCGTGTACATTCTTTTATATATTTCACCACAAATTCACTTCCTTGATTTTTGTCTTCTTCAGATCCAGCTGTTGACTGGTGTTGGTCGTTTTAATGAAATGACTTATATATTTGATGCTTTGAAACAACATCACCAATTTGAGCTTCTTTTAAGAAAAGGAATGGAAAAGGTTTCTTATCTTCATTATTTGTCATTTTGAACTTTCTTATCAAGAAGATTAAATTATTTCCAATGTTTTTCTCATAGAAAAATGTCAAAAACTTATTGCTGATAAAATCATTATTGTTAATCTCTTGTGATAGTTTAAAAAAGAAGTAATTATTAGTCAGAATAATAAAACCCTCACTAGACATACTGTATTTTATGACTCATAAGATACTTCACACCCTGATGTTTTGTGCCAAAGTTGAAATATTTGGGACACTAATGTTTGCCCAGATACCATAGCACTTATATGAAAGTCAAACTCTATAATACTGCAATATTAAGTGTAAATAGAGGAAATTTACATGCTCTCAAATATTTGCAACTATTCAACCTGTCTGGCCAATAAAGAATGCATTAAACAAATAAGTAGTAGTAGTAATAAACAAAATGATTGACGTAACTTTTGAAAAATATTGAAAGAGTTCAGAGAAGAGCATGATTTAGAAAAGAAAAACGGAAAAACTGTGACAATATGAAAAGAAATTTCAACAGAATGTCTGTCTTCAAGTTATATTTAAACAATTATAAAAATATATAAATCTACAAAAAATTATGTCTTTGTACAAACCTTTGCTTGACTTGTAATGAAAAAATGGCTGTACTGGGAATTAACGCATCAAAACAAATGAAACACTGTCATATGATGGTGATCTTGTTCATCTTGAAATTTTCTGTTACTTGATTAGTTACTGTTATGGAGTGGTTTCACAGTGGAGGCTTGTATTTGTACTAAGTCGGTCCTAAAATAGGTTCGATGTACAAAACATTAGGAACTTGATATAATAGGTAATGATGCAGAGTAATCTAGTTGCGGTTGCTGATACTTTAGTATCCAACTAACAGTCGTCCGGCATCGACTGACCGACCCACTGACCGACTCCTCGTTACTCTTACTACTCCTACTTATTATAGGTGGGAGAGTCTATTAACTATAGAATAGGTGTGTTCCACTATAACAGTTACATAGATCAAGTAGATTCTGAATATTTTTTTCAGAATGTGCACCTTTCAAAATGTTTGAAATTACAGTCATTTGTAATAAAATGTTCTGTGAGCTCTGTTGACGTCACATTATTTGTGCCTGACATCATACTGGTGTCCATTGAATCTTTTATTTAAAAATATAAGGAAATGACTAATATTACCATTATAAGAAAATATTTGGCATTCATTGACCTAGCTGCCATCTGTTGAAATTTATAAAATCTTTCTCTTCAAATAATTTTTCAGGAAAATAGGTTTCTCCAGGCCACTGTTATCATTTCCCATGGATCTAGATATGACTCCTAAGTTGCCTTATCCTTCAACTTAAAAAGTAACAGGTTTCTCAACACCATACCATGATGCTCCTTGACTATGCTTGCTCATGAACAGTTGTGTGTTAACCCAGAGAGGACACACCCTATTGGCTAAAGTCAAGCAACTGACAAGATAATTAAAAGAAAAACTTGTAGTTCCAACAAATGATTTATTCCATGGAAATATTTTGACTAGCTGTTGCTAATCTTGGTCATTCCTTTAATTTGAGTAAAACAATGCAAAGAAACTAGAAATGCTTACGAGTTTAAATCACCAAAAAGAAAAAAAAAACAAGTTGATGATGTTTACACAGTAAGAGCATACACTTTTTTTAGCAAGGTCCATGCCTTATTCATATCAAATTTAGGATGCTTGTCTTTGTTGGTAGTTGCATAATTAATCCATTACCTGCCATGAGCCCCATTTGGGGATCTGTTAAAATTAAACTCACTACATGTTATTCCTTGTATTTACATTGAATTGATTACATACATTGCATTTGCAGAGGTATATTTGACAACACTTAGCCTTTAAAGTTTTTATTATTAGCCGTAAGACACTTTCTGTCGTAATTTTACATTTCACGAGTAGAAAAATGACTATTTTGAAAAGTTTTTTTTTTTTATTTCTAATCAATATTATTTTTTTGATGTTTTATACACACATATATATAGCTTATTTCTATAAAAACGACAATGGTACCTACTGAAATTAAATATAAGGAATAACTAAACTCCTAAGACACCTGTCTGGGCCAAAAATGTGCATTAAAAAAATTTGGCAGTTAAAAGAAAAACTTGTAGTTCCAACAAATACTTCCATGAAATAAATCATTCGTTGTAACTACAAGATTTTCTTTTAATTATACAACTACCAACAAAGACAAGCATCCTAACTTTGATATGAATAAGGCATGTACCTCGCTAAAAAGCATATGCTCTTACTGTGTAAACATCATCAACTCGGGTATTTTGGGGTTTTTTTTTCCATGATTTGAATTCATAAGCGTTTCTAGTTTCTTTACATTGTTTTACTCAAATTAAGTGAGTGACCAAGACTAGCAACAGCTAGTCAAAATATTTCCATGAAATAAATCATTCGCTGGAACTACAAGTTTTTCTTTTAATTATGCAACTACCAATGGTGATAGTGGTTGATATGCCATAAAACCCAACCAACTAACAGAGACAAGCATCCTAACTTTAACTGACAAGCTAACCTGCATTACTGAACAAGTATCCCTTCTTAATTCATTATGACAAACATAAATGTTAATGCCCTCTAATCAGTTAAGATCAGAAACCATAAGAGTATTGTTATTTGTAAATTTATTTTTATCTGGTATTATTTTGAGAACTGATTGGCTGATACTATTTTTTTTTTTTTTTCAGGAAGACCAACTAAAGGTGGCAATTCTTGACTATCTGAAACGTTTCCATGCCAATGATAGTGACAGTTACACAATGGTTGCCATTAATTTCACAATGTTCCGAGAGATAGGACAGATGCTGGAAGAGTTGGCCCAGAAAAACTTAGTTATTCTAAAAAGAAAACCTTTAGGTAATTTATCTTTTAAATTTTAAATGCCATGATTGTAAATCTCTGAAGTGCTAAAACAGCAAATAGTTTAATTTATATTCTATCAAATCCTTTTCTAAACATACCAGTTGCTCTTACTGAGCTATGAGAACGGCTGGAATTTTCTTCATCTATGTGCCATGTCCCTTCAGGACATAGTAAGTCATGGCTTCCCAAAACTTCCTATCCCTTGTGGCCCCGAGCAGTTTTTCTCCCTTTGCTAAGTCTCCCCTCCCTATTCCACCATTCATTCGCACAAGTTAATCAAGTAGGTGGCTTGCTGTCCTCCCCTATTTCTCTTGCTCTCAATATGCCCTGTGAAGGTTAAGATTTCCAAGTCCCCCTTCCTCATTATGTGTCTAAGGAATTTCAGCTGTCTCTTCTTGATTCTGAGCATGTTCTTTTCGTTGCCATTTTCTTGAAGACTTCTTCATTGCTTACTCATGAAATTCTCTATTTTTCTGTAGAACCACATTTCTGTTGCCTACAAGTTTCTATTCATCCTTGGGTTGATTGTCCAGCATTCACTGCCATATAAGCAATCCAGCACTCTTTCCTGTTTTTAATGAAATTTTTCAGATCAAATCTGGCCTTTAAACTCACCATTCATTCCACAATCTTTCTCAGTTCTATATTTGTTTTTGTACAAGTAGTATAATCTTTAAATTTTTTTTAATAATATGATTGACAATGGTTCATCAAATAAAGATAATATTTCTACTACTAATACTACTAAAAGCAAATATGGTACCAAAAGATCATAGAATAATGGGTGAAAGGTTAAATTTTAATTTCTACCATGCTTTAAGTAGCATCAAGACAGTAGATAAATGGTGGCTGGAGGCTGCTTAGTTATACTGAATACTGTAAGTAAACTCCTACAATCTGAAATATGTTTCAGCTTTAAATAACCCACAAAGGGTTGATAAATCATAAAAAAATACAAATCATTCAACCACAATCAATCCACCCTGTTTAAAATTTCTTGTAGCTAAGAGTTGGTAAGAGAAATTGGTGTATTTAACTAGGCTTCCCTGAGGCAAAAGTGGGGGGGGGGAGCTTTTTTTTCTGGAGTTATCTCCCCCTATGTTTTATCTTTTTTTGTTGGTAGTGTTTTATTGCTAATGTTCTCCACTACTCCTACCCACTCTAGACAAATAGGAGTTGACATGCCATTAAATCCAACATCCATCCTACCCACTCTAGTGTTTTAGTATTATTTAAGGAGGAGGGGTTAAAGATTAGATTATTTTGTACTGTCAACTTTTATAATTTGTCCCTTTTTATAAAATTGAGAATTTAAAACGATTACTTGCTTACTTATTTTACTATTTTTTTTTTTTGTCACATGACAATAACTATAATGAGTTTGGTTTTATTTGTGTAAAATTAGTTTTATTTGTTTACTAAAAATAAAATTTTCTTTTGCATATTTGAACTTTTGAAACTTACAAATTCAGTTTTTTTTTTTTTTTTAAATTGACCTTTTAATTTTTAAAAATTTGAACTTTTTTCCATTCATCCTATAATATATAGTAAGAACGTTAACCAAATGATAGTTTTAAAGGAGATATTTGAAGAAACCCACAGTACAAACAGAGGGTTAAATATTCTTCCCCCAGTACAAAGGAAACCTACCTCCACTCATACAGGCTGAGAACTTTTCAGCATATCCATTCTGTATTTTTATCAACAAAACTGATGTAATTTGATTAGGCACCAATATTCAGAGAAGTTAAAATGCTTACTTATTTTAGTGCATCATTTTACTTACAATTATTGCCATGTGATGCCAACAAGTCAGTGCATTATTTAAACAAATTAGCTGTAAATAATAAACAGTGTATTTTCATAGCCATCTCTCACTTATATTATTGCCAAGTAATACTGCTTTTATTTTTAAAATAAGTAACAAAGTAAACATAAGTTGTGCATTAACATTCTTTAGGCCACAATCGGAATCAAGTGGACTGGTCTATTTAATTAGTAACCATTTTGTAGGATATGTTATAGACAAGCGTATGGTTGCAAGAAAGAAATACAACAGTAGAAATAGATTTACGTGGTTTATTTCAACAGGAACGTAAGGGTTTAGGACAGCTACCTTGGTGTGGTAAAGTTCATAAGCCGGCTTTCGAATCTAGGTCGATCTCTCATAGTTCACACATGTTGACGGTGGTTGACGCTCTCCTGCTGACAGCTGCTAAACGTGACCGGTCTCCTTTGTGGCCACCTGTTGACTGCCGCTGAACTTCCCCAGACCCCTTTTATAGCGTTTTTTATGGCTTAACAGGCTCGAGAAACGAAGCAAGTATAATTAGGAGGGAAGCATTTTTATTGGACGAAAAATAGAGCACTTTAATTATTATTTTATTTTTCGACCGGAAACATTTGTAAAGAAAGTTAATGGTCATTTTGTGACGGGGCTTTGTCCCGTTCACATCCGGTTCTCGCTCTTGAGTATTTGCCTGTAAATCAGCCGAGATATGTCATTTTATTTTATAACAGATACAAATAAAACACTGGTTTACATATAAAGAAAGATTACAGACTGTTTTGTAGAGAATCAACATTTAATTAACTATTTAGTCTTTATCTGGAAGTGGTTGCCAAGATATTTTGCTTATGTGATGTCATACATATTACGTAAGTAATAAATAGGACCTCTCTTATTACTTAGGTATATTGTGCTGAAAATGGTGCAATTTTATCACCTTGCTAATTGTTGAAACTTGACTAATGCATGGAATCATAATGCAACACAAAATGTACTTAGAACAAAATTTATTGAAACAAGAAAGTGTACACAATATTTACATATAGTCTTTTGTATATTCCTGGTAAGACCGTTCCTGGAGAATGTGTTGACTGAGTCGCAGTCAGGCAGTCTCTAGTTGAATCTCTTGATTCCTCCCTCTCTTCCCGGTACCAACCATATTTCTATGGTCGGTACTCCACTATGCAAATTAGGTGGATCCTACCACAACACTAATAAACTCTAGATTTATATATTTTCACAAGGTGAGAATATTTATACCTACTGATAGTAAATGGGTTGGTGGGGAGGGATTGTACTTTTTTATTTTTTTTCACTCACTCAGCTACTTGATGACTGAATTTTGAGGTTGATACTGTTGCAGCAATTGAGAAATATAAAGTTTTCAAAAAATTTGAATTAAAATTTTTTAACAGTGAAATTCTCATATACTTACATTTGTAGTTTTGAACTTGCATTGTTATGGTTTTTGTTTTTAGTGAATTCTGCTGAAGTAGAAACAACACTGCACAAAATTCATCAATATTTCTCAGATGCGTCTGAAAGTTATATGAAGGTAGGTGCTGTTAAGAATATATTTAAACTTTCTAAAATGTCTTAAACCATTCACTGTTATTTTGTATATTTGAAACTTTACATAATACCATCTATGTTTTCATTGGAATTGCCATTAGAAATTTATATGCAATCATTTCCTCTTATCCACCAGAGATATGTTCCATAAACCCCCAACCTCTCTAGTGGATAATACCAACTTTTTTCTATACATCCAAACTTAAACTTTAATTTATAAATGAAGGCTAATAGCCATATCACCCTGAAACACTGGTTCCCATAAAATCATTGAAGTTAAGCAATGTCAATGCTGGTCAGTAGCTAGATGGGTGATCACTTGAGAATATAAGTAGTTGTAAGCTTGGATGTGAGGGTGGTGTAATTGATAATGGCTCAGAATTGTTAATTGGAGAGCATAATTCCTGTTATGTTTGTTATATTCAATTACATGCAAATACCATTGGGAAAGGTATTATTACACCTCTTCTCCCCCTGCTATGGGTTAATTAGTAAGACTTAAAATTCTTACAATCTAAAAATGTTTTCTGGCTTTAAATAACATGCAACCTTCGTCAACCTAGCTTGGACATTCATGAGTCTATCACACCAACTATCATGGTCCTGCATTAAGGCCATTAGAGTGGCATTCTGCATCATAACATTGTTGGTCAATGTAGGTGGTTGCAAAACAACCAACATGTCTTGTGCCACGGTAGATGGTCAGAGCAGATCACTCACAAGTTCTTGTTTTGCTTGTCTGCATTTACGAATCATTGTAGAAATATATCGGGTGGGTCAATAGAGCTGGGATTTAGTTGGCACTCAGCATCCATGTGAAGCCATAGAAAAAAATCAATCAATAATTTATGAGTTAAATAACCAATAATGGTTGATTGATTTTGTATAGTGGCATATCAACTGCTATAGATTATGAAATCTAAATATTTCGAACAAGTTATGGCTTCTTCAGCTACAGATAAAATGTATTGTTGGTAATTTTGCTGGTAATTATTTTATATAAAAATGAATTGCTGGTATTTTTTTTTTATTTTTTGCTCTAAAAATGTATTTTTATACTTTCCTAGTGTTTCATTTTTGTCTGAGGGTTCACTATTTGCCTATAACTGGGAACCTAACAGGTGCTACCACCCTGGGTCAGGGTAGACCTAGGAACAACAACAATTAAGAGATGGTCCCATGCTCCTTAAAAGCTCCAGTCTCCTGATGAAAAAAATTCTCATCAAGATTTTTCACTAAAGGAAATAATTTATAGCTTCTCATTGATACTCTTTTGCTTTGGGACTGTTATTAAGTAAAAAATATTTAATCATTTATTTTTGGGGGTTGGCCACAAGCAATAAAAAAAAAAAAAAAGACACTTAAGGGGAGAAAACAAAAGAACAAGAATTAAGAAGGCAGTAGATAATGATTGACATTGCATTTAAATTTTTGAAAATCAAACATCATTGGAAAATAAGAAACTGGAAGAGATTTCCACAAGCAAGAAGTGTAATAGAAGAAACTGTTGCCATAGAACTTATAGTTGCATCTAGACATTTCAACTGTAAAATGGCAAAATCTTGCCACTAATCTACCACTGTGCTTAAATTCATAAAGTCTAGTTACCGTAGAGGAAAATTCATTAGAACAATTACCATAAAAGTATTTATAGAAAAGGCATAGGGAAGCTGTTACAGCTGTGGGAAAGTGACTATAGCCAAGATGGCAGGTCAGAACCAATAACATTGCAGATTCTTCTTTGGATTTTATCAAAAATTTCTAAATATATAGCAGGGGCACCAGACCAGATGTGACAACAATGTTTAAAGCCAGGATGAATTGTAGTCTTATAAATATATAAGATAGATTCTGAAAAGAAAAATTGTCTAGCATGACACAGTGAACCAACTTTTCAAACAGCAGACATAGCAATTTATTCAATATAATCTTTTCATTTCATGTCAGTTGAAAATGTCTGAAATGTTACGATTTCAGTAAATAAAAATATTATAAGTACTAAGTATTTTTTAATCAATTCAGCCCAAGTAAGGCCAAAAAAATGTAAGGGGCTACTGGGAGTAAAAAAGAATGAGAAAACTTCAGAAAAAAAAAACAGAAACAAGGGATATTAAACTATAAAGAATGGTGCTAATCTGCTTTCTTTGTCTGTACTGTTTCGAAATAATGAATAGGTTGTGTTGCTCTGGTAAAAAGTTTGTTGAAACCCCCCTTGGTTTTCAAATCAAAATCTGCCTTTCAGCAGAACATTATTTAAATAAAACTCTGAACATGTGCATCAGGCAATGCACAGCATATCACAAGATTCATATTGTAGGGATACAAAAGGCGATTATCTTCCTTTTGGTGAAGATGAAATGTGACAGCCACTAAGTGACGAAAGTGGCAGTCCATCAGTCAGCTTCAAGGGGTGAAACTGAACAGTGGCTGAAAATAAATCTGCCTAAGCTCCTGTTGCCATTTTCCTTGGGAATATATCTTCCCCAGATATAGAAAGAAATTATCTCCAGTTCGCAGTACTCATGTTGGGAAAAACCCAGGACTCACCATTTCCCTGTTTGCAGGATATGTCCTTGCTGATAACATAGCAGATGAATTTGGCTCACTCAAATCTGGAATCCTAAATATGACTTCTCCAGTAATACAGAAGAATCTCCATATCATATGTAAACCCTATTTTTTTGTTCTTTCACACTGCTTGTTGTGCAGATATGTTATATTTTCTGTGTGTGCGACAAGTGTAAATAATATATATATATATATATATATATATATTTTGTGTATGACTTAGTGGTATAAAACTCTGAGAACAAAGCATGTTTATCATTCCTTTTCCTTTCAGCCATACTGTTCTGTCTGAAATAAGGCATTATTATATCATGGATATAATAATGCTCATAATGGGGGAAAAGCAAATGGGAGAATAAATCTTTCTTCCATAGCACAGTCATTATTTGGGTCAACCACAACATGACATATTATTTACCTCCATTAATAGGAATCCAGTAATAGCACTCTCAAAGACTTTATTTATTTATTTATATTTTTTTTTCCTTAGGACAATATTCTCCGTCATGCTGAATACTGTGTGCGTCAGGCACGTCTCGTCCGACTACAGCTTGACTTGCTTTCTTCAGGGATTCATGTCATCAACCTTACCCCAGAAGATGCTGTCAACTTTATCATACAACATCCTAAATTTTCAGAGGTTGGTTTAACTTTTTTCTACCCACTGCTCAATTCTTTGCTGACAATTTTAAACAATAGATAATTTATAGTCATATTCCAAGTACTAACATATGCTAAGGCAAGTAGAGCATTCTGAAAGTATTATTAAAAAGAATACATATCAACATACATACAGATAGACAATAAGTATTAATTTCAAAATGTTAGAAAAAGTTGTTTGGATTAATATTCTTGATAATCTTTAACCTTTGTGCCTGAAAAAAAAATAGTGTTAAAAGGACAGTTTTTCCCTTGACTCCACTATTATTCTAACTACCTTCACTCCTCTGCAATGTTTATTTTTTTAAAAAGCAATGATTTAGAATTGTAATAAAACCTAAACATGTGATGAAAGTGAATTTATACATTTTTCATTCTTGGGACCTTACAACAAAAATATTAAACATTATTTATTTATTAGATTTATTTATAAGAATAATTTTATATTTTCAACATTCTAAAAACTAATGCAATGCACTATTTATCATTTACCAAAAAAAATAAACATGGAAAAAAAATTTTATTCATTAATTTATAAACATTTACTAAATTAAAGTGTGTGAATCGACTGAAATCCTTATTTACCATTTTATAAAGTTCAAATCGATCGACAATTAGCCAAATTTTTGCTAACCAGTCCAATAAACAATGTAATAAATAGTGTTTATTATTTTTGTTGTTAATTCTCAGGAACAAAGAAAATGTATAAATTCACTTTCATGTTCAGGTTTTATTAAAATTCTAATCACTTTTTAAAACAATAAACATTACCAAGGAGTGAAGGTAGTTAAATTAATAGCGGTATCAAATGGAAAAACCATACTTTTGACATACCAGTTTTTTACTTTTCTTTTTCTTTTCTTTCTTTTTTTTCTTTTCTTTTTTCCTTTCCTTTTCCCTTTTCTCTTTTTTTTTTTCCTTTTCTCTCTCTTTTCTTCTTGTAGGCATGAAGTTTATTTGCATTGTTGGCCTAATTTGTCCATTTTTGTCTGGCATATTTTTTCAACATTCCCCATTGTTTTGAAATCATCCATGTATTTTGCTACAAATTAACATTATCATCTTTCTTGGTCACATCACTACCTTTTCATCACTACATTCTTTCTTCCTCCTAAAAAGGAGATCATCTGTCCTACTGACTTAGATTTTCCTTGTTCTTGGTTTTTTTTATTCAGGGACATGCAAGATAGATTTTTTTTGTTTTTCCTCTACTGCTCCAGTAAGTAACTGACTCTCCCTGCTACTCTTTACCTTTTATAAGAGATCAGTCTGAAAATGGAGTACTGATGATGCCATATATGGGAAAAGAGCTTCCCAGTCTTGATAGAGTTCAAAATCATCTCTGCATCCTTGCGGGTGATAAATTATTTTCCACCCTACAACCACTTTCCCCACAGATGAAATGTCGTAAGTTTCTATGGAAAGTGTTCAAACTACATTTCTTAGTTCCACCAGTTGTAACCTTTATAGCTAAGACCTGCCAATGCCATGTACATTGTAGCGAACCACCCTCATTCCATTTGTATTTCATTGGTGAGATTTAAGTTCCTCTTGAGCAGCTTCTTCTCACAAACAGTTGCTTTATGGAACCAACTTCCCCAATCACTACAATCTTAACTGTTAACTCTAGACTTGAACAAGTTATCTTCCTTACATATCCCCACAAACTGTGCATCTTTTTCTGTAACTATGTACCTGGAGAGGCTCTTGGGCCTTGTACAAGGTGAACATTATTATAAAATCTACTGAATGATGATAGCTCAAATCACTTGGGTTTCAGTCCTGGCTTGAAGCATTCGGATGTCTAGTTGCACTGAGGAGCTGTGATACAGCGAAACAGTACTGTCCGTGAATCACACACACACACACACATATATATATACACAAACTGAAATATTTATTTTTATTATTAATATTTGTATATATTTTGTTGCAGGCCTTAGTTGTGAGTGAAGCATATAATAAAACTGCTGTTTGGGGAGAAGCATTGTGTAACCGGCTCATAATTCATGGAGACTTTCGTTATCTGCAAGATTTGAAAGCTTATATCAGACTTAATCCCGCTCTCATAATTGATACAATTGACCGGTATGTATGATTCCATTATTATTTGTGCATAGGCGGCATCATCTTCTGTTTAAAAATAAAAAGCCTATTTTTCATTTGACTATCCAAATCATCCACTGCTTTTACCTATAACTGAGAAAAAAATTTTTTTTCTTACTTTGACAATTTCTTCATGTCAGTGATATTATTTCAGCTGATTTTTTTCTTACCAAAAAAATACTGATCTTCATGCGTGATAAATTTTTTTATCCTAATATTAACCATATCCTCATGGCATCAGTTTAAACTGATGTCTCCCCCTCTATATATTAAGAATATAATAAATTATAATTTCACTAAGTGAAATATGTTGGAACATTTCCAAGTTTTCATCTGAAATCAAGGAAATACAAATTATATGAGAGAAAAGGTCATTTTCTAGCTATGGATTATAGCTTGTCAAATGCCATGTCCCCCAGAACACATAAGCAATCATAGCTCTCCATTGGTGACTTTTTTGGCTTTGATTTTCAGTTCAGTGTTTTAGACTGGTTCCTACCAAGTCTAGAGAGTAACCTGCTATTTAATGCACTCCGTTTAAATGTCATGTCCCTTTAGCTCATACCTCTCTGTAGCTTGGAAATTGCCATGACTTTTGGGGGGAAAAGTTTCATCTAGATTTGGAGTTATTAATCTTATAGACTGGCTCAGTTTGCCCTGCTTTTTGATTTATATCTGGTGGTAAATAAAAAATATTCATCCCTTCCCCAAGGGCATTAGTGCAAAAGTAAACACAACATACCAAGTTGGAATTTGAACTTGGCTCACAGTCCAAGTTCCGTGCCAGTAACTGTCTTGCTACCTGCACATTTATCATTCTGGTAGCTGCTCAGATATACCTCCTCTGTACATTTACAAAGCATGGCATTTTGAATTAAGATGATAAATCCTAAACATGTCACAGGTATTATTTTATTTAGAGTATTGTATTTACAACAGAATCTAAGAAAGTCTATACTATTGTCCGAACTATTGTCTTCATCCTGATTGTCATATTCACAATGTTTCGGCTGTTGTACGCTATTGTCCACCAGGGTAGATTGCTCAGTTTCAGTTATTTCCCTTTAGTAACTCAACTCTGAAAGTTTTTGTTCATCTCTGCTGTTGCCAGTTATTGAACTCACATCTCTTTGGGTCAAGTCACGAGATGACTTCAACTAACACTTTTATCCAGTGGGGAGATAACTGAAACTAAGATATCCAGAAGAGGCATGGCACATGGAACTAGAACAATCTACTCCAGTGGATGAAATAAAGGGTTTGGTTTAAAATTCTAGTGTATATCACCTAAAGAAGGCTGGAACATACAACGGCCAAAACGTTGTGAATATGACAATAAAGATGAGGACAATAGTCCAAACAATGTAAATAGTGTAAACAGTTACAATACCTCATCTCAGAAATTTTAAGAAGTTAGCCCATTGTCAGTGCTTTTGAAAAAGTCCCCTATATAAAAATAATTTCTTAGGTGCAGAAGCAATTGTAACTTTTGGTTGGTTAATTTAATTAGAAACCTTGTCCAATTACCTATTTGGACAGTAATTTGAAGTCTGATGTTGTTATTGCTATGTATGATTTAAATGAATAAGAATGTTTCTTAAACTCATTTTCTTTTGAATAGGTATAAGCAGCTCCCTCAGAAACCATCTCAGTGTGAAGGAAACCTAAAGAAATTGCTCCTTTACTGTAAGGACTTGCGTCTTCAGTACCAAATTGCCAGAGAATTAGGGTTGAAGGATTTCCTGTCTCAGTTGGAAACTGGCCACAACTCTGCATACATTATGGACATTGCTGCATCTCGAGGCAGCGCACACTTTGCTTTCTGACAAAACGCTATGCATCCTAAACCGAAGGTACAAAACTTTTCAACTTATTCATCAACTAAGAACCAACGAAATTGGTTGACTAATCTGGACTATTTTTGATGATTCACAGAAATTTCAAAATTTTTTTTGCCATCATAAATGGCAAACTGACTGCAAATATTAGATGAGGAGTTCTACAAGATTGTGGATGGTTCATATTTACATTCGTCATCTGTTAAACAAAAAAAAAATTGACTATTTTAACTTACAAATCTTATACTTTCCTTCATTGAAAATATGTGCAGTTCTTAGCTACAGACATTTTTTTTTTTTCTTTTTACGCATTCCTAATTAGAATATTGGACAGAAATAGATAAAAAATTTTTTTTTTTTTTAAATTTATAACACTTTGTGTAATTGACTCCTGGTTCTGACAAATGTTTATTCAATCTTGTCTTTCTCTTTGTGAGTGTAAATGTTCAAATTTTAATTTTATGCAATGACCACAAATTATCCCCATATATACAAATAGAAACTGCATAGTGGCAAAATAATTTTTTTTTTTTTTTTTTTTTTTGATGTTATTTTTCAGATCAGTTTTTCTTTTTACATTAATAGAGTTGCCAGATTGAATTACATTTTAAAAGACCAGCATTGTTAAATTTTAGAATTGACTAATTTTTCATCTGCTCCATGGCCCAAATTATCCTTGCTTATTTAAAACTGTAGCTTTAGTTATGCAAGATTGAGCTAGTTTGAAAAGCCAGCCTGGCAACCTGCACTAATGTGAATTAAAAAATTTAAAGGGTTTTCCATTACTAACATTACAGTATTGAAATGAGACACTTCCCCAAAACAGAAGATTTTTTTGTAAAGTGAGGTCACAAATTCACTGCATGAAGAGATGACATTTCATTCTATAGGCAGAAAATGAAAAAAAAAAAAAAAAAATGTAACTACTGCTAATTTATACTATTTTTTTTTTAATTTTACTTATAGTAAAGGTGTTAGCTTGATACCCGGGTATAATTTTGACTAGAAAAATCTTAAGTTGAACATATTTTTATATATGGGTGAGCGACTTCTCATTGAGGTCATTTAAGATTTTAGTGTTTTTCAAATAACATAACTTTCTTTCTATTGAAAACTTTCACAGAATTTTTAACTCATTTTCTTTATTAGCTGTGAATAAGTAAAATAGTGGAGTGGTTTCCAGTTTTGGAATTCAAAAAAATTGCTATTTTATCAATAGAGGCCTGCATACTTCCCCCCCCAAGGATATTGATGTGAAAGTGAATGTTTGAATTCACATGTAGAAGAAATTAGGTTAAACCACACCACATCTATCAATAAATTTTACTTGACATACAAAAGAAACTAAAATTCTTCAGAGTTCAGTATCTTTAGTTGGTGAAGTGTCTTCAGTACCATTTTCAGGCTGTAACTTTATATCATTGGTGTTCAAACATTAAGGCTAGTTAAGATGGAAATCTTGTTGCATAGACAAGGCAGATTCCTAAAGCCAAAGGAGAGGGGGAATCTTTCATATCAATAACCCATATCAGATTGTTGGAATCTTAAACAACTTTTCTTTATTGCCCTTCATGATAAAAAGAAAATCCCAATGTTCTATAACATTCTTTCTGACTGCTTGTAACTTGTCTATAATGAAGATTACACAATTTTTTTCTATATTAAAAATATCAAATAAGTGCCAAAAAAGAATTTTAAAAAAAACAAACAAAAAAAAAAAAACATTTAAGTTAAAATTTGCTCCATTATATTTTTAATCATTATTTCCTGATCGCATATTTACTTTTACTCTTACAACCTACCACTAATAGACTTTCCTCCTTATATTAAAAATACCAACAAACTATACCTGCAGCTACAGAACTGTGGCTATCCAGCTGGTTGTATTATCTCCTTATCTGTGATCATAACTTGCATATCTGTGATATGTGTTTTTAATGTAAATATTGTAAACATTTCCATAAATAAATAAAATCATGTAAATATGAAGAAACAAAAACATTTTTATTTTCTTTAACAGAATTCCATCAGTCCAGAACAAAAATTCATTTATTGAATTTGGTACCAATTTAGAAGGTGATGAAAATAAGTATTCAAAACTCACTTCTGCTTGTTTTATTGATTTTTGTAAATATCAATGATTTCTTGAACATCTTCCTTGGAACCGAGGAAAATGGGTGTCCTTTGGTGAATAGCTGTTGGTACAATGTCAAGAATAGGCATGTGACCGTTAGTTGCCAAGCCGCCAGCATGTTCTACAATGAAGGCCATAGGGTTGCACTCATAGAGCAACCGTAGCTAGAAAATAAAAACAGACAAAATAAAACATAAGTTGCAAGATAATGCATTCTCATTAAGTAAAATTTTTTAAAATTTCTTACCTTTCCTTTTGGAGACTGTGATGTTGCTGGATACATGAAAATTCCTCCATAGCAAATCGTTCTATGTACATCAGCAACCATTGAGCCAATATAACGAGCGCCATAAGGTTTTCCCTCCTGAAAAAAATTAATGGAAATAAATAGAAAGTGGGAAAGATATCAGTTTCCCAAAGTGAGAGATTAGTAACAGAAGGCTGTAGAATGGATGGACTGAAACATTATGGCAGAAACAACATTTCATTTTAAACACTTTTTGAAGTATTGAACAACTTTTTTTTTTTTTTTTTTTTTAAACATTTCACCCCAAGCAAAGTGGGAGTGCCACTAGTACACAAGGGGTTACAGAGAATGTAAGTAAGGAAAAAGACTGGGTATGATTGGGGGTGAGGAAAGGATAAAAAGAAGAATGGAGATCAAGGCAACAGATTTTGGAGATTATCAGTGAAGCAAGTAAGAGGAAGGGAGTTACACTGTTGGGAAGTGCAAGAGAAGAAGAGGGTTACATTTAACTGTTTCGACAGTAAAAGGGAAAACTGGGATGCCAATCAAGTAGCACTCTTAAATTCATGCAGTAGTGAAAAATCTTTTATGAAATTTCATTTCAAATAAAAATTTCTGTAGAGAAAACTTCAGAGAGCAGCATATCCAAATAGTCACATATTCACTCTCCCAGAAAGTTGGCTTTCTTGCTCTCCTCTTAATCATTGCCACTGAATTTATATGCATTCAAAGAATCCATACACAGTACATCCAGGTTATTCCATCAACCATTTTCTGTTATAAATGATGGAATGAGTCTGTATCATGAAGCCAATGGCATTTTTGCAAGTAAATTTCTTCTGCACAGTTTCTGAATTGAATTACCGGTATATTGGAAATAAAATTAAAATATCCCATACCTTTGGAAATTTCTTGCTTTTTACATAGGCTTTGGTGGGTTCATCCCAGTACTGTTCATAACCTTCATTTAGTGAATAGATTTTTCCTCGTGGTTTGATCGTCATATTCTTTTCTGTAAGAATGAACTCTCCAATTGACTGAAAAAAAGAAAAGACAATTCTAACATTCATACACAAGAAAAACAGTGTCAAAATTTTTCTACAATGCTTTCTAGAGTCAAGCAGTGTGACAGCTCTTGTCATAACAGGTGCCTATTTGCTACTGCAGATTGAAAAAAAAAAGAAAAAAGACAAGGTGAGATGGAAGAAAGTTTAATTATAAAACTATATTAAACTTTATGAATAAATATTTTTCCTTAATATTTAGCAAATAGTAAGTCAAATTTTCATGATTATTAAAGTAGCTTTCTGAATTCCTCTATAAACTACTAGGAAGTTCAGTTTTTAGTTATGCGTGTGAATTATAAGCAGTTTCATTTGTTTACAGAAAATAAAACAAAATCTCTTTTTGCATATTTAAATGTTTGATATTTAATTTCAAAATTGAAATTTTTTCATTTATCCTATTTTTATATATATATTTTGTTACGTGTTGATAGTTGTAACACAGAGCTAAATCACAAACAAATATTTAATTTACTAAAACACAACATAAAATATATACAAGATAAACAATTGTGGCCTACAAAACAGAAAACACAGAGTTACTGGCAAGTGTTACGAGGAAGAAGGAAAGGGAGTCAAATATCTTTATCACTTTAGGGCTAGTGAAGTAATCTAAGTGCTATTTTTGGAAATCCACAAAGGTGTGTAAATAAATATTAATTTTTAGTTTGGTCAATGAAAATTAGTCAAAATTCTATTTATCAAATTTGTTCTATGAAATTCTCTTTTGGGTTTTGGTTGGTCGGCAACTTTTTATAGAGATTCTTTCGGCTGGATATAGTAGTCCTTGAATCAAAAGCCGGAGTTGATACTGACAGCAATTTGTTTTCACCAACTAACTACCCTTTTCCAAAATCCCATTTTTATAGGGGCTAACACCTAATTTGCATATTTCTAGATGTTTCTCGAATATACTAGAATGATCTAGAATCTTCCAAACATTCTATTTCTAATTTCTCTATTTTACAAATACTTCATGAATGAAAACTTTTTTGTAATAACAATTAGAACTCAATGGAATCCCTTATTATAGAAATGCATCCTCGTAACAATATATATAGCAACAACATTAACAACCAAATGATATATCTATAGTAGCTTTAAATGAGGTATTTGCAAAACCCTTAGTACTAAATTCTTTTATGGGCCATCCCCTTTCAGGACATAGGCTATCATGGCCCTTCTGTCCCATGTAGCTCTTAATAAGTTTTGTTTTTTCATTATTTCCCCCAAAACCTGTTCTGTCCTCGATTTGCTCAAGCCCACCAAGTATGTCACATGCTGCTTTCCTCTGTCCTGTGAGTATCAAACTTTCCAAGCCCTTCCTCCTCATTATGTGTCCTAGAAATTTCAACTGCCTCTTTCTGGTGTTAAGTACGCTCTCCAAAACCTTGTCATTGCTCACATGTTCAGCCCATGGTATCCTCAGCATCCTTCTGCAGAACCATATTTTTGTTGCTTCAAGTCTCTTCATCTTTGAAGAAATTGTCCAGCATTTACTGCCACACGGGAGAACAGATATCACATAACAGTTTACTACTCTTTTCTTTGTTTCCAACAAAATTTTCCTGTCTTAATACTCTGCTTAGCTTTTGGAATGCATCTTTGACCATAGTTAAATATTCTTTTCAAGGCCCCAAGTGCAAGAGAAAACTTTTCAGCATATCCATTCTATATCTTTAAAACGATTACTTGGTTACTTAATTTAGTGCATCATTTTACTTACAATTATTATCATGTGACACTAACAGTAGACTGCATTATTTTTAAAAAATTATCTATAAACAATGAACAGTGTCTTTTTATAGCCATCTGTCACTTATATTATTGCCACATAAGACTTTTTTTTTTACATAAGTAGCAAAGTAATCATTCTAAGTAACACAGTCATCGAAATAAGTGCATAATTTGTTGTGGTTTAAATATAAATGTACAAACAGAGGACAAAGACTGCTTTTCCCCAACATTTTATGTAAGCCATCATTTTGAAAAGTGAATTAGGTTGAAAATATTTACAGGTTTTTATCTGCAAAATCAAAATGATACAAACTTGAAGCAAAATGCTTACAAGATGTAAATTTAAACAGACACAAAGAGAATATGGATTAAATAAAATGACGAAAACTTTTTTTTTTTTCCTTTTTTCTCGGAATAAAAATATTTTAAATTTTTAGAATATTATAACTCTGCTGGTAATGTTAGAAGTTTAGAAATTGGAAAACTTACTGGATCAAGCATGAAGCCATTGACACCATTTCCTGTGCTAAGAACCACCATTGTAGCACTGCCATAAAGAGCATAGCCTGCAGCTACCATGTTACGCCCAGGCTGAAAAGCATCTTTCTCAGAGGGAGGCCCATCTGAAACCTGAAACAGACAATCGATTTGGGAGTTTGCTTTAATAAAGAAGCATGCAAAGAAAAAAATATGTGGATGGGTGTTTTGTATAATCTCTTTAATAACTAAATTTTCTTATATTTATACAAGAATTTTTTTTTCTTCATCTCACTGATAAAAACAAAATGGCGTGGGGGGGACGAGGAGGAGAAAATAAAAGAAATTTAAAATTAAAATCCTAGTAGTAAAAATGTAAAAATAAATTCTGAATAAAAATTGGTGGGGAGAGTCTTGTACAGAATATGAATGCCCTCATGCAATACATTCTTCCAAACTTCTTGTTAAATATAAGTGACAAGATTAAGTATCCCATAGAGACTCTTGTAGGACATGTCGAATGATATGTACATCATGTGGTCAGTCTTATCCTGCTGGAATAGCACAGAAATGGGTTGAAAACCCTAGAAAGCCTGTGCATAAAAATAGATACCACTTGGTCATCTTTATCACTGTAGTTTCACAGCTGTCCACCAGATGGCAGTGATGCTGAGGATCATATGTACTACAACTGGCATTTGTGGTCCTCAGGAGAGGTTTGTTTTTTTTTCAGTTTGGGGAAATCAATGTCTGTTTATACTTAGTTTCTAAATTGGCATCTTAAATGATACCACAGGCATCTTAGGGTTAAACTCCTTTTCAAATGTTTGTTTTTGTTTTGTTTTTTTTTTTAAATAATGTAAATCAAATATACTAGAAATAATATATATAAATGCCTGTTTTATTTCTCTATATAAAATGATAGACAAATACTGAAGGTTACTCTAAAAATGATGAGAAATGGCTTGTGTATAAATTGAGTACATGAAGGAGGGGGGAACAAATATCAAAGATTTAATAGAGGCAATTTAACAGTTAACTATTTAAAGGGCCAGAGTAAATACTAAACAAAGAATATTTCACAAACTAAGGAAACAAGTTATGAATTGGCAACATATTTTATTTCAGAATTTAACCCCCACCCACCCCATATATTATATACCTAAGGGTAAATCAGTCAGTCAGTTATATGCCATGTGTGATGCACACATAGGCAATCATGTATCTTTCAATATATGACTGATGAGAGATTTTTTTCCCGCAGTAGGTTGCCATTCAAGGCTACAGAATCCAGTCTGTCCTGCTATTTACCCATAGCTGGGGGAAGAAGATGATTTGTACCTTTCACAAGGGTATTAGCACAAAAGTGAATGTAATGAATTCGACTTGAGTTTGAACTCAGCTCACCAATTTCTCAATCCGAACCGCAATCCATTACTCCACCATGCCATCCTATTACTCCACCATAAGGGTAAATACACGTCCTTTATATGCATTATTCTCATGCAACTAGGACAAACCTAGAGAAACAATGTACTATATATACTTGCATATCATGCAACTTTTGAAGCTAATTTGACTATAGTAAACAAATAGATATAGTTTAGTCAATACCATATCCAGGGTCAGGAGCGGATATGCTAATTTTTTATATTTCATGTTTGATGTAACCCTCTTAAAATTAGGTCTTCAAAAGTTGCATGATATGTGAGTATAAAGAATAAACTTGAGATGGAACTTGATATACATTAACTTAAACCATTAAATAACTACTTTTAAATTCATTAGATTATTAAATTAAGAAAAAAAATGTTAACTTTGCTTTATCTTAAATGATATCACAAATACATTTAAATTTCTCTTAGTCATATGGCAAAATTCAGAAGTAGCAATTTGAAAAGGAGGGGGAATTTTTTTTCAGCATTTTTTTTGTTAACCATGAGGAATGGGTTGAATGTAAATCTCAACCTTTTTGTGATTTTCTAAATGATAAAAATTATCTTATCTCGAAAGCTGTCTCTTATCAATTGAACTTTCAAACGAGATGACATCATTCTCACATTTATGAGAAAGTTATTTATACAAAAGCTCAAAAGTAAAAAATGAATAATTTCTTTTTTTTTTTTTTTTTTTTTAATATTATGCTATATCCTTATGACGTACAGTCTTAAGTTGAATGAAGTCTCAACCATGTGTTATATGAAATGGCCACTTGTGGTCAAATAATAATAATGCTTGTAAAAATTTAAAACACAACAAAGAGATACTCTACATAACAAAATCAAAATTTCTGCAGATGTACAGATGGATGTTGACTTAGTTGGATTCAGCGTGGTAGTTCAGGTCACCGTACTCCAAAAAAAGTGAAAACCCAACAAAACAAACTATGGACAAGCTATTTCGGCATAATGGGGGACAGATTCGACCTGAAATTGATTCCGGAGTTCGATGGCTCAACCCCGGTACTTGACTGGGTGGAAAAAGTGGAATTGAATTGCCTCTTGTCTGGCATAAAGAGCATTGAACACGTGATTCCTCTGCGGCTGTCTGGGCGGGGCTTTAATTGTGTATCAACAGCTCAGTGTTGAGGAAAAACAGGATTATAAGAGAATCAAGGGCAGCACTATACAAGGCGTTTTGCTATCGACCCCGCCACTGCATGGGAACATTTCGAGGCAAGAACTTTACTTCTAGGCGAAACTGTCGACGTGTATCTGGCGAGCTGGACGGAAGCTGACGGTGTTGTTGTGGGCTGCCAGAAAGGGCCTTGGCATACAAATTTCTGGCAGGGCTCCCAACCGAGCAAAGCAACTCCTGCAGTGAGTTCAAGCATAGACTCGTTGTCCCTTAATGACCTGGTAGACCGGGCCAGGACCGTGATGAAAGATAACTCTGAGGTGAGAGAACCCGGTATCGCCGCTGCACAGTCCACGCCCGAAAGATGATAGACCGTATCAGGGGCCCAGCCCCGTGGTGAGGGTCGTATGTTATAAATGGCCAGGGCCACATTATGCAGGAACTGCAGGAGGCGACTGGACAGCTGTTTGCTGCTACCGTGTAATGAGACTGGACATATGGTCCGGGATTGTCGCGGAAACGGGGCCAGGGACAAGGTGCCAGCGGCCGACCTCTTCCCCAAGCAGAAATTAGATGAGGCGCTTCCGATCATTCAGGTCTATATTAATGAGACATTGTGCTCAGCACTCCTCGATTCGGTTGCTCCCGACCATAGTGTCGCGACCTCTACCGCACTTGGAAGAAGAGGAGGTCAGGGTGACCACCATCAGTGGAGAAACATGAAGGTGTTGTGGGGTGGGCGCGGTGAACATCCGTTACAAGAACTGGAAACTCGGCCAACATCGAGGTGCTAGTAGTGCTCGAAAAAACCACTGAGTTTTGACCTGCTTCTAGGCTATGATGCCATCAGAGCTTTAGGTGGTGTTCACATAACGCAGACGGGGGGCAGTACAGTTTCAGGAAAGGGCCCCAGTGTGCGCAGCTCTGAGGATCGACCAGCCGGACTTTTAGTGTCGAATTTGACCAGCAGCAGAAGACTTGGACCACCTCATGGAGGTGGTCGGGAAAACCAGGAACCAGCCAAACTGCGGAACGAGGTAGCCGAGTACCATGTGCCCGGATCAAATAAGGCCTGCATACGAAGGGGAGCTCGGTGAATGGATCAAGGATGGCTGGCTGATTCTTTACCCTATGAGAAACTTGGACCTCCCAAAGGCCTGATCCGCTGATGGCGGTTGCTCAGCACAACAAAGCAAAGGTGAGGCCAGTGATGGACTACTGCGAACTAAACGCATGTTGATGCGTTCACGGCAGATGCTGACGTTTGTGCCAGCAAGCTACGAGAATGGCGCCAGCAGGGTTCCAATGTGTCCCTGCTGGATCTAAGAAAAAAGCGTACCTGCAGGTCCGGGTCAGTGAGACAATGTGGCCGTTTCAGGCGGTGGAGTTTGCCGGCAGGAGGTACTGCCTTACTAGGCTGGGCTTGGGCTGAACGTGGCACGTCAAATAATGAAGACCATCGTCAACGCCAGTGTTGTCACAGGAAGAAACAATAAAGAGGGACATCGGCGTACCTTGATGATATATATGTGAACGAAGGCGTTGTGTCGTCATCACGCGTGAGGTCCAAACTGGCTGAGTTTGGTCTGACTTGTAAGGACCCAGAACGTTTGGAGGATGGCGCCCGATGTCTTGGGCCTGAACGTTCAACAGGAGCGAGACCTTAAAATGGGGCGCGGAACTGCAGTTCCTGAAGTACCCGATGTCTTCACGAGGCGAGCTATATTCTCCCCTGTGGAAGACTTGTGGGGCATCTACCAGTGTGTGGATGGACTCGTGGCAACAGGCACCATAAAAAGAAGGGCAGCGCAGTCACCAAAGGCTGGGACGATGAAACAACGGACGATCTGTTGGTTCGCATGGTGAAGGAGACCATTGCAAGGGTAAAGCAGGATGACCCGCCAAAGGAGACTGGTGCATGCAGGGAGACGAACTGAACGTGTGGGTGGATGCGAGCTCTCTGGCGATTGGTGTGCTGTTGGAGAATAATGGGGCTGCGATTGAGGGCGCCTGCTGGTTGCGACCGGTGAATGACGCTGCTCATATCAACCTGGCAGAGCTCGTCGCGGTGATAAAAGGCATCAACCTGGCACCCAGTGGAAAGTCAGGAAATTACACATACACACTGATTCGCTTATGTGTACCACTGGATATCGGACACACTGACAGGCAAGGCCAGGGTGCGTGCCAAAGCGCTAGCCAGCGAGATGCTGATCAGACGGAGGTTGGAGACCATAAGAAAGCTGGTAACAGAGTACAACCTATCTATGGATGCGGTGCTTGTCACCTCAAACTGCAACCTGCTGATAGGCTCACCGTGTGCCACAGAGATGGTATGGCGCCATGAAGAAAGAAGCTGAGCCAGTACCCGTTACTATGTGCTGCCTCTGTTGAGGCGGCGGACAAAATCAAGGAGATACACCACAACAGTGGGCACCCCTGAGTGAGACGGACATGCTATTTTGTACAGTTGACCAATCCGTCAGTGTCCAAAAAGTGAAGTGAGAGCGGTGGTGAAGGAATGCCAAACATGCCAGTCAATCGACCCGCCCAGCTAGATGGGCGGAAGGGTCAGCTGGGGGTAGACATGACTTAGGGCCGACTGGGTATGGACATAACCCATTCGGCAGCCAGCATTTCCTCACTGATAGATTGCGGATCGGCGAGGTTCGCGATCTGGCGCCATTAGTAAGACAGGACTCATCCGGGATAACGACCGGCCTTCTGCGGCGGGAGTTTAGGCGTTCCGTGAAGCAGTGGGGATCGGCTCAGACACCGATGTGCATATGTGCGAGTGGCAACAGCATAGGCGGTGCCACCGAGCGTGAAGAGGATCGTGGCCAGGAAGCAGTGCGATATGGCGGAGGCGGTCTATAGATATAATGCAACGCCAAGGATGCGTGACTGCTGCAAGCGCACCCGCCAATGCAATCCGCCAGCTGCAAGTGCGCAACAAGGGCATTGGCGCGTGTCTGCCTGATGGCGGAAACCACGAGGGCCGTATAAGTTAGGGGACACCGTCTGGGTGAAGCCTCCCAATAGCCGGTGCACCACCAGCTTTCAAAGAAAAGCGAATCACCGGCATCATCAATGAGCAAGCAGTGCTGGTCGATGGTACTCCACGCCATGTGAAGGATGTCCGGCCTGCCCTAAATACGAACCAGTTGACTAGTAGCAGCAGTGGTGAATCATCCAACGATGAACTGTGGATCCGACCTATGCCCCTCGGGCCTGATGGTTTGACTGCAGACCCCGGCGCTGATGCTGATAGTTCTGACGCCCCCTTCTGAGAGCCCCGATGAAGAAGTCCAGACAAATCCCCCTTCGTAAGAGTGCCCGCAACAAACGACCACGTCCGCAATGCCACATGTGATCTTGAGACCAGGGGGGAGTGTGGACAGGAAAATGAGACTAACCTCAGTTCTCGGCATAAGAGGGTTCGTTTGTGTCTGGCGTGTAGGGCAGTAATTGGTCCCAAGAAAGAAACACCACCATTACGGTGAGTCGGACTTATGGAAACGCGATCTCATAGCCGAGGATTGGCGAGAGGAGAACTTGGGCGTATGCAAATTGGTTGGTGTTCGCTGGGATAAATGTGACGGCGGGAGACCACTCGAGACAATTGTGTGTAGCGAACTACGAGGCGATGTTGGAATATTTGAGTGCAAAGATCTGTGGAGTTTTTGTAGCTGGATTGTAGCTGTCGTGAAGCTGAGGAGTGTTTCCGGAAGTAGGCGGTGCCGGGCCAACCCGTTCCCTTCCTATTGTTTGGATCTAATTTTTATACACTAGTTCTTGGGTAGACCCGAGGAGGATTATATCCAGAGAGCTCATTGTAAAATTCAGAGCAGATATGTTTGAATAAAAAACAGACTTCGTTAAGATTCCATGTAATAAGCTATTTCACCATAACCCCTTTAACAGGGTTCTGGATCATCAGACTTTACTTCCAAAAGTTGAAATGAAAAATGAAAAGAAATTCACATGTTTTTGACGGACCTCATCAAGTATACGTAAAATCGAGGAAGTGAGGTGGGAGAGAGGACATGAGTGTGTCATATGTATCATTTCAATTTCCTATTTTTAACCCCAGTGTGTCGGCTAGTTGTTGCTCAAATTTATATTATTGTATAGCTGCCCACTCATATTCGAGGATACCCGTCTACTAGGGAGGCTAGACAATCCCTACTGCAGACACTTGCTCAAGTGCATTTGTGTTTATTCAACACCCACAGAGCCCACCTGTGGTTTATACTGCAACTATGTGGAACAGATCTTAGTCACAGTTTCTGGGAAAGAGCGCGTTATCTAGCATGATCAACAATTTGAACAAGGCCAGAAACGCTCAAGCCCTTGTGACTTCATGCTAGTACAGTTATCGACGGCCCCCTAAGGGTTCTGTCTACCCAATTTCACTCACAAGGCTTGGGTCAACCTGTGGTAGGGTTTTCAGACACTTTCCACATGCTGGAATTGACCCCTCGAGTCTGATAACATCAGGAAGTCACCTTCCTGACAAATCGAACATGATGAGAATCAAACCTGGGTCTCATGGTCGGAATGCGACCATTCTAACCACTTGGCCACATGCCCAACAGTATGTATATATATATATATATATATATATATATATATATATATATACACACACAAACATGTGTATACTATATTTATGTGCTAAGGTGCTCAATGTCAGCAATAGAGCATATGTAAATATAAAAGTGGACATTGGGGGTCAACACTGAGTGGTGACAGTCTGTTTCATGCTTATATTTTATTATAATCTGTCTAATTAAGTTGTCAAAAAATTACAGGGTATGTTGACTGGCATGGGCATCATGTGGTCAGTGTGATCCTGCTGTGAAATTCAAACTGAAAAAAAGTATTTTTATATATTATAAGATTTGATAATGCACTTATTGGCATTTGGGGAATTTCACAAATGTACCCTATTGAAGTCTTTTTAACTTACTGCATGTGCAATGTTTAGATCCCTCTGCCTTCTCTAAAGAGTAATTTAAAAAAAAAAGAAATTCTCCTGTGTCCAGTATCAATTCATACTAGAATTTGATCTTCTGTACTTGACTTCAGCATCTATTTGGTTCTTGTACAACAATTTCTTTCACAATGTGACATTTTTAGAAATGTCAAAATTTTGCATTCCCTATGTGACACAGTTGTGTCTACATCCACCCACACTCCAAATGGTTAATTACAGCAGTTATAATAATCAGTCAACAATCACTAACCAAAATGTCACTATTTTACATAAAGATAACCAGAATGTATGGATTTGCAAATAAAATGATATTGCTAAATCAAATACTTCATAGTCCCATGAGAATATAGATGCACTAACCAGAATGGCTGTCAAGGACAATAATTTGGAATCTTGTATTTAACTATTTAAGTGGAGGCAAGGATTGAGGAATGGATAGGGGCTCGGATTGAGGAATCAAAGAGACAAGTTTGAATTCCATTCCGTTACATTCACTTACATGCTAATATCCTTGGGGAAGGTATGAATCCTCTTCTTCCACCCCCCCCCAGCTATGAGTAAATAGCAGGAAGGACAAGGTTCTGTAGCCTTGGATGGCAACTGGTTTACCACAGAAAGAAATGGCAACCTACTGTGGGGAAAAAATCTGCCTCGTCATCAGTCATGTATCAAAAGATACATGATCACCTAAGCATGTATCACGGATGACACATAACTGACCGACTGTATTTAACTACTTAATACACAGTCCCCTTTTCTTTTTTGAATGGTAGGCATTAATGGGTTTAATAGCAGACAAAATCCCCACCTACACAATTTATTATTTCATAATTCATGGTTTTGAACGTGATCAAAGTTACAGAAATATTAGATATACTTTCCAACAAATAGAGCAGCTTTGCTGCTGCTGTTATTGGGCTTTATATGCTATTAAATATGACATGTCCTTTAAGTAAGACAAAATTTTATCCTGCAAATTAAATTCTTGGAGACTTGGTTGAATTATTATGCATATAAATTTTAATTATATATGCCGTCAAATATGGTACTTACCTTGCGATAGATGCCAAAAATTGAACCAATGGACACGAGACAGTCAATATTGGAAGACCCATCTAATGGATCAAAACAGACAATGTATTTGCCCTGAAATGGAGGAACAAATAGTAAATGATAGAATACAACAAATACAAAAAGTTTGAAAGAGAGAGAGAGAAAAAAAAGTTCCCTACAATTTTATTTATTCTTTTTGTCATGGTGCAATGAAATTGGTCAGCAGACTCCAGGTGTACTAATATGCACACACACACACACACACAAACAGAAAACCCATGCACAGTATGAAATGAAGAAATATTATATTGAAAATTGTCGGTATGTGGCAGTGTTCATTTTACAGGATGTGATGTGTCTTTTTTTTTTTTATATACATTTCAGGATGCATTTATAATTGTTTTCATTTATTGACCATTATAAATGGAAAAAATTGTAACTTAAGACCCCCCACATCCATATATATATATATATATATATATATATATATATATATATATATATATATTACACACACAGAGTATAACAGCAAAATTGTCCAAACCATGTTACAGCATAAAAGTTCATCCCACAAAATGTTAAATATCTAAAAGACCACTAAACTAACCGAGTTTCTTTTTTCCAGGTTTTCAGATAAGACGTTTAGCCATCTTGATACCATTTGTCGTAAGAATCATTGAAAACCCCTTTGGGTTATTCAGCTAGAAAAAGAATAGATTAAAATCGTTTTGTGTCAGACCCACTGTCTTCTCAACTGAGCAATGGTGAAAGGAAAAGGACCATTCAGCCCTTTGGTAATGGTACTAACATTCATACTCTGGCTTTCATCTTCAAAGTCTAATCAAAAACCATCAACAGAACAGCGAATAAGTTTAAAAAGGAGGGAACATGAGTGAGGAAAACTGGATCAGAAGGTCAAAACAGGAAGAGAGATTATCATTTTAACTTAGAGCTAAAGATATCAATTAGAAAAGATCCAAATCAGTTCATAAGACATTTGATACATTAGAGAAGAGTTTCAGCTATGACAGTTCAAAGAGTAGTGAAAAAAGACTTGAAAATGAAATTGTACTTGAAACGTGTGGACAACTTGTTACACCAGGATAAAAAGTTAGGTTAGATAGGGCAAAAATCATCTTGAATAAGTCGGAAAATTATCTGAGAATAATTATATAAATTTTATTTCAATCCTTCATGAGCTTCTAATCCTTAGCTATGATTAATTAATGATGAACATGTCATTTTCGTTTATGTCAATTTCATCACGATTCTTCTGTTAAGCTTGGAGTGGAATTATACATTCTTATTGCTCAAAGCGGTGTCCAATAGTGTTATAAAAAACCTCGGAGAATTCCAGTAAAATATTTTTAGTCATTTCTAAGATACATTTCAAAGCTTAATCTAACAATTGGACAATTTTGCTGTTACAAACATGTGTCACACCCTGCTTATGTAAAATGCTTATGTTATAAGACTAGTTCTACAAGACTCACCAGTCATCTACTTTGATGATGACTTAAGTTGAAAGCTTAGACCATATTTCTTTTACTTTTCTTCATGGAATTTCCTCTTTGTCTGCCAGGTATTATTTGTAATTTGGAAAAGTCGATTAGTAAAATTAATTGACAAAATGTATACTGTTTTATATATAAAAAAAAAAAGCATGTCTACAGCAAGTCATGTAGACATAAGTTACAAAAAGTTTTTTTTTTTTTTTCCTCTTGTATACATTTTTACGGCACACATCGCTACACCTTGACACACACTAGTGTTTCATGGTGCATAATTTGGAAACAGTTTACTAGAGAAGGTCAACTACAATTGATTTAAAAGGTTTCTTATTTACAAAAAGTTACTTCTAGAGCAGTAATTTCCAGAGTTTTCTAGTCTGGGAACACTTTAGATGCAGCAAAATATATACTTTGTACATAACTGCAAAAAGGTATTTATACATTTTAAGCTATTGTGATACTATGGACACCAACAAAAAGCAAAAGGTGGTTTTATCTTGATCTGAAGTGTTTCTGTTTGGTGAACCAGCAGATGGGTCCTTTTAAAAGTTTGGTCTTCTAAGTGGCACCCACTTTAACCAAAGGAGAATGGGAAGTAAAGAGGTGGATAAAGAATTTTTGGAGATCAAGTGGTACCAAAACAGGAAATAGGGTACATCCGGGTGCTGCTCTATATTAACTGTCATGCTTGGGATTGGAGAGAGTTCTGGTCTGCCCTTGGTGGAAGACGGATGTGTCCATGTGGTTCCAAATCCAGCACTTCGTATGGCCAAGCCACTACGTCAGGGCAAGGATTTGGTAGGGGGAAGAGCTGATATAGCAAAAGTTGTCCCTAGTATCACCTACCCACCTGGATAAGCAGGTGAAGCCCTGAATAAAATATCTACATATAAAATGGGAAACAGGGTTTATGTTCTTTTTCCTCAACATAGCGTTTGTCTTTAATCATGTTATCTTGTGAGCATGTCTTTACTTGTGTTACCATGTGTAATATTAAGAATATTGGTTAACTTGCAAGTGCTAGACTGGTGTAGTCACTTAAAGTTGAAAACCAATATTCTACATGGTGCTGTGAACAGGATTTCCCAGTCTATCATAGAGAGGCTATTCTTGGTGATGCTTTCTTTCACAAAAATTTCAGCATAAGTCCTGGCAGAGTCAGCTGGAATGCCAATTTTGATAAGGAGCTCTTGCTAATCATCAGATCCTGTTTGAAGCTCCATGTAGAATATTGGTTTTCAACTTGAAGTGACTACACCAATCTACCTGTGTGTCAGACCACTTGCATGTTAACCAATATTCTACATGGCGCTGTGAACTGGAGAGATATATGGGTGAATAGAGTTCACTCATGTGTTGGGCAGGTCCATTCTAGTAAAGTGGACTAACCCACCTGTGTATTAGGTACTCTCCTATAAATGAGGTAGATTAGCTAGCCTGCCTTTACAAAGAGACACAAGGGGCACCTTGAGGTGGTTTAATGGTTAACAAGTTTGTCTCGCTAGAACAATTAGTGAGTTCGATCCTCACTGGGTGCCCCCTACTTTCGGCCTTGTGCCACATCTAAGCTACGCTTGGAAAATCACTACAAAGAGACACAAGGAGGCAGCTATGTTAGAAAGTAAGTCATTTGACTTCTACACCTTGTGAGCATGTCTTCACTTATATTACCTTTCCCAGCTTTTGGTGCATTCCAACAAGATCAAGTACCAGAATGCAATGTGGGAGTGATCAATGACCAGTTAGTGATAAGCTTGGGTGAGAGTCACGTATCTTTATACTATAAAAATAATTTAAACTACACAGTATTATTAGTAATTACTTTTTATTTTATATTCAGAAAAATAAAGATAGTTATCTATTTCCATTTTTATAGTGTCAATGCAATTCACAATTGTCAACACCAATTACGTTATCCATCATCATCATCATCATCTGACTATAGAAACACCATGCACTAAATTACAGAGTACAATGGATAAATTGTCACCTAAATTACGCAAAAATGAAAATAACTCTGACATCTCAATTTTACAGATATATTTACCAAAATTACACAAAAATATTTTTAAATATTAAAGAGTAAATTTATTCAATAAAACTGCCATTGCTTTTGACTATGTGTGAGAGAGTTTGGGAAACACACACACATATTTTTTTTTTTTTTTTTTTTGAAATTGGAGTGGTATTGAACAGCGAAATTAGATCATAGCATTTTTGTTTACTGATAGTGAAACCTGATCTAGGGCAGGTGCTGTACCCATTGAATCTGGGTCATCAGTAGACAATGGAAATGGACAAAATAATTTTTATTGATTAAAAGTTGGAGTAGAGCCGAGTAAGCAAAGAGGACCTTTAGAATTCACATGATTTTGGTTGAAACAGCCAAAACCCCATAAGGCCAGGGGATGGTTATGACTAGCTGGGTTTTTCTATGTAAATGCGTAGTTATGCTGAAAAAGAGGCAGACGGAAGAGAATTAGCCAGGGCAAGAGTTGGGCTAGAGACAATGGAGAGTCAAGTTGGGGACTCAAGAAGGAGAGAAAGTGACGTCAGAGATTGGAGTGAAGCATCTGCTAACATGTACTGTTGATATAAGTACCGCTGCTTCTGCTAGCATGAATATTACTACTACTGTTACTACTGCTAAAGAGGAACGCCACTATAAACTTTAAGCTGTGCTCAGAAATTTTATTCCCCCATCGCAAGAGCCGTATATTGTTCTGAGACGATTTAACAACAAGTTAATTATAACACACTCACTCTGTCCAGAATCCGGTATATGCAATTTTTTTACTTTTCTTTTCTGTAACCCGTTTCTTTTCTATACTATTTTGCTATATAAAAGACATTAACAATTCAGCCAATGAATAGTTGTTTGTCCGGCTTTCTGCAGATATTAATTTTTTTTTTTGCTGCATTTTTTTTTAAATTCCTTAGCACAGACTCTCCAGCCATGTCTACATCTTCAGTTGACCATGAATGGATAAACATCACTTCTGCTTTCTGGATCAAACCAAACAGAACATGGGCAGGAATCAGGATTAAACCAGTAGATTGCTCGAATAATCTATGGATGCTCAGGGGACCTACGGCCACTCCCTTAAGTTCGGTTAGGACCGAGTAGACACCTCAACACAGAGAGTAAGACGTCAGAGGTTGAGGGACTGGGGCGAAAGTATTGGATGGCCTCCAGATGATTTCAGATTCTCCTGCAATTCTTCTGGATGATCTCCTTGTTTAATTTGGTGAATTCTGCCATAATCCTTGCTTTCAGTTCATCTTTGGTGCTACAAGGAGTTTTGTTGGAGACTCACTCAATTGCCCCCCACACATAATAATCAAGGGGGTTGCAGTCTTCCAGATGGATAAGGTGGTCGTAGAAATTGTCCAACAACCATGACTGGCTTCTCCTGCTTGTGTGGTATGGTGCAGAGTCCTGTTGCCAAAAATAGGATCTTCCAGCAGCCACCCTCTTGACCCAGGCAGCACTACCTCCTCATGTAGGCCTTCGTGTTGAGTCTGAGGCCCTGTGGGAAGATGAATGGAAGCATAACGTTGCCATCACTTATGACCACTCCAAACACCATGATGTTGACTGGATATTTGGTTTTCATCACTTTTGGTACATCTTTTTGGGACACAGCATCCACTGCACTGTCCTCAGAGTGACACCCAAACACTCTGAAATGTTTGTATTGGCACTTGTGGTGTGAATGCCAAGCAGTACAGCATACCGTATCCAAATATCTGGCAGAGTGAATTGCACCATGGTGCTCTTTTTCTCACAGATGGTGCCCAATTGACCTGACTATACTGTGCAGTTGACAAAACCAAAAACAAACAACATGCATAGGCAAAATTAAAAATATAAAATGGCGACAATTTACGCATCACTAACTGCAGATCAACACATACAGTATTTACTACTGTATTTATCATCTGTAGGTATGCTACAACAGTAAAATACCTCACCAATTTGTAAATATGAAATTTTATATTTTCATTGTCTAACTACATTCTTCTTTGTAGACATGTTGCATATTTTGAAAAGACACCCCCACCATCTCTATATACTGATCCAAGACAGAAAATCCAAGATGGAGGAAGTTGTACAATAATCATTTTCCTAAATTTATTTTCATATTACTGTAGATTAAGCACTCTGGATCATACTCTCGACTCTCCCATCGAATTCGACATATATATCTAAATATTCAAGTAGATCGGTTCCTAGGAAACTGACAACAGCACATGAGATTTGATTATAGTGGTGAAGGTTTCGTGCAGGACCATCCACACTTTTTGAAGGGCCGATTACAGAGACCTGGCGCACTACGTGCCACAAGGTCCCCAAACGACCCTCCACAGGTTCTGAATTCAGACCAGTTGCCATCCAAGGCTATAGAACCCAGTCTGTCCTGCTATTTAACCATAGCTGGAAGGAGAAGAAGAGGATTCACACCTTTCCCAAGGGTATTAGCACGTAAGTGAATGTAATGGATTTGACTGGAATTCAAACTCGGCTCTCCGATTCCTCAATCCAAGCCACTATCCATTACTCCACCGTACCTCTGGATCATATATATATATATATATATATATATATATATATATATAATTAATAGGATGTCCTATTTACCATATAAATTCTTTGTAAGTTGATCCCCCTATGGAAGAGAAAACAAATATGCTCTATTCTATCAAAAATTGTAACCATCATACATACAAACATGCAGAATAGTATAGACAAGTAAATATATTTTCATACAAACCAGTTTATAGAATCAAGTATTTTTCACTAAAACAAAATTCACAGTATTTTTTAATCTACACTGTCCCAGATCTAATAGAAAACAAAGATTTTTTTTTTTTTGTTACTCCCCACTCTCCCCAGGTCTGACAGAAAACAAAGATTTTTTTTTTTCAACACCCAGTCTGTAAATCCAATAGAAATAGAAGAATAAAAATTCTTTTCAGCCCCTTCTGTCCCCAAATCCAATAGAAACTCCCTTTTTTTACCTTCAAATTCCCACTATCCCCAGGTTTAATGGAAACCAAAAAAATCTTTTCAACCCCTCCTCCTCAGTGTCTCCAGGTCTGATAGAAACCAAAAAAATCTTTTCAACCCCTCCTCCTCACTGTCTCCAGGTCTGATAGAAACTAAAAAAATCTTTTCAACCCCTCCTCCTCACTGTCTCCAGGTCTGATAGAAACCAAAAAATTCTTTTCAACCCCTCCTCCTCACTGTCTCCAGATCTGATAGAAACCAAAAATTTTTTCCATGCCCCCCACTATCCCCATGTTCAACAGAAACCATTTTTTTTCAGCCCCTAATGTTTCCCAGGTCTGATATATAGAAATCAAAAATTCTCTTTTCAACCCCCTACTGTCCCCATGTCTGATAGAAAAATGCCAGAATGTCTCACCTGATTCTCTACTTCAACTTCAATGGCTTTTTCATTCTCTTCAGACACCAGCAATACGGTCGTAAAAGATGACTTGAGCATGTTGATAAATAAATCATTAGACAAGACATCAAGTTTCTTGACTTCATCTCCCGACACATTGCTGCCACCAGCAACACCAAATCTTAAAAAGAAAATTATATGCATTAACAAATCCATTCCTAAAATTGTGAATCTTCATTAGAAAAATCCTACTTTGCAATAAGAAGAAAACATTTTTTAAAAATAAAATTAAAACAAAAATGTTCCTTATTTGGAGAAGTGTTACCCCACCACCCCTTCCAACATTTAACACCAACTGTAGTTGATTCTAATTTCACATTATTTTTTTTATTGGGGTTAAATGATTAAAAAAAGAAAAAGATGAAGCCACTAAGACACAAGGGGTTACTGAGTGTGAAAGAAAATGAGAAAACTAAAACATTATTACAAAGAAAGAACAATAAAAGAACAGGAATTAAGAAGAGAACAATTGACACTGCATTTATATTTTTTAAGATCAAAATTGATTGGGAAGCAAGAAGCTGGAAGAGACTTTCACAAGCAAGAAGTACAAGAAGAAAAAACTGTTAGCATAGAATTTACGGTTACATCTAGCCATTTTAACTGTAAAATGTTGAGATGTTGCCATCAGTCTAGTACTGCACTTAAATTCATGCATTCTAAGTACCAAAGAACATCAGAAAAATTGAAAATATTTATCCTTGATCACTACAATCTTAACCTGTTCAAGTCTACAGTTAACCATTATCCACAGAAACCATGCCTCTTACTCTGTAACACTACCTCGAATGGCTCTCGAGCCCTGTACAGGATGAGCATCATTGTAAGAAAAAAAAAAAAAAAAAGGAAGCTATGTTACAGCAGTGACTGAAGCTGAGATGCCAGATCAGGACTGCGTATTCTTCTTCGAATTTTATCAAGAATGTCTAAATATACAGTAGAAGCACCAAATCAAATGTGACAGTAATATTCAATACATGGATGAATGGTAGATTTCTAAATGTGTAAAATAGATTCTGTCAAGAAAAAATTGTCTAGTGTAGGAATATTATTATTATTATAAATAGAATTAAAATATAAAGTAATAATAATAATAATGAAAATTAAAAATAAAATAAAACCATAACATAAAACGTATAAAATGAATTAAATAAAAATTAAAAATACTCCCAGCATGCAACAAAAACTGTTTCTGCCAGAAATACAGACATCCCATTAAAAGATGTTAAATTCAATCTCTTTGCTACAAACCTTGGTACGGGCAACATGTGTAACTTCTCTCTGTGATATGACTTGTAATACTACAAAGTAACTTCTCTATTTTTATCACATGCACCATAAAGCAATTGTAACCTAAAAAAATACACACACCAATACACACAAAAAATAAATAAGTTGTATGAAATTAACATACAATTTACCATGCTTTTCCTGTTACTTCTGTACATTTCATCTCCTGTCAAGTATACTTTTATCTCTGTGAACACAAAGCTAATTTCTGCTGCAAAGTGAGTGAAAACCCCACACAAGCACAACACAGTGGACCAACTTTCCTAGCTGCAGGCCTAGCAATTGATTTAATTTTTGTTTTTAAGCGTTTCACCCCAAGCAAGGCAGAAGCCACTAGGACGCAAGGGGCTACAGAAGATTTGGAGCAAGATCAGATAGGAGTGATAGTGGAAAGGATGAGGAGAAGGATAGTGGATAGATCAAGGCAACTGGAGATGTCGATTGACATTACATTTGAATAGTTGGAGATTATATCTCTCAGGGAAACTGGAATACGGAAGAGAGTTCCACAGGCGAGAGGTGCGAGATATAAGGCTATTGGAGTAGAACAGACAGCTACATTTAATAGTTTCAACAGTGAAAGGGTGAGACTGGGATGCCAGCCTCGTAGGGCGCTTGAACTCATGAAGTCTGGGAACCAGCAAATGCAGCTCCTCGGAGCAATTACCATGAAAGTATTTGTAAAAAAGACAGAGAGAGGCAACAGCACATCTGTGGGAGAGCGACTGTAGACGAGATGCCAGAACAGGGCCAATTATATTGCATATCCGCCTCTGGATCTTATCAAGAACCCCGAGGCAAACAGAAGGGGCTCCAGACCATATATGGCAGCAATACTCCATGCAAGGGCGAATTGTTGATTTGTAGATCTGAAGGATCGATTTCAGGGAGAAAAATTTCCTGGATTTACTTTGTTTTATCAGAATACTGATGAGAAAAAAAAAGATATGTAAAATAAAAATTTGTAGGGACAACAACCATATAAGCATACCACAAATACTTCTAATATGCTAGACACAGATTTCAATCTGAATAGTGGTAAGAAGCACTTAGCTTTGCAAATATTTATTCATTGACATTTCTCTGTTGCAGTGCTGGTTTAACATGCATTTTATGCCACTGTCATCTGTGGGCGCAAAAACACTGTTAATATTAGAAACTAAATTACAAGTAGTAGCAACTTGATAATGGATGGTGAGTTGTAAATATAAAAAAAAGAGATCTGTCTGTAAACAAACTGGACAAATGAATTACAGTAAGGGCAAAGAAAATAAACATTTGTTCTCAATGTGTAACACCTTTTAGCTACTAAAGGAAGGGAGGTAAACATAATAGACAATAGTGACAAGTTATGTTATAGTGGCATAGGTTTCAGGAAAATGAATCAAATTTTTAAAGGCCATAGTTTTAATGAATTGTCATGAAGAGGAAAAGTCCATTCAACATTTAATGACCTGACACAATATTCAAAAATGTTTAAAACAAAAGGTGAGAGAGTTCGTTATTCACAGAAAGGATATGCCTGTCTCATACTTCAAAAGAACATGAAGAGAGAGAGTTTGAAATACCAGTAGTACGCAGGAAGTTACAGAGAGTGAAAGGGAGATAAAAGACTGGGGAATTAAGGAAACGATAAAAGATGAATCAGATTCAAGAAGATAGAAAATGGCGATTGATGTTGCATTTAAAATTCTGAAGATCCTAGTTATCAGTAAAGCAAGTAAATGGAAGGGAGTTCTACACACAAAAAAAAAAAAAAACTGTTGGCAATTACATTTAATTATTTCAACAGCAAAAGGGTGGGACCTAAATGCCAATCTAGTAGGCTACTTAAATTCATGTAGTGAGGGCACCAGGGAAAAAATGCTAGTCACAGCAGTTGCCACCAAAATATTTGTAGAAAAGACAGAGGGAAGCCATGTCACCTTGGTGAGAAAGTTGAGATGCTAAGTCAGGATTGATTACATTGAAGATCCGTCTTTGGATTTTGTCAAGAACACTGGGATGAATAGCAGGAGCACTAGAACAGATATAGCAACAATATTCAATGCACAAACAAATGGTGGATTTGTAAATGTGCAAGATAGACACTGACGAGAAAAACCTTCTGGCATGACAGAGTGACCCAACTGTCCGTGCAATAAATGCAGCTATTGATTCAATGTAGGCATTCCATTTCAAGTCAGTTAAAAATGTGAACAGAGTTTAATCATTTATGTATTTAGATTAGTTTAATTCCAGCATGATTTCTCATATTGAATGAGGATTTATGGGTATTTTATCTGGATTTTCAGTTGCACCAATATACTACTTTCAGTTGCACCCCTCTACTACTTATAAACTACATTAGGTATCAAGCATTCTCCTTCCAATAGGCAATTGTTCTATTCCTCTAATTGCAGAAAGCACTTTTCTGTGATCCTTTATACTTTAGAGTATGTTATCCATATCAGAGTAACTTATTTTCAGGTTGTTTTTATTGAATAATTTGTGTAACTTACTAATTTGAATAATTAGTTACCAATTTTCATCTTCACTGCTTTACTGAAGGAAGGGAGAATGAACAAAATCTTTTCCTGTTTTCTTCCTCCATTTGTTATTAAATGGACAGTAAATATATTTTTTCAACATTACTGAGTATATTTCTTTTATATGAATAGGCCAAAGCTCAACATACTAAGGTGTTTTCTTTTTTCCTACAAGTCTAGTAAATCCCTTTTACATGGACCAGTATAATGTCAAGGAAATTCACCTCTCTCAAGTTTCTTGTTTCAACTGCAAATCCAATAGACCAAAAAAAATTCCTGCAGTTTCTCTATCCATTTACTAAGTATCATTTCTATATCAGTCAAAGTCTTTTATATAAACTTTAGGATAATTTGAATAGAACCAATATTCCCACAGAATAAAATAAGCATCATCATAACTTCTCTGAGTAACATCAAAGTTACCATTCTCCCTTCACATACTCTTGGTCCTTATGAAACAAAAAAGTACAGGACTGTCAAATAATTTATATTTTTCACTCACTTAGGTTTATGCAGTGCATTGCTAAATTAATAGTCTGATTCAATGTGTTCCCATTTAATTAATATCAAACTACAAAAACTAAGACTTATACTTGGCATTGATTCTTGAACCAATTTATGGCAACTTTCAGTTTTTTGCCCATTGGTTCAAAGAGTAGAATATTCGTCTTATACCAAATCTGCTTGTTAATTTTAGCCAACAAGCTTTGCCATACTTGCTTAAAATGTGTTATAGACCAATGTTTTCTTAAAAATCACCTTTAAAAACATTTAAAAAATCCTGGTTTTCTAGGGTTTCAGGTACTACTGTCAGTTTCACAATAAACTTGACCAGGACAGATAAGACATTTGTTCCCAAAATATTTTTAAAGGCAATTTTAAAACATTAATCTATATCAGATTTTTAGTGGCTTTAGTTATGATAATGAGCACAGCTAAAAAATAACATTAAGTTGCATGGTGGTAGTAGTATCATTATTTGAATATGTAAGTAATATGTAACACACCCAAGGAGGTGCTGAAAAGTCACAGCTTGGACTGATTCTAATTATTTTAACTAAAAGGAATGCAGAGAAGAGTTAAAAAAAAAAAAAAAAAAAATCACCCTTCATTATACTAAGTTTATATATAAGTAATAGAATTTTGGGGATTTTAGGCAAATCATTTTAGTAATTCATCGAGCTTAGAAGAATCCTCAACAGAATGCAGGTTTCTTCTAGACTCAATGAATTACTATAATGATTTGCCTAAAATCCCCAAAATTCTATTACTTGTATATCCTTGCTTGACCCAGCTAATGCTC